ATTTATATAGGCTTTCTATACGGGCGCGGTACTTTTAATACGATATACTAGGCTTTATTAGAAAGCGATAAAATATAACCGTATTCTCGTACCGCCGTAAGATAGGGTTCCTTACTTAATCTTAAACGATTACTTTAAACTCCTCGAAGAGAAGCTTCTTTCGAGTTACGAATTTATCTAGACGTTAATAGACGTATTAGGCGATTACTTCGTACTTCGCGAGGCTCTAGAGGACTTAGCGGATCTACTTCTCGGTATTCTAGTCTTATAGATTAAGTATATTAAACTTATTATTTAACTCGTTAATCTACTTATCGAAATAGTACTAGATCGCGGTTTATAGTTTAGAAATATTCTTTTCTCGCTAGATCGCCTTCCGCGCTTTAGAGTTAAGATATATACGAGGAGTATACGTTTTAGATACGCTTAGCTAAGAGAGTATATTAATACGTTCCTATAGACCCTTAATTAAAGCGTTTAATTCGATAATTTAAGCCGAGGAGGTCGGGATTACTATAGAGAGCCTATAGATCTTAGCCTTTAGATTCGTAATAACGTCTTCGGGCGTAATCGTTATAAAGAGGGGTTCTTTTATAGCGGTAGATATCGGGGGTGCCTCGTCGGCGTTATCGTTTAATTCGCTAAAGGTCGAATAGTCTAATCTAGTTAAGGGGTCTTATACGACCGTAGCGTTTTTAGTACGCGACGCATACGCGTCGCGTATAAAAAGAGAAATCCGCTTAGAAGGTATCTTAAACCGGCTATTTAAAGAGAAGGATTTAAATATAAGATATAAGGCACGAATAGGGAGCTTAAGATAGATATAAAAAGAGAGCTTATAATTAATAGACGAATTCTTAGGAAATTCGGCCTTCGCCCGTAGGCTAAAGGGCTTTTATATATAGCTAAGCGAGAGTTACGTAACTAGTACGTAACTTCTATAGGTCTCGTATACGAAGCGTATACGAGACGCGGCTATAGATTCTTATACTAATCGCCTTTAGAAGCTTATATACGAGAATATAGTAAATATACTACTCTCTCGTCTTTAACGAAAGAACTTTACCTTCCGCTTTATCGTTAATAACGAGTATTAACTAGATTTTCTACTTACGCTTCCTTCCGAGACGATTAAGCTCTAATATACTAATCCGGATATTCTACTTATTAATCTTACGTTTAAGACGAATAGATATAACCGGCTATTACTAAATATAGTTAGTATAATAGTAAATAACCGAATAATCCCGCTTAGTATTAGCCTTCTTTCGTCTTAAACGAAGGAGGTATATTACTAGGCGCTCTTAAGCCTCTATAAAATTCTCGTTAAAAACGAAGTACTACTTCTAAGAGTTATTCTAATAGACCGTAATATTAGTTATATTAATATAATAAAGCGTAGCTTTACGGGTATTTTAATTATCCTTTACTACTAGTATATTAATAAGGATATTCTTATCTATATACGAGAGAGGTATCCTTAATTCCGGTAAAATACGGAGTAGATAGATTCGGCGAGGACGAAAGAGATTATAGATCGTTTCTCTATATACTATAACGCCTAGACCGAAGAGGAGTTTACTTCGGCCGTAGCGAGTATAGAGAGACTTAATACTCGTATTTCCGACTATTTAGAGGCGAAGTAGTAGCCGTAGAAGAAGATATTTATTTCGATATAAACGAAGGCCTATCTATATTTCGGTAATATTACTACGTCTCGTATTAAAGGCGCTTATACCTAGATTAAGAAGTAGATTATTAACTCTCGTAGTAACGTCTTTACGCTTATCCGTAGGCTAGAGACGTAGTAGGCGCTTACTACTACGATAATCGTTTATAATAAAGCGAAGAATAATATCTAGCGTCTAACCGCCGTTCGTAGCGAGTTCTAGAACTACTATTAGAGTTAGATTTACCGCTACGCGTTAATATAGATCTCTCTTAAGCTTACTAAGGCTAAGTAAAACTAGATTAAGAGCTAGTCCAACCCTCGTTTCTAATAAAGATAATATACTAGTTCGTTTAAGGCGATATATAGCCGATTATACTACTAGATACTCTTTATAATTCTATATAAACGAAGATACTTTCTTAATCCTCGGTTATTCGACCGATACTAGTAGATTAATAGAGACTCGGTATTAACGATAGAACTAGAGACGCCCGTCTACTATAAACCCGCTATTATTTAGCGTCGACGAAGGGTAGGACTAAGAGTAACGGCACGTCTAATAGGATTCGAAGTAAATAGTATAAGAAGAGACCCTCTTCGTTCGGAACGAGTGGATTAAAATAACGTAGTATTACTACTAATTCTATCTTCTATCCCTACTTAGTCTAAACGAGTCTATATTATCTTCTCTCTATAGCCTTTATAGTCTTCGTAGCCTTTATAGCCTCCGTAGCTACCGGCTACTATAATAATATAGCGGAAGGTCTAGTATCTTCGTCTAGAACGAGTATAAACTCTAGTATAGCTAGCCTAGTAATAAGCTCTACTACTCTTTCGAGTATTCTCCTCTTCGCTACTAACGATGCCTATATAATACTACTACTTCGCTAACGGCGAACTATAGTATTATTTCGCCCCGCCGATAGTATTCGCTTACGGCGAACTATAGTATTATTTCGCCCCGCCGATAGTATTCGCTTACGGCGAACTATAGTATTATTTCGCTCTACTAGTAGTATTCGCCCGTAGCGAATCTACTCTACTAATATATCTAATCGCACTATTATAATAGTATTAATAAACGTTCGTTCCGGGCGAATAGTAGTTCTTTTATAGCCGTATACTAGTAAGGGCGTATAGCTGGTTATCCCGCTCTTCGTTTAGTACGAATACTATATAAGTATTTATTATTAGCTAGCCTTCGATAATAGCGAGTATAAGTAGCTATCCGGCTATACGGCCTAAGAGTACTAGCTACTCGATCGTACTACTTACGCTCGCTATTAACGAATACTATACTACTTACGCTCGCTATTAATAAATACTATACTACTTACGCTCGCTATTAACGAGTATTAGCTATCCGGCCGTACGGCCTAGAAACGCTATTAACGAATACTAGCTACTTACGCTCGCTATTAACGAGCGCTAGCTATCCGGCCGTACGATTTACGGGCGCTAGCTACTAGGCCGTATAGCTTATACTCGCTATTAACGAGTGCTAGTAGTATAGTTAAATAGCTAATTTTATAGCTAAATAGCCGAATAGCTAGCCCTCGTAACTAGCGAGTATAAGCTATACGGCCTAGTAGCTAGCGCTCGTAAACCGTACGGCCGGATAGCTAGCGCTCGTTAATAGCGAACGTAAGTAGCTAGCTAAATAGCTAGTATTCGTTAATAGCGCTTCTAGGCTATATAGCCGGATAGCTAGCGCTCGTTAATAGCGAACGTAAGTAGTACGGCTAAGTAACTAGTACTCTTAGGCCGTATAGCCGGATAGCTACTTATACTCGCTATTACCGAAGGTTTACTATATAACGAACGTCTCTTACGATTTTATTTCTCTTTTTTATACTATACTAGTTTGCTTCGTTATTAACGATAGCTATATCTTTCTAGTCTTTCTTTATTCTCTTCGGCTATTTAGCTAGTGCTAGCTTCCGTAGCGGCTTTAGCTAAGCTAGCTAAGTTTTAAGGTTCTATACGACTAATTAGGCTAGGCGTATAGACGGTTTATAGTAGAGCTTAAGTAATCTAAGAAAGGCGTAAGTTTAACCCCTCCTTCGTTATAAACGAACTAACTATAAAGAAAGTCGGGTTTAAGCGTATACGGCTCGCTAGAGCCCGTATACGAAGCCTTAGAATATTTAAGATAGAATAGAGGAGTTTATTTAGTAAGAACGAGCCCTTTTTATTATAATTCGTTACTAACGAGTAAATTATAGTATAATCTTCTAGCGTTCTATAGATAGTTCGCTAAAGTACTATATCTACTAGACGTTAAATATCCCTATATCTATCGAAAATAATATTATCTACGATACTTAGATTATCTTAGACGAAGATACCTTATCCTATAGCTACGTATACGAAGATACGTTTTTAGAGGCTTAGCTAATCTCGATTAGTAGTTAGACTAAGCGGTAGACGGCTTTAAATAAGTTTAAGGTATATAATATTAACTCTAAATTCGTTCGTTACTAACGAAGCGCTAGGCGATAGGTTAGAAGTAGCGTAATCTTATAAAGAATATCGTTTACGCTATTCTAAATATTAGGCCTACTCTAACGGCCTTAATTACGTACTATACGCCTACTACTTACCCTTATTAATTATTGTTTAGGCTTCGGTATAAACGAAGAGATTAGATTAGCGAGTAGATAGTAAATTATATAATAAATTCTCTCCCTTCGTTGACAACGAATAAGTGTAATAATACTAATAATACGTATAAATACTACTAAGAACTCGTCTATAACGAAATAATAAAGGTATATATTATACATTCGTTATTACCGAGCGATCTGCGCTAATTACCACTAAGTGGGGCGGGGTGGTACGTTAAGATTTCGAGGGTGGTACGTTATCGCTTCCCGCTAATTCTCGTAGCATTGTATGAGTCCGAGCCACGAGTCCGAAGACGAGCTACGCCGCGTGTATATTGCAGGGGAGCATCCAAAACGAAGCCAGGCTTGGCCAATAGACTGGTGCACGAGTGAGTGTTCCACCCCATAGGCAGCCAGGATGACTCGCGCAGAGAGATTTGGCAACGAGCCGCGTGTTGGACCTGATATCGATTTCTGAGCCTTGTGCGGTCTTGGAGTGGCAGCTGCCAGGGCGTTCGAGCCGTTCACGAATGGGCCGGGATCAAGGTGGTAGGGTATGTGGTGGAGCGGCGCGGCGGGAATGGAAGCCGGGCAGTGCTGGACCTTGCTCTCGTGTTTCGCTTCCGCGTCGCGTCCAGGGCACGTCGAGTCCAGAGCGCGTCGAGCCGAGCACTTTTTCTCCACCACGACTCTGCACCCCACTCAAACTGTAACTCGCCAGAATGCCCAGCGTCCCACTCCACCCTCCCTCCGCGCCATCGGCCACTGTGCTCGGCGTCGAAAACCCGCTGCCACAGCTTTTGCAGACGCCCTCGGGCCTAGCCATGCTCGAGATCCAAGGCACCATTCACTCGTCTGCCGCACAGCCCGATCCCGATGCTGTTCCGTCGTCCGACACCCACATGCCCGTGGGCAAGCTCGTCTTTCCCCACTACTCGCCCAATGACCCGGTCGAGAACAAAGCCTGGATGAAGCGTGTCCATATGTATGTCGGCAAGCATCAGCGCATGACGGGCGAGGTCAAGGAGCTCCCGAAGCCCGTGGCAGTCATTCGTCGCAGGCCGGGTACGAGTGAGGAGGATGGACAAGAGGAATTGGAGATCGTCGACATAGTCCGCCACAAGATCATCTTCTCGTCTCGTCCGGAGCCGGTGAGCGGCAGCTGAGAGCGCAGCTGAGATGTGCTTGCGTGAACTCATGGCCACACATCGTTGGACCATCTGCCATGCGGCAAGACCATGTCATCAGCTGAAGAGAGGTCCAAATTGGCCCTTTCTGTCGTATGTCCCCTTCTGTCTTTGCCAGCTGCAAAGCCCCCAACAGCTTGCTTATTGGGCAAGCTACATCCTCACGTTGAGGTGCGTCGCTAAGGGCTGAGGCTCTTTGCAACTTATCAATTGGTTCCACGAAGTAAGCGCCCAAATTATGCACTCGCAAGGCTACGGGACCGGGCCGCTGGCCACAAGAAAGCAGGGTTCCTGCAAGCCGTAGCATTACTAGTCAACAGCCGACACCTCATCTCGCCGGCTACTTCGAATCAATAAAAATCCATCACCATCCTCCGTCGAGTGAAAGCACCTATCTTGGCCTACGAACCGAACCTTACGAATGGGAAGAATCCCAACCGCCACTCCAAAGGATCCTCGATATGGAGCAGGCTGAAAAAGAAACCCTAACAATCAAAGAGGAGGGTCCAATCGATGAACCAGACTATCGCAGTGACACCCCACTGCGACTTGATGTCAAGTCTTCCGTCCTGAAGTGTCGGTCACCCACCTCATAGGTAAGACTTGCTGAATTTTCGGAAGCCTACTCCCAAATTCCTCTTGAAGAAGGTAATTCATTGCACATTGAAAAGAACCAGAACTTCCTGCCTGTACATTGCCTCTGGATCTTGAATTTCGGTTTGGCCGGAATATATGGCTATCGCAGTGAAGACAGCATAGTGACAGCGTCCGCTCGATTTCGTGCCCCAAGCTCCCCCAGAAAATCTTCATCACCAGAACCGAGTAGGATCGCGGGGAGCTTGCCAAATTCCTAGAGCCAGCAATCTGCGCCAGCAACCGCCAGGACCTTGACCGCGGGGGCACCGGCGCCCTATCCGCCGCTCTCCAAGTCTTCACGAGATGAAGCCGCACGACCGGGTCGGACCTCATCATGCAGAGAGCTGCAAGCGCCCCTCGCCAACAAGAACCAACATCACATCCAATCACTCGACAAGCGGTGCTTCTTCCTCTATACCACATACTACCTCACCTTTTCTTCTCCGCAACAAAGCCATCGCCTTCTCCCACCGCGAATCCACCATCCACGTCCCGGGCGCCTTCGTCATGCCGCAGCTGTTCACGTCGACCTCGGCGCGCCGCACCACCTGATGGGCCTGATGCAACGCTTTTTCGGTGAGCAGCAGCAGCACGGTCAAGGGAAGGTGAACATCATCCGGGCTGGCTTTCGGATCGTCATTTTGGCAGCGTTGAGGGCAGGGTGCGTCGCCGCGTTGTCGAGAGGCACGTGGAGTACCGGGGCGCTGTTTCGATTTTTTTGCAAAGTGTTCCGAAGGGGGGTGGTGGTGTTTGCGTAGTTGGATTGGTGGGTGGATCGGTTGGTAGGGCGGCGGCAGAGTGGGCGACGAAAGAAATTGACCTACCTACCTCTGTCTAGATGCCTTTCTATGGTTTCAGTACTCGCGTCTACTTCCGGATATCTCCTTCAACTACCTATGTAGGACGGTCGTTGAAATATGAATCTATGTCGGCATATTCCCTTCAGTTGCTCACACAAAAAAACTTGCCGCAAGTCAATTCCTTTCGTCACCTACCGTGGTTGGGGGTCGGAAGGGGGAGATGCTGGGCAGGGAGATGGAGACAGGTGGTGGGATACGTGTATTGTGTAAGTTGCCAGACGTGGTCGCCAGCCAGCGGATATCCTCTCTCCCTCTTGATGTGGGATTCTTTCAGTGTCTCCTACAAGCCTCAAAGAATGCAAGAGCCCGGTGCCACAACAGGTTGCACATGGCTGTACTCACCAGTAGTCCGCAACCCAAAGCCACGCGCACCCTCAACCACTCTTCAGTGGCTTAAAAGTGAGTAGATCGCCCGCGCGCTTCCTGAATGAACGTGGTGTCGAGCTTGCACTTTGCAAGTTGCCAGATTTGCTCACCCACCAACTGCTACAAGTCAGGCCAAATCGTTGAAACTTGGTCGGGTCGTCGGCGGTTCCTTAATAATCAAGTTCTACGCGCCTCGTGCGCATGGAAATGTCATGTTCCACCACTGGGGCTGTGGCTGTGCAACAAGTTTACTGAATGGTGTTGTGCAACAGCGTTTTGACGGTGCTGATGAGCATCCCCAGGAAAGAAAGATTGGGAAGCGCAGGTACGATTCACGTGGGAGGAATAATAGTGTGCGGCAGGAGCTAAGCGTGTGGCGTTGGAAAGTGTACGAGTGGCGGTGGTATTTGAATTTTGAAATGGTCTTCCTGTTCAGCTTTGCTGCGCCGCGACCAGAAGTGCGGTGTTGTTACCGCTCGTTCGATTCAGATACGTAGTACGTTCTAACTGAGCGTTCCCGAGGAAGTAACTCTGCTGATTTGAATGCGTGATTGCCGGAGTTTGGGACTGGCCAGCTGGACTTAAAGAAAAACGGAGAGTAGTCGGAGTATCCGTCGACTTATCACATGAAGGAATTTGAGTCACATGCGGAGCCATTGATAGCTTTTCTTCGCAGCAAGTTATTGTCACGCGTACGAGACCGATGAAGTGTACCTGGATTGTCCAGTAGGTGATTTCAGCCTACCTGTTATCCGTCTTTCTATAATAGTGAGGAAGGAACCACCAAACTTTAACATAAAATAAAATGGCATATGAATCAGCTACCTGGAGAACATAACCGACTACTAGTTTTCCACACAAACTGCGGTCGCTCGAGCGCAAGTCTCACGGCATATTAAATGAGGCGAAGCATAACGATGATTAACATCATTCTTAAGTATGTATGTAGTTCATCATCTTGATACCCTGACAGGGAGAGGCAGCACTTCTATCATCTGTTGCAGTGAAATGTTTCCAAAGTTGGTTTGTGTGAGTGGATCTCGAACACTTCTGCGTTGCTCTAATAAGGGACAAATTGTTGATCTACTCAGGCCAGCTACAAGTATTTTAGCCTGTTCACCGAATTCATACAAGACATCTCTGGCGTATTACTAAATAACTAAGTAAGAGAGGTTCTTGGTGTCAAACTCAAAGCTATTCATCAGAGCCAAGTACTGGATTGGCATGGTGTTGCTGCATCCCCGTACTCCAGCACTCGTCTCCAGTGCTGGCCTATAATTAGATTGATGCATCTCGCTCACTTCTGATGAGCTTGTTATGCATACCTAAATATCCATAAAGCCCTCTCTTCATATTACGAGGTTAAGCGCAGTCAGTTCCGCAGCTCTGCCAAACGTTCCGGACCTTTGAAGTGCTTGCTGGGACGAGGTATCTCCGATATCCAAGCTGTCCCTGCGCACATGATCTTTTGTCGAAAGCGATGATGAGCACTTCGGGTCCTTAATAATGCTGGACAACACCATAAATTTATCGTACGGGAGGAAAGAAAGTCAAGCCCAGATGGCTCTGGTGACACTACCAAATGACGGGAAAGCTCCGCAGTGGGCTTTTTTTGTGTTGAAAGACAGAAAAGCCAGTGGGTACTGAGCTTGAGCCTGGGGTTGTATCGGTTGGAGAATCAATGAGACTGTCTTCCATTGAACGTATTGTAAATTGAGGGCTTTATATTTGCACAATGATGCTACCGAGTCTATGCAGAACGCGAAAAAGAAAACCTCTCCGCCCCTGAACCAAACAGTCTATGCCCAATAACCAGACGTGATTTATCTTGAACATCTCTTACTGGTCGCCCACTTCCGTTCTACCACCAGCAGTCAGCTGGACGGCGCAGCCGCACAAACTCGGAGGAAGAGTCTGCAGTACAGAGGCACACCGGACCCCGCACAACGAAACCCAGCTGTCTGCGCCTGTCCCATCTCCACCATATCTAGCCCGGAGGCCCGAGATCCCTGCTGAATCGACCACGACCGCGTGCAGTCATATTCTCCCCTTCCTATTTTTCCCCTCATCCTCTCACCTCCCCGCCCACAGCCCCTCCCCCCTCCCAAACGCGCCAAACGCGCTGCTCTCACCCCCGGGCCTCTTCGCCACCCTCCCCTGCGCCTTGACGCCCTGCACGACGCGTTCCAGGCCCGTCTCGACGACGACGCCGCCGACAATCATCTCGCTCAGCGTGGCGTGCAGCGTCTCGAAGTTGAAGATGAGGTCCAGCTCGCACACGTTCTCGAACAGGCGGTCGAGCGCCTCGACGAAGACCTGGATCAGGTCGAGCAGCGCGAGCGGGGACTCGGTGGCGGTGCTGATGATGATGAAGTATAGGGTCGCGTAGTGGCGGTAGGTGACGATGGAGGGGGTGTCGGCGTAGGGCCCGTTGGTGGGAGAGCTGCTGGACGAGGCGAGGAGGGGCGGGAGGCTGGTTGCAGTCACGCCGGGTGTTAGCAGGTTGCGAAGGGTGTTTTGGTGATGGCGAGGGAAAGGTGTGAGTACGTGGAGCTGGTGGAAGCTGGTGGAGAATGCGCTGGAAGAGGGGAACACGTACGGAAGGAAGTTACATGACGAGTTGGGGCGGTTTGACACCAGCGTGAAGATCTCGGAGATCAGGCGTTGCTGGACGGACGTGTCCTGCGGCGCATGTCGCGCGTCAGCGATCGGGTGGAACAGCGGCGCTGCAGCGTCGCTGCAGCGTGGAAGCGGGGGCTGCGTGGGCGCATACCAGCTGGGTGTAGAACTTGGTCAGGCGCGGTTGGCCATGGTTGTTGAAGACGAGCACAGCGTTGATCATGGCGGCGGAGGAGTAGGTTGTTGCAATTGGCGGTGTCGTTCCGCGCTCCAGGGAAATGGGAGTAGGCTGCGGGAACGGCACCCCCGCTTTCAGGCCCACCGCCCGATTTGGCAAGATTGGAGCTTAGCTCGAAGCTCTAATGCAGGTGCAGCGAGTCACAGCGCGGGCGTTTGCAGGCGGGTCAGCAGTCGTCCCTTGGTTTGCTGTGTCAAACGAGCACGTTGCCGCGGGGAGTAGTGGAGAGCGGGCTAGGCGTTCATTTAGCGGGGAAGGTGTCTTCGTGGGCGCCATGTGGTCTGTGTTGCCTCTGATTGAGCGAGCACCCAGCTTTCTTTCGTCACCAAAACTATCTCACACTACTAGAGCTCGTCACTTGTTCCCCCGCCGCTCTCTCTCCCACTCACCACCATCTCAATTGGGCCCCATCGCTACTCATTGCCCCCATCATGCTTCTCCCAACCATTCCTCGCGCCGCCGCCCGCGCCGCCCTGCGCGCCAGCTCCACCACCACGAGCTCTGCAGCCCGCCTTCGCGCAACCGTTCCGGCCGCCAGCGCCGCCCTCCGCTTGCGCACTTCACCCATTACTGCCAACAGCTTCCTCCTCCGCCGCAACCTCTCCAGCTCCCCGAACTCCCGCAGCATCATCCCCGACGCCGAGAACCCCGCGCCGAGGGAGACCGAAGCGTCTGAGTCTGTTGCCGGCGTCCAGCCCACCGAGCTCACTGATGCCGAGTACCACGAGCATGCCGACGGCTACCTCGAGGTTCTACAGCAGAAGCTGGAGGACAAGCAGGACGCGGGTGAAGGCGTGGAGGCGGAATACTCGGTAAGACATCCGATATTCCCACAGCATCTCTGCTTGCTCGAGCTTCCAACAGCTACGGCTGCGTTTTGCTACGAGCATATCACAACCACCCCTATCCATCTCGAACATTGGGTTGCACTTCACTAACTACTCACTTCTTCGCTCCAGGCCGGCGTCCTCACCGTCGATAAGCGAGGTGTCGGTACCTACGTGCTCAACAAGCAGCCGCCCAACAAGCAGATCTGGCTGTCATCGCCCATCACTGGGCCCAAGAGGTTCGACTGGGTCGTTCGTGGCGAATCAATGCATCAGAAAGCCGATGGCGGCATCGGCGATTGGATCTATCTTCGCGATGGCAGCTCGCTCACAGAGCTGATCCGGAAGGAGTTGGGCGTTGATGTTACTTCTGAAGGGGAGATTCCTTAGGTGGGCTCGGTTCGAAACTGAAGATCAGACGTGCATTCGAAGGGAGTTAAATGGTTTCGTTTTGGACGGATGGAAGCCTGGTTACACACATAGCTATGGGGATAGGGGAAATCTCGTTTGTTCGGCCTATCCGGGGCCAGCGTCGTCATCGGCGATTGTGACGGAAAGGGCAACAAGAATGACGGCTAGGTGCTTGCACACGTGCCTTTTATCAATAATCAATGATGCTCGCCGAGCACACTTAGACTGTATATTCTACAGGCTGAAGAAATTCTCCAATGTCCTTCAAGCAATAGTAGCTCATATGAAGTCTTGAGCGAAAACAAAGCTCATACTTGCGCATAGTCTGATGCCACATAGAGGCCATGGCCTCAGCCTACCGTAAGCACCTCGTCGTTCGCGTGGCGGCGATCAAGCAGTAGGCTTTAGCTCACTTTAGCAGCACCTGCAGCTTCCACAGACTGACCTGCTGTTCTTGTGGGCATTAGGAAGTACCAAACCCCCTCGGGGCGGGTATCCAATGCACCCCGAAACCAATTCTTGCAAATCCCACTGCGGATGTCGCGTACCGAACGCCAGTCGTCCGTTCACTCATCACCTCCCCAGTCCTGCTTTCCTCAGCACGGGCATCCTGCGAACACCCACACCTGCCCGACCTGGCAATTTGCTTTATTCCTTTAAAACTATTTCCCACGCATATATTTCTTCAAGCAGCAACAGCAACAGGCTGCGCGCCCTCGTCCTTCTCTTCGTCCTTGGGCAAATCGTCCTGTTCAAAAAACATCAGCCGACATCCCCCTTCTCCGCTCTCTTTGTAAAGGAAAGCAAGCAACCCACCTGGTCGAAAATGACCTTGATCATCAGGCTGCAGCTCGGGCACACGCCGACGTCCTCGCCGTCGCGCAGGTCGGCCAGCCCAATCTCGAACCGGTCGCCGCACGGGCATGGGTACGTGTAGATCTGCAGCGCCGCGTCGAACGTCATATCCTCGATCTCGATCTCGTCGTAGAAGGACTCGGCCATGGTTGTTGTGGTGTTTTGGCTGTTGTTCGCGGTGGCGGTTGGTCGGTTGGTCCCTGGTGGCGATGACGGGGCGTTGTAGCGGGCACGCCGGCGCGCGGCGCGAGGGGGTGTTTGTTTCGTGGAGAAATGTAAGATGCGGGGAAGGAGGACGGGGGAGGCTCAGATGCGTGGCACAGAGCGGTTTCGGTAGTAAAGCGTGGAAGTTGCGGGGGTTTGGGCTAGGAAAAAAGTTTGGGGAATGAGTCGCGCGTTGCGGCGGCGGGCGGAGGTGGAGCGGCGGTGTCGAAACTCTTCGGAAGGGTTGTAAGTCGTTGCCGGTACAGCCACCTTGAATGCGAACATCACACAGAAAGTAAGGCGACGGCGCCTCTTCAGACTCCTATTTCTCACTTTATAGCTAGCATGATGGGTTCTTATTTTTCTCTTTGTCGCGAAACGATGTCACGATCTCTACCACTAAAAATATATCTAAACTCTCATGCAGTGTAGAATTATCCTTTTAGTCCTTGATGTTATATAGAGCAAACGTGTGTGAATCTTTTCCTATCTCGATTCTGTTCTGTCGATTGTAATTCATCGAAGATTGGGAGTCATCCCGTAACAGGACTTGTCCTCTCGTTATAGCAAAAACGAGTCTAGGATAAAACATAGTTTCCAGGGTTCGACATCTGAGATACTTGGTAATCAGCCATACTGCAAGGCATCTCGGGAGCTTAAGAGTAATGCGGCGAATATACAAGCCGTTAGTAAAGTCGTCACTCGAGCGGACATAAAGCTCCCTTGAGACCGAGGTCAATCTTCTCGGGATGGGCGGGATACGAAGCCTTTCTCAACGCCAACGTCTCTGGCTTCGACACAACCCAATTCGCGTACCACGACTCATCAAACACTGCCACCAAATCTGTAATGTCTATGACAATCGTCCGCCCTCTGCGAAGATCGAGCCAATCCACCATAGGTAGGAAAATGCTTTGCGACATGAGCTAGTGTTTCGTACACGAGACCACCCGGACTCAATCGAGAACTTGCGCCGTTCAAGGTTCGGAATTATGTAAATGTTAATTCATGGTCATCCAACACGTGGTATATGAATATCAGCAACGCTTGCGACAAATTCGCGATAAGAACGGGTTGAGTAATGGTCGAGTTGCTCGTCGTTAAATAGCTTAGCCCTGAATCGGGTTCAAAAGACCAACCCTTTTGGAAGTTTGAGGGTGAGCCGGTCTTAGAAAGATGGGCGATTGTCGAGTAATGTTTTCGATATACTTGCTCGAATCAACTTCATCATCGATGATACATGGCCAATGACACTTTCAATCAGGGGCATGAAGTTCATATCCTTAGCTGGGATCTAAGACATTTCTGCCTCATAAATTTTGGCTGTCAATAAGAGCAGTGAGATGGCAGTCCTTTCAGTACGAATATCAATCGGATTGATCGTCGTTAGCTTTGAGCTGAGCGTACTCGAACTAACGGCCGTGGAGAGATGCGCACGGTGTGCCGTGCGGACCGACTTTCTCGGCTTGGGCGGGTGCTTGCCGGACAACCTTTGGGAGAGTGCGGTCGATCTAGATCTGGATCCTTCACTATTGATTAGAGGGCGGCTTGGCTTGAACCGAAGCAAGGTAGAGGTGAGCTAGTCAGATGCGCATATGAAATCAAGCTTCTTTGGCGCGTGATAGGAGGGGCGGTGGTCATGAGTAAATGAGCCTATGACGTTGTGAGATTAATCGGCAGGTGCTTGATGAGCTGCTTCGTCTCCCGGAAGAAGTGGTAAAGCAAAGTGCTGGAAGGACAACGGCGTTATTCACCCTTTGTTCTTTGGTTTCGCCAGTGGCTGGAGCCAGTGCCTCAAATCGTCCGCTTTCAGGTCTCCGATTAGAAAACTTGTATGTAGATGCATTCCATCTGGATGGTCCTTGGTAACAGGGTCAGGCGAAGCGAGATGAGGCATTCCCCCGCGAATCAACGGGATGACGCACCTGCGCAGCCCAGGCCAACTAACCCATCAAAACAGGGCAAAACAGGGAAGCTCTGCAGCGCGGGAGATGGACGACATGGGCTGTCGCAGAGCTTGTTGCACAGCAGCGTCATGTAGAGAAATGCCGATCGATGGCGAGAGAGGCAGGAGAGAAGCCGGCTAAGGGTGCAGTTGCAGTTCAACAACCCGAGAAGTGATGGCTGGTTGTGGGAGTTAGCACTACCAGAAGCGGAGGTGTGGGGACGTCACAGTACCTCAAGATGCTCTCGGAATCTCGAGCAGATGGGGTTGTGACGTCGGGCGTTGATTGAGCGAGCTCGCTTTCGAGGTCCTTGCACAGCTGAAAGGCTGCGCCATGCGAATCTAGGGGAAGCGGCGGCTCGGCGAAGATGGCTGTGAGGTTGGTGCCGCGGCTGCCAATGGAGTCTGAGCCGGCGACGGTGATTGCTCTGCGCTCACAGCCCAGATCGCGACGGCACAACGGCAGACGCACAAGCACTGTGGCTGGAGAGAGGCGCACCCGCGGCGCTAGCCCGGACGCGGCTCGCGCGTGACGGGACCCCGGCAAGCAGGGCAAGCTGAAGCTCCACATGACGAAAGACGGCCGTCGATCGCCACACCAGTCCGGAGACAGCAGCAACACAAAATGTGGGCTGCCTGGTCGTGCCTGTGCTTGATCGCTGCGTCATTTTCTCGCCTGTCACACATTTAACCCAAAGACCCCCAGGCCTGCTCCTGGCTTGGCCATTACCTGCCACGCATTCCAGCTCGCAATAACCCACCAGCCTCTGCGCAACACGCCAGCCCCGACCCCAGACTCGACCTCTCTCTTTCGACACCGGCCCGCTGCGCCCACCCTCGTCGCAATGGGTTTCTGCGGTCGCCTCATCGGGACTCTCCCGTACATGCTGTGCTTCTGCTGCGCCGCCATCATCCTGGGCTTCTACTCCTACTTCCTGGCCGTCCTGTCCGACCGCGACCGGCCCATTCCCAACTGGCAAAAGGCCGTCGAGGGTATTTCTGGAGTAGGCGTCCTGTACACCATCCTCGCCATCGTCCTCACGCCATGCCTCGGTGGCATTCGCATCCTCGCTTTCCTGGGAATGTTTCTGGACGTTGTCTTCTGCGGCGCTTTCATTGCCATCGCCATCCTGACCCGTGACGGAGTGGACGCGTGCAATGGCACTGTTGACACCCCGCTCGGCAAGGGCAATGCCGAGACTGGCGAAGGCTTTGGCAAAGATGGCTTTGGAACCGGCGATGGCGAGAAGTTCACCTACCAGGCCAGCTACGGCAGTGCTTGCCGCTTCAACAAGGCATGCTTCGCTGTCGCTATCATTGGAGCGTAAGTAAAAGTCCCATGTCCTCTCTACACCAAACAATACTCACAAGAACTCTTACAGTTTCCTTTTCCTCCTCGCTGCCCTCTGCCAATTCTGGTTTGCTCGCCGTGCTCAGAAGGAGAAGCGCTTCGGCCCCTCGCCCGCCAACAACTACACCTCTGGCAGTGGCAAGGGTGCCGCGTTCTGGAGGCGCAGCAAGAAGAGGACCCCCGGTGACAACCGCGACTCCGAGCTGGGTGCCTTCGGTGCCGGTGCGCCTGCCGCCAGCGCTGTCGGTGGCCCCAACGTCGACACCAGGCCCAGTGGCGAGACCGCCTACACCGGCTCCACTGTTGGAGGCAACAACAACAACACCTACCAACCATACAAGGCCGACGCCGGTTACACCGGTAGCTACGCAGCTCCCGCTGCCACTGGCCCTACCTCCAACCCCTACGGCTACGAGAAGACGACGCACTACTAGCGTGCTAGACACTACTCGCTTTTCGCGCCCGAAACGTATTGATTACGTCGAGAAGAGACGAAAGCGTTTCCATGTCTCGATTCCGTATCTCCGGGGCCTCGAGCTCCTTCACTACACGTGAAATCTGCACGCCGATGCTTCCTTTTCCTTGGATGCAGGCGTCGCTTCCATTCTTGAATTGTGTTACGAAAAGTAAACTGGGATACCACAGCTATGGCGCTGAATTTTTTTACGATTGCAGAGCGAGATATCACGAAGAGGATTGCTTATCGGCAGAAGGGCAGCTGTTAATGATATTGTTATGAGCGGAGATTGTTAATGATAACGAGATAATCAGATTAAGAAATGAGATGTTCACATTTAGCACATGTGTTCAGAGTATGATAGACATGCTGTTGCCTACACAACACTTGTCCTTGTGCGACGAAAAGCTCTTCCCCCTGAAACCCATTTTTTTGCTGTGCAGTCTCCGCAACAACCGATAGTTCGAGTCCCCATCAGTCCCCACCGACGGCCACCACATCGCCACACGTGCCCAGTCAGGCGGGCCGTTGCGGTGTGCGTCTTGCTCCAGTCCCCAGCTCTGTGCGCGGAGTGTGACGATCTTTTCTCAACAACCCACCGAGTTTCGCCCCCCCTGCATTGGCCCCGTCACATGTTTCCACTCACTCAAGCTCGAAGTCCCCACTGTGCAACAGACGCACCGCCACAGATCACGACTCTTTTCTCTTTTCCCACCTGCCACCTTTGTCGTCCCTTATCTCCAACATGAGGCTGTCCAGCTGCCACCTCTCCAGCTGCCAATTGCAAGCACACACGCATCCGATGACAACCGCGACCCGTTCCGAACCCTCTGTTCTATCCGGCGCATCCGTGACCATCCTTTCTTCCGACCGCTTCGAGCCAGCTGCAGACTGCTTGTATTCCCCTCCCAATTGAACCGTTGTTTCTTCCCTTCTCTCTCTCTCTCGCTCTCCCTCACTCCCTCACTCCCTCCCCGCGCAATCTCCCAAACCTTACTCATCCCCCACCACCACCCCTCCCTCTCCCTCTCCCTCTCCCTCGTCCCCTCCCGCGGGTCCCTCCTCCTCTCGCAGTCGCAGCAGCAGCTGCACCTCTACCTCTACCTCTACCCCGGCCAGCAGCAGTGTTACCGTTACTCCGCGTCGCAGTCTCAGTAGCAGCACTCCTCCGCTCGGCGCGGTGCTCGTCGACGAATTGGCGCAGCAGCGCCTCCAGCCCTTCGTTGCGGCGCGCGAGCAGCAGGACGTCGGCCGTGTTGACCTGGGTGCGGCCGGCGTGGCGCGCGAAGGTGGACAGGTCGCGGGAGGCGGATTCTTATCGATTTTGATTATCAGCAATGGGGAATTGCAAATTAGGCCCCGGGGCCGTTGGGGGATTTCGTCTACGAAAAGATGTAGATGTTGTATGTGTGGGGAGATCGAGAGGTAGGCAGGGTTTGGGAGGGGGGTGTATTTTGGGATTTTGTTACCGATTTGCGCCCAGACCAGCTCGGTCAGCGCACCGATGAACTGGGGCGTCGCGTTGCGGTCTTTGAGCTGGCATTGGTTGTCGACGAACTGGCCGATGCTGTACCAGAGGGCGGATTTGAGGCGCTAGAGGGATGAGTTGGACTCAGTTTTGTTGTCGGACAGCGGGCGAGCTTACCTCTTCCTTCTGGGCGGCCGCTTCTTCTGGGTCGGGGTCGGCCATGTTGTGCGGTGGTGCTGGCTGGGCGGGCGTGAGCCGGCGACACAGGATGGTTGGGGGAGACGCGACGGGGACGCGTCTGGAATGCGCGGAGCGCTTATTGGCAGGGATGCGTCATTGCTCAGCCCGAGGGCTTGCGAATTCTAGGCCCGCACGTACACCCTCCAGCACACCTGCCTTGCCTTGACGACAAATTGCCCTCTCTCCACCACGACGGGTTGGAGCAGTAGAAAGGGTGCGCACGTCTCACCAGACCGGATCAGACGGCTGTGCACACACATGGTCGACGGCGACACGATGGCGGCGCAGCAGCCCGATGGAGGCGCTCACCAAGCTCCGGACATCCTTTCGTTGCTCTCCACTTGGGGCAGCAACTTCTCCACTCAGACCACCAAGACCGTGCGCATGCCCCACTCCAACTAAGCTTTCGGCCCGCCCGCTGACGAACGGCCGTCTAGTTCAGCGAGTTGCGCCCTCTCGACTACATTCGCCTTGTCACCATCATCGGCGCGTATTGCCTGCTGAGGCCCTACTTGATGAAGCTGGGAGCATACCTCCAGAGAAGGCAGCATGAAGCCGACTCGCAATCCGGCCAAGCAGCGGGCGCACCATTTTCGGCGAACGATCTGCGCGGAGGGAAGAAAGAGCCCAAGGTCGCAATACCGGGCGTAGAAAGCGACAGCGAGGACGAAGAAAAGGATGACTGGGGTCGCGCAGCCCGGCTTCGTCAGCGCAAATTCGTCCGCCAGCTCCTGGAGGCTCACGAGACGAAGCTGCGTGAGGAAGCCGAGGCCGAGAGTGACAAAGAGATAGAGGAGTTCCTGGTGGACTGACGTTGAATACTGCGCCGTTGTTTTCACTCCGCATTCATGTGGCGTATCGATCCGAATGTGGAACAGCAGGAACGTTGCTGGTGGTAGTCAATACATTTTCCGTCTTCGTTGGGTTGTGGCGTTCAACGGTGGGTAGACAGGCGAACCGGATCGCGATGCTGCATGTAAAATGTAAGTAGTGCTCGACCCAATCTTCATCGCCCAGTCAGTGCCATTGTCTTCTTTCAGTTCCCCAGCCACACGGTGTATCGTGGAGCCGCACCGCGGCCATTCTGCTGTCTTCAAGGTGGAGGCAGGGAGGGCATTCCTGGATCATGAGAGCAAGGAATGTATCCCTTCCGCCCACCACCTGCAGGGACCGTGCCACCAACGCCTAAGACAACTGCAAATGGTCGAGACGTCCCGACCACGCGCGTAAAATATGCGATACTCTGGCCAGAAGAAGTCCATGGCCATGTGGCTAGGCTTGCCCTTCACAGCCTCGTCCTACTCTCTTTCGACGCGGCTGAGCATGCGGCTTCCTGCGCGTGAATTCCGCTACGCTCAGGTGTCTTCGTGCAGGAGGGGGGCTGATGCGGCACTTCCCTTGCTGTCGTTCCCTTAAGACTTGCATCTCGCCGGCAGCTCACTGTTTGCCCATCCACGATTCCCTCCGTCACATTCGTTCGTTGGTTCTTGTTTTCTTGTTTGCAAACTGCCATGATGATTCTCACGACCGACTCAACCCGCTCTGGCCTTCGCTCGCTACTCCTGACAACGCTATGCACGAGCACACTATTTTCTCTCGTCCATGCCCACATGGAATTGAGCAACCCCTCGCCATGGGACAGCCCCACGTCCGCCGACTCCGCGGATAGAGACTACAACATCAAGTCCCCTCTCCAGGGAGATGGATCCGACTTCCCGTGCCGAGGAATCGACCAGTCAATTTCAGGACTGACTGCTACTGCCACCTACCAAGCTGGCCAGACATACAACATGACGATCGAGGGAAATGCAAATCACGACGGCGGATCGTGTCAGATTTCACTTTCCTACGATAGCGGCAAGACCTGGAAGGTCATCAAGAGCATTATCGGAAGCTGTCCGGGGAAGTCCGGCGGCAGCTACGATTTCACGGTCCCATCGAGCGCGCCGTCTGGAACAGCGCTCTTCGCATGGACGTGGATCAACCATACCGGTAACCGCGAGTTCTACATGAACTGCGCAATGGTGGACATCCTGGGGAAGAGCGGCGGTGACTTGTGCTCACTGCCCAACCTCTACGTCGCAAACCTCAAAGGCATCAACAGCTGTGTCTCCCCTGAAGGCACAGACACGATGTACCCAGACCCGGGCTCCGACGTTGTCTACAGCAATGGCATGAGCGCCTCCTCCCCCGCCACCGGGAGCAGCGCCTGTGAGATTGCCGATCCTGCCTGCGGCAACTCGGATTCTTCCAACAATGGCCAATTGCAGTCTTCGAGGCAGCAGTCCTCCCAGCAGTCCTCTCAGCAGTCCTCTCAGCAGTTCTCCCAACGGCCCTCGCAGCAATCCTCGCAATACAGACAGTCATCTCCCTCCAGCCTCGCGAGAACTCCCAAATATACCGCTCTGGCCAGTCGTGTTGGCGCTGGACCCCAAGGCAGCGGGATTGCCAACTACGAGATCGCCATCGCCTCAGGGAGCCCGCAGTTCACCAGCGCAGTCGAGGCCTACATCGCCTCGCTGCTGGCCGCCAGCATCGCGGCGACGACGGGAACCGCGGCCGCGGGTTTCTCGTATCTGGTCAACGACTACATCAACTCCATATTGCACGTTAGTAGCAGCACGGCAGCGCCGGCCTCGGCCTCAGTCGCCGTCACCCCAAGCGTATTCCCGACAAGTCTCGGCCACACTTTCGCCACGCCGGCACCGTGGGGGACCGCAGCTGTCCGTTCCAGCCGCCCACAGGCCGGGCGCATGACAGCCAGGCCCACAACTACGGACGCTTCGCTCATCAGTTCGTACATCGAATCCCTCCTGAGCGCCACGCCCACCACCACCGACGAGAGCGGCCCTGGCGCGAACACTTCCTCCCCAAGCGACGCTGCAGCCATATCAGCCTTGCTACCGCTACTGGGAAACTCGTCAAGGCTCAGCAGCCTCCCGTCGGGCTTGATCAACCTTTTCGGCGAAGCGACTGTGCAGCGAGGCGGCAACAGCGGCGGTGCCACCACGGCGGCGTGTGCCACCACAAGCTGTCCGCCCCAGCCCGTCGTCACACAGTACTCGACGGTCTCGCCGCCGCCGGCGAGCTGCACCGCACCGGTCCTGGCATGCGACTGCGACATGCCCGGCGACTACTGCGCGCCGGTGAACGAGTGCACGACCATGTGCGCCGGAAGCATGACAAAGAGTTCCTCATGGAGCACAGTCATCATCACGAGCAGCAGCAGCAGCAGTGGTAAGTCTTTCCCACCATCCCCTCCGCCATCCACCCCGCCATCCCAGAAAAAAAAAAGAAAAGAAAAAAAAAACTGACTCCCTCTCCAGAACCCCCGTCCCACCCCGCCACCCCATCATCACCCTCCCCCTCCGACTCCTCCTCCCCCCCCTCCGACCAACCCCCCTACGTCACCACCGACCCCAACACACCCCCCTACCTCCCCTGCACCCCCGGCGCCTTCCTCTGCCACTCCCCCACCACCTTCTACACCTGCAACCAGCCCGCCCCGCCGGACCTCGCCGCCGCCCTCGCCACCAACGGCTGGGCCTGGGGCTGGCCGCGCCCCGTCGCGCCCGGCATGGCGTGTCTGCCCTTCGAGCGCGCGGCGCGCAACGCGACGGAGAGTCCCGGCGCGAACGGCGGGCGCGGCGGCACCGTGCGGGACGATCGCTACGTGAGGAGCAGGCCGAGCGGGGGGTGTGCGGAGGATGGGGAGGTGCGGTGTACGGCCGGTGGGCGGGAGTTTGAGGTGTGCGATCAGGGGGGCTGGGTGGGGATGGGGGAGGTGGCGAATGGGACGTGGTGTGTTGACGGGGGGATTGTGAGGGTGGGTGCGGGTGCTGGGAGGAGGTTTTTGGGTTGAGGAGGGTGAGGGCGAGGGTGAAATGGACGGGAAGGTTTGGATGGGGGGAGGGGGCGAAAAATAGGACGAGGGAGAGAGGGTTGGTGGGGCTGGGGAGGGAGGGGATTCATAGGTTGGCGCTTTTTCTTCTACTTTTTTTTTTTTACGCCATACTACATTCCAAACTTTTGCGTTGTTCTTCCCTAACTATCTCTCCCTTGTTCCATTCTCTCCTTCTGGATGATGATCATGATGATTAATGAGTTTCCTGTCTTTCCTCAGCATCGTAGGATCCACACATTCACTCCCAATTTTCCTCCCCCACCCTTCAACCCACTCTTCCTCCCTCCATACCTGCATCTGGCATATCGGGGCCCTTTCGGCGTCACTCTCTTCGTTCATTTTTATTTTTGTTCTCCGTCATTCTTTCCCTTCCCGTCAGTGCTGGACACCACCATTTATTGATCGTATCCTCCGTACACGAACACCAATATTTCATCTTTCGTAGCTCATGGAAATGATGAATATCTGCAGTTTCAAACCTAATCTTGTCGTGCATGTGAGGTATCACACGCAGACTTTTAAACTGGACAGTGATAGGTGGCACCGCACGGCGCAGTGCGACTTGAGTCTGCAGCCAAGAGAAGCGGTTCATTTGAACAAGCATGCGCGAGGCAAGGATGATGCTAATCATACAGCAGCGGACAGTAGAATCTAAGAAACGCCGCTCTCCTCACGCCCCCAAAAAGAGAAAAAGCCACTTACAACTTACTCTCCCCACCCAGACGATTCGCCCTCACCAACACCTTCACCTGATTATCCTTATCCTCGATCAGCGTCTTGAACCCCTCGGCCTCGACCTCGTCCAGCTCGATCCTCTTCGTGATCATCTCGCCGGGCGTGAGCCTGCCCTCGCTTATCGCGTCCAGCACGGCCCGGAAGTCGCCGGCCTGGTACGTGGCGACGCCCATGTACGAGCGCTCCTTGAAGCAGAAGTCGCTGGGGAAGAGGCTGCAGCGGCGCTCCCAGATGGCAATGTTGACGACGGTGCCGCGGGCGCGCACGGCGTGCACGGCGGCGTCGAGGCCCGCCTGCGCGCCGGCGCAGTCGTACGCGACGTGCACGCCGCCGCCGGGAGAGAGCTCGCGGCAGCGCGCGGGCACGTCGTCGGCGGCGGGGTCGAGCACGTGGTGGGCGCCGAAGCGGCGCGCGAAGGCCTTGCGCCGGGGCGACACTTCGGAGACGATGATCTGGGCGGCGCCGCGAGCGCGCAGGGCTTGGATGACGGCGAGGCCGATGGGCCCGCCGCCGAGGACGAGGACCGAGGGCGTGGTGGCGGGGTCGAAGGGCGAGATGTTGACGGCGTGCCAGCCGACGGCTAGCGGTTCGACGAGGGCTGGTGCGTGGGTGGTGGCTCTTTGTCAGGTCTCTATATATCCCTGTGCTGGCTTAGAAGTCATGGGAGGTTGACGCACCACCGATCTCCAGTGACACGTTCTCAGGCAGCTTGTACAGACATGACTGCGGGGTGACGATGTGCTCGGCAAGGCCGCCGCCCCAGCCGCTGAGGCCGATGAAGCCGTTCTTGTAGCAGCAGTTGATCAGGCCTTCCTCGCAAGCGGCGCAGTCTCCGTCGTAGATGATGGGCTGCACGCACACGCGGTCGCCGGGGGCGAAGTCGGTCACGCCCTCGCCGACTTCTTCGACGACAGCGCTGAACTCGTGGCCGAAGGTGAGGGGGACGGTTTCGCCGGTGATTGGATGAGGAGTGGTGGGGCAGATGCTTGCGCCTCCCATGTACTCGTGCAGATCTGTCGACCATCAGCCGCAGAAAAGACGTGCTCGAGGCGGCGCTGGCCGGGGAACGTGAGGGTTGCGCAGCACACGAGGCATCGTACCGCTCCCGCAGATGCCGACCCAAGCAGGCTTCAGCTATGGTTGAGTAGTGTGCGATCAGCGCTCAGGGCCGGGGCGGAATGCGAACAAGATGCTGCTCACCTTGACCTGACCCTTGGCGACTTGCGGTTCTGGAATGTGGTCCAGCCTCAAGTCGCGCTGGCCGTGGAAACGCACGGCCTTCATGAGTGCGGAGGTCGAGCCCGTTGTTGCGGTCAATTTCTTGATGGCGTCGAGCATGGTTCTCGCGGGCGAATGAGCAGATGATGCCACCACCCACCGGGCGCCCGCAACTTTTTATACTGATCGCATCCTCGTGGAGCCCCCGCGTCGTCGAGGGCGGACGTCAGCGCCGTGTGCCGGAAGGATGGTTATGGGATAGCTGCGGTCGCGGGGCGGAATGCCCAAAGGGAGGGTGCGGGCGGATCACCCCGCATTCCGTCGGTTTGCCGATTTGGGGAGGGAATCTGGGGAAGACAGGGGGAGCGCGAGCCCAGGCTGACCCAGGCTGCCATCGCATCTGGCAGGCCCTGGCGCGCCAATGGATGGGCAAACGCGAACGGCGCCGGAAAAAAGACGTCGCCGTGACGCGCGCTGGGGCTGAGCTGGCAGGCTCGACACGGTGACGCGTGATAGCCCAGGCCCAGGCCGATGGCGGCGGCGGCGGCGGCGGTGGCGGCGGAAAGTGTGCCGAACGCGGGGCATCTTGCAGCGCGGCGCGGGTCGAACGCGGCCACAGCTTCTTGTGCGCGTCATGGCCGCCAGATCCATTCGAGCTTCTGGCGGACCGATGCCGGCAAGTAACGCGGGCGAGACAGTTTTGTAAATCTTTTGCGGCCAGGCTGGGTGAGCAGTAGTAGTGCGCGGGGGCGTGTTTTCACCGTTGCGAGGGGCAGTCGCGTGGGGTATGTGCTGCTCTCATTGGTGGTAAATCTTGGCCACGCTTTTCTGAGCTCGCGACACCTGCCAGCGCTCCACCAGCGCACTGAAAGTCGCGACACGGCGACGCTGCACTGAGGCTCTGGACGCAGCAGGAGGCAGCATTTGTGGGCCGAGACTGGCGAGGCGGGTCGTCGCCCGCTGCCACAGGCGATTCCCAGCCGCCCCCCGATCGATGATGCATGGCTGGATGCAGGTGGATTTTCTACGATAGCGATTGGGACGGTGCCGTTCCCGCCCACGCGCCTTACGCATCGGCTCAATTGGCGCGCCCGGCATGATATCACGGCCGCCGGCCTGTCGTGTCCAGGCCCCGGCAATATTAAAACCCCTCCCCCTCCATCTCACCCGCTGCACCAACTCTCTGCTCTCTGCCCTCCTACCCACTCCCCAGCCAACTGCCACATCACATCCGCCGCCATGCCGTATCCCGAGACCGCTGAAGGCTTCTGTGTCACCGACATCAAGAAGTGGAGCAACTTCACCAAGCAAGAGGTCCGTCGCCGGCCCAACCTGCCCCGCGCCGCTGCCCCACCGGCATCGCTGACAGCCGCTCGGCTCCATTATAGTTCAAGCTCAAGCCCTTCGGCGACCGCGACGTCGACGTTGCCATTGACGCCTGCGGTGTCTGCGCCAGCGACGTCCACACCATCAGCGGCGGCTGGGGCGCCGACATCCCGCTCCCGCTGTGCGTCGGCCACGAGATCATCGGCAGGGTCGTCAAGACCGGCAAGGACGTGACGACGTGCAAGGTCGGCGACCGCGTCGGCGTCGGCGCCCAGATCTCGGCCGACCTGACCTGCGGCAACTGCAAGGCCGACCAGGAGAACTACTGCCCCAACTCGGTCGACACCTACGGCGCCCCCTACCCCGATGGCACCATCTCCATGGGCGGCTACTCCAGCCACGTCCGTGCCCACGAATACTTCACATTCAAGATCCCCGACGGCCTCGAGACGAGCTTGGCTGCACCCATGCTTTGCGCCGGCCTGACCGTCTTCAGCCCTCTGAAGCGGTTAGGCGCTGGCCCCGGCAAGAAGATCGGTATCGTTGGAATGTAAGTACTTGTGTGTCTGTTAAAGGCGTGCGCGCTGACCTGTCTACAGCGGTGGTCTCGGCCACTTTGGCATCCTCTTCGCGAAGGCGTTGGGTGCCGAGGTCTACGCCATCTCGCACAGCCCGAGCAAGAAGGAGGACGCGCTCAAGCTGGGCGCCAAGGACTTCATCGTGACCAAGGAGAAGAACTGGGCGGAGCCGTGGAAGTTCGCCTTCGACTTCATCATCAACACGGCCGACGCGACGGACAAGTTCAACCTGCCCGACTACTTCAGCACCCTCAAGGTCAACGGCTCCTTCCACATGGTCGGCTTCCCGGACAACCCGCTCCCGCAGATCCAGGCCCAGGTCTTCGCCCCCAACGGCTGCTCCATGGGCGCCTCGCACATCGGCAACCGCCCCGAGATGATCGAGATGCTCGACCTCGCCGCCAAGCAGGGCATCAAGAGTTGGGTCGAGACCATCGACATCTCCGAGGAGGGCTGCAAGCAGGCCGTCGAGCGCGTCTACAAGGGCGACAACGTCCGCTACCGCTTCACCCTCGTTGGCTACGACAAGGTCTTCGGAGAGCGCGCATAGACGTATTTCAAGGAAAATACATGAGTGACGATTTTGATGACGAGTTGGGTCAGTGTCCCGCCTTGAAATAAGAGTATATCCGCGGCGCCTTGTGCTGCACTGAGATAGAAAAGCAATGTAATCTTGAATACCACATCGAGTGCACCTGTTGCGTGTTATGTCTTACCATGCTTGACGTTAAGAAAAGGGTTGAATTACCGCCCAATGAAACTTGGGATATGCAAGATGATGGTCATGATATAACGAAGCAACCATCTTGTCTACGGAAAGTGCACACACTTATGATTAGAAGATGAAATCCCCGTTGCAGTCCAAGACATAATCATAGAGCCCTTGCTGGGAATCATCGGGAAACGAAAATCCCAAAGGTGACGGTATTTGAGTCGATGGTCGGAAAGATTGAGAGTTGGAGGCTATGTTGTCATCCGGCCCGGCCGACGTACTCTCGAAACGAGGGGTTTCCCGCTCGACATTACATGTCTGCGCCGGGTGGTCCAATTGTGTACTTTCGGGAAAGTTGTTGGGCCGTGCGGGAATTTGGGGATGTTGAAGACGTGGCAGAGAGTGCGTAAGAGCGTCATTAGACGAAAGCGCTGCATGGAGATCTTGGGGTTGGCCGGACACATGATCGACACGAGCGGTGCTGTAGCCAGAATCACTGTTTTCCACTGGTGTAGCCATCGGCCAGGCTTGGCTCTCTGCCATTGCAGTGTTGTCGGCAGTGAAGGTGACTGCAGGAGGTACGAAGAACATGCTCCCGTGTCGATTTGTGCTTGGTCCTGCCGTGTTCGTTTGAGACACCGACTCTGCTGTGGCGGAGGAATTAGGATTGCCCCTTCCGTAGTTGTGTTCCTCTTGGATTGCCCGTATGATTTCTGGAACACTACTGAGTATTGCCTCCGCGATGTGCTCTGCGGGGTTCTCATCGTCGAGCCTTCTCGCTATGTGTTGTTGGACCAGATCAGGTAGAGTATGGCGTTGAAAATGCTCGTACCGGGAGAATTCATCCCCTGTCCAGCTTTGAGAGTGCATGGTGTCTTCACTGTCTACAAATGTATGTGAGCAGAGCGTTCATATACGATAGCGGCCCGGTTATTTCTACAACTTACAGGGCGATGGTGTGCTCCCGGAAGCATCTAAGGCATCCCCGAACAATATTGTCCATACAGCTCTCCATTTCTCTTCTTCTGACATCGCTTTGGCGGATCTTCTCTTCAGCTCCAGCAAAGTTGATTGACCAAAGTAAATCAATGGCTGGGGCCGAGGTCCATTGCATGTGCTCTGGCCAGTGTCTGGCTGCAGATGCTTTGTCAAATCGGCAGAGTCCTTGAACCGCTTGAAGCAACGCGCGCAGTGTATTACCAATGACAATGCGTGTTGTCGATACAGGTGCTCCCTGAGCATGTTAATGATATGATACAGTGGACCAAGTGTTTGATACTTACTTGACTCTGTGCACGTCTCGGAAAGGATGAACACAAGACGTGGTCAAATCGTCGTTCTGCGAAAGCCTTTTCCGATAGGGGCAAGCGAATTTCTTTTTACCGCCGTCACACCCAGGTATAGAGGCCTCATATCGTGGGCGCTTGGAACCTTCCTCTTCCTCCTCGTCACGCTTGCGCTTCCCCCTCTTAGAGGATGAATTGATGTGGCCTTGCTGTCTAGAGGACGCTGATCCTGAAGTAAAAGACATTCCGTTGGACTGCGATTCGCCTTCTATGGAGTCCGAAGTCGACGATGAGGAGTCCGTAAGGAAGCTCGCTTCGCTAGAGCAATCCGACTGTTCGAGGTCCAAGCCCAGCATGTCCATGGCTTTTCCCATAACCATGTCGATGATCCGTTGTTTTCTCGAATCCAAGGCATGCTTTACCATAATTTTGACTTGGCTGTCAATTGACCTTTCGGTGTCACACGGTCTAGAAGCCTTGGTGGTTGAAGTGGCACATGGAGTCTTCTGGTCGAATATTCCCGCAAGAGTGAACGATATTGAACGGAATTTTTTCAAGAGAGAGAGTTCAGAGAGGCACAGGGAAGTAGGAAATCCAACGCACGTGGATTCTGCCGAAGACCGAAAGGGTGTTGCGACAGAAGCGAATATGTTTGCTTGCCGTGGGCCACCAAAGATGGAGTACTTCGGTGGCGAGAGCTGAGGATAGCGATTCAGAGCCTCGCACAGAACCTTCGTAGCGTTTGTGAGATTCCTCATGAGATGGCTCACAACTTTCTTGCTGTAGGATTTGTGGCCCTTTCTTTGTTTACCTGCAAGCTCGAATTTGGTGATCCAAAACTTCCCTGACCTTTGTTCCTCATCCACAAAATAGCAGACAAGGATCTCCTCATTATTCCGAGTATTTATGGCGCTGAGTGCACCATAACAGTATGCTCCTATCTGGACCTCGGTGATGGTTTTTTGAGGCTTGAAGCCAAGACCATGCTCCGCGACAAACCTCTCCCTCATTCTGATCCCATTGACTGATGTAGTGGAGCAGTCAGTCTTGTGAGGGTAGACCGACTTCCGGAGATTAAGGTAGCGTGGTTGAAGCTCTGCTTCGGCTGTTGATGGGAGGAAAAAGTTGATGCTACTCGCCACCCATTCCAGGACCATCCTGAAATTGAGTATGGACGCCAAAGGGTAATACAGAGGTACGAAGTTTTGCACCAAGTCCGGAAAGCTAACCTTCCCAATGCTTCTGGGGCAGTGGCAGAGCGCATGTATGGCCAGGAGGTAGAGTGGTAGAAAGTTTGCAGTGCATCCGCTGACGGGGCAATTGAAAATATCGATGTTCGAGTGCGACATCAGCAAGTGGATGCTGAGCCTCTTGGAACTGGCGAATGTTCGTTTGGACGGGCCGCATGTGATTGCTGGACACACCAGTGCCCCCTTCTCCTTGTGATCGGCCTGGACACTGCTGGAAATACCGATGGTTGATGTAGATGGACTAGTATAGAGCCAAGATAATGCCGAACTTTGCGCCGATCGGTCAGCTCAAAACTAGGTTTTTAGAGCTCTTTTAGAAGAGAATACCTTGTACCAGATAAGTCATATCTGTTCCACCGGCTACGTTTCCTCGAAGGCATGTCTGAGGCAATGTTTCCAATTTTGCCGTATGGTCTTTTCCTAGTCTCGATCTGCGAACACTTCCTGATCCAATTTTAGCCTGTGGGCAATACGTGTAGAGGGGGGCTGACTTCTCAGAGCATGTTTCACGCAATCGTCCAGTCTCGACAAGGGTTGGCGAGGGTGTTGCATCGATTTGTGCCATCTTTTAGCAAAAGAAAAAGACAAGAAGCCACTTCTGAAAAAGCGTAGCGCAGCTGCAGATTGGCTGGGGCAGAAGGTAGGAGTACGTGAGCAAGGCTGCCTTATAACTATTCGAAACGCGTACGTAGGAGGCTGGCTGCTCGAGTGCGCACCTGCGCACATCGAATTCGCCACACTATAAGCGCAACTGCGCAGATGGTTAGCTCTTATCGATACAATGAGCCAATTGGAGCCCCTACATATTGTGATCGACGCGAGGCGTATCGGGCTGTGCACGTCGCATAAAGTTTCCTTGCATTCAAGCCTTGGGGCCAAAAGGACCATGCCCAATGAGCACCACATTGATCAGCCACAGAGACCTCAGCTTCAGGTTAAGGATCACAGCGGGTTTTAAAGGGATCGATTCCACCCTACGTCCGTCTCAATTCGTCATTGGACTCGACTACTCACGTAGGAAGAGTGGAACATCGTCGACTAGGCATAGGGCCGGAAGTTTGTAACCCGCTGTGCTATGTAGAAGAGCATTAGCTGGCCTGCATCATGTATGCTGCGGATCTTAGCTTACCATGCTGTCGCAATCAATAACATAACAGAAGACGTCGTAACCATGCCCTACGCCCAAAAAAAATATACTTTTTGAAGACAGCGTAGAGTAGTGAAGGGAGTGAACCACGTGAAACATTGCATTGAACACCAGATAAACATATTGAACAATCAGAAATCTTATAAAGTGATGCGTCGAACAAGAAAGAAACCCCCCTCACACTTTTTCATGGTAATCCAGGCATTATCCGGGTATCCTATCTCCACTGCTCAATGCCCCTTCCTCCTTCTTCTTCTTCTCCTCGTCGGTCCGGAACCCCTCCATCCTCTCGCCCAGGAGCCGCAAATCCTCCTCATCCAGGATGCGCTCAACGAACCTCCGCTCGACGCGTTCACCAGCCGCCAGGGCCGCCCGGCCCACCAGGACCGCCACCCGGACCGCCATGGTGACCAGGGCCACCACCGCCGGGCCCACCGCCGAAATGACCACCACCATAGCCTCCAGGACCGCCGCCACCGGGGCCGCCGAACCCGCCGCCATGGTGTCCTCCGGGCCCTCCCGGTCCTCCTCCTCCACCAAAACCGCCCGGTCCACCGCCTCCACCGTGGTGCCCGCCGCCGTGGTGCCCGCCACCGAAGCCGCCGAAGCCGCCGCCACCACCAGGTGGTCCTCCTCCACCACCGCCTTGGTGGTGTTGTCCGCTGCCGCCGAATCCACCGAAGTTCGGCCTGTTGTGATGTCCGCTGCCCGCTCCCATGCCGAGCAGGCCTCCAGGCTGACCGCCGAAGCCGCCTCCCTGGTGATGCCCAGGAGGGCCGTAGCCACCCCCACCTGCTCCGCCTGGTCCCCCCACGTGTTGAGGTGGAGCATCCCATCCGCCGCCTTGGTGCGCAGGTGGCCCGCCGTATCCGCCAGGCGCTCCGCCGCCGTGGCCGCCATGGTGGCCGCCCGGCTGCGGCGACGATGACGGACCGTAGCCGCCTCCGCCGTAGCCGTATTGGTGCTGCTGCTGTTGTTGCTGTCCGTGCTTGCCGCCCATGAGCTTCTGTTCGACTTTGTGCTCGAGCTTCTCCAGGAAACTCTCTTTCTTGTGGGGCGGCTTGTTGTGGCTGCTTCCGCCGAGGAAGGAGGAGAGTCCGCGGTCGCCGTCGCCGTCCATGACTGGCGGTGGTGTTGCTTGTGGTGTTGGTTTGGTCGTGGGGGCAATGGCGGTGGGGTCGACGAGTGTGAGGGCGTCTGCGATGGAGTAGTAGATGAGGAGTGCAGGGTTGTAGGTGCTGAGTTGGAATGGCCAGGCTCAGAGGGTTGTGCGGGAGGGACGGTTATAAGTGGCCTCGTAGGGCGAGGGGGAAGCTTGGGAAGTGATTGCTGGATGACGTCCATAGCGGAGGCGCAGGCCGGAACCAAGCTGTTTGTGTGATAGCGGGGGTTGCGAATTCTCGCGAGTCACGATAGGTGTACGGAAGGTTTCCCTGGCTTCGCGGCGGCGGGTGGCAGACATGACGTTGGCCGCGTGGCTTGGGGGGGTGCGCTCGTTAAATTGTGGCGCATTGGGGCGGGCGGCAGGGATGGGCGTCGTCATCCTGAGGCACTAAGCGGCCAGGCCGGAAACACGGCACATGGCGCGAAACTCTGTGCGCTGCGGAAGGGTGGTGTGCCGAGGCGCGGGCTGGCCTTTTGATTGCTGCTAGAGTCAGTCGGGGGGAAGAGCGCGGGAGCTCGTTTTCGACGCGTGTGGCTGTGTGGCTGTGCAGGCAGGATCCATCTCCTGGCACGGGTTCCGCGGGGCCCCTCAGCGCAGGGTCCTTTTGCGTGCCTAGCGGGATCCTCCCGCGGGCGTCACGGCAGGGCGTCCGAAGCAGGCCGGTAGGTGTTGCTGTGCCTGCACAGGATGCATGGTGCAGAGGCGAGGTTTTGCTGCGGGGCGTCGGCTGGGAGATTGATTCTGCGCCTGCCCGCTGACGCTGCAAACACCGCCCACCATCTATCCACCTCCACGCCTTGACTGCTCCCCGCAACAACCGGCCCCCCCAACCTCACGATCCACACCTGGCCCATGCCGCCTATCCACCATGGACTCACCGAGCCGAGATTCAGCCGTCTTCCGCCTGCGGTCTTACCAGGCTGAAATGGTCGAAGAGAGCCTGAGGCAAAACATCATTGTTGCTGTGCGTCCCAGCAGACGCCCGACTCTCCCTGATTGCAACTAATTTCCGCTGCAGATGGACACTGGTAGTGGAAAGACCCATGTGTACGACCATTCAACCCTTGCATCGGCGCCATCACTGACCACCCCAGCGCAATATCACGCACCGCCGCCGAGCTCGAAAGCTGCGACCCAAGCCAAGTAAACTGCCCTCCTCCATCTACTCATCATCTCTTCTTCTGACTTGCGTATAGCTGGTGTGGTTCATTGCGCCTACCGTCACCCTCTGCCATCAGCAGTTTTGCCTGTTTGAAAAGCATCTGCCCGCCTACCAGATCCGCTTTCTTAGCGGCGGTGATAACGTCGACCGCTGGACTGACCAGAACATTTGGGATGCCGTGCTCAGAAACATCCGCGTTGTCGTATCGACACCGGCTATACTGCTGGATTCTTTGACCCATGGCTTTGTGAAAATCTCACGGATTGCCCTCCTGATCTTCGATGAGGCCCACATGTGTCGCGGCAACCATCCTGCAAATGCCATCATGCAGAGGTTTTACCATCCACTGCTTGCCAACGGCTGCCAGAATAGCCTGCCCAACATCCTCGGCTTGACAGCGAGCCCAGTGGTCAGTACAAATGCAGACGGACTGGAGATTATTGAGCGAAGTCTCAACTCGATTGCCAAAACTCCCAAGGTCAACCGAACAGAGCTCCTACGCTTCACACACAGGCCAGAGCTTGTGCAACTGAAGTACCCTGGACAGACCTCGGATCCGTTGGCTGGGCCGCCGATTCTAGCTTCCCTGGCCGGCGTTTATTACGCATACGACATCCTAGACGATCCATACATCATCAGCCTGCGTCGCAAGATCTCTAAGGCTACAGATGAGTCAAGGGAGCAGGTACTCAAGGAGCTTGAGAAGCTTATTAACAACCGAAAAACATACGTCCACGAGCAGCTGAAGAAACTTTACTCACGAGCGCTCGGAATCTACAATGAACTCGGTAGCCCTCCAACAGAGTTCTATGTCCGGAGTTGCATTGCAAAATTCGATGCTTTCTTGGCCAACTCGAGCCACCTACTCCTTGACTGGTCAGAAGAGGAAGGTTCGCGTCTTCATAACACTCTTGCCATGGTGGCGGCCGCCCAGCCTATAAACTATCATGTGTGCATGCAAGACAACCTGTCACCAAAGATGAATGCTCTCGCCGACCTTCTACTCTCGGAATGGAACGAAGACTTCACCGGCATCATCTTCGTCGAGCAACGCGCTACCGTTGCCGCCATGGACTACGTGCTTTCAAACCACCCCCAGCTTCACCATCTCTTCAACGTCGGCACCTTCGTGGGCACTTCCATGACTGTACAAAGAAAATCTCATCTTGGCATAGGTGACCTGGTTGAAATAAAACACCAGCAGCAGACCCTTGAAGACTTCCGTGCCCGCAAGAAAAACCTCATCGTCGCAACGAGCGTACTGGAAGAAGGCATTGACGTATCAAACTGTCACATTGTCATCTGCTTCGAGCCCCCGAAGAACCTCAAGTCTTTCATACAGCGCCGTGGCCGAGCAAGGAAGCAGGATTCCAAGTTCATCATCATGTTCCCTGAAAACTCCCCATTCGTGAAATCACCAGAAGTCTGGCTGGACTTGGAAGAGCAAATGAAGGAAGCGTATTTGAATGACCTACGGGTAGTCCAAGCCGCGGAACAACGCGAGCAACTTGAAGAAGAGGGAGACGAATCCTATCGCTGCGAATCAACTGGGTATGTTTCCAACCCTCTCGCTTTTTTGTTTCGGTTTTGTTTTGCTAAGATGTAGTAGGGCACTCCTCACACTTGATAATGCGATGCAGCACCTGTACCATTTCTGCGCCATCCTTGGCGGCGGCCGACATGTGGATTTGCGGCCTCGTTTCTCATTCACCGTAGACGAGAATGATCTCACGACTGCCACCGTCACTCTGCCAAATTCAGTGGATTCCAAAATCCGCCAGCACCGAGGGACAGGATCATGGTTGACGGAAAGGGCTGCGAGAAAAGATGCAGCATTCCATGCCTACGTCGCGTTACATAAAGCGGGCTTGATCAACGACAACCTGTTACCTTTGCTCAATGATTCGGAAGATGGGCCAGACTTTGGTGTTATTGATCACAGACCAGCGATGATCCAGGCTCAAACTCGTCTGGATCCATGGATTCCACAGGCTCAGACTGTCAATTCATGGAAGTCATCGGATACATGGCACAGAACAAAAATATCAATACCCATGGAAGCACAGACGGTAAGTCTGGTCATCCTCTTGCCCCGGCCGATGCTTCAGGTCCCGGACTTCCTTCTTCACTGGAACGAGAATATCCGATACAATTTGAGCAGCGAACCGATGGACGCCATTACACTCAACGAAAACGACTTGACATCGCTTCGTCATTCCACGAGGAATCTGCTTTGTATCATCTTCGGGCATCATTTGGCGGAAGAAAGATATGACTTCCCTTTTCTAATAGCTCCGTATGACGTGACTGGCGAAGTTGGAAGCCATCTCCAAACATTCAAGAGTGACAGCAGACCTGCACTTGAAGTCTATGCGGAGCTGCAGGCGGGCCAAGACCCAACCATAGGCCTTCTGCGTCAGGACGGCCTTGTGGGGCACCATTTAATTTTTCGCGGCTTCCAAAATACCGACATCGACATGACTGATGACAAGAATGTCCAGCAAGAAGACGAACCAACTGTCCAGGTCGTCTTCTCAGTATTCCCCAAAAGGCGTGACTTTTTGCATTATGTCCGGGACTCTTCACAACATGGCATGTATACGAGAGAACATATGCTACCAGCGAAAGACTTCCTCATGGACAGATTGCCGGTTTCATATGCCATATTCACAGCTTTCTTACCCTCGATCTTGCATCGCTACGAGCTTTTCATGATTGTCCAAGAGCTTTGCAGCACTGCGTTATGCTCTGTAGGCTTCACCAACCATGCACTGGTCCTCCGTGCCATCACTGCATCGTCTACGAACGAAAACGATTATCAAAGATTGGAATTCTTGGGCGACTGCATCTTGAAGTTCAGCACTGCCGTTCAACTCATGGCGGATTTCCTTCACTGGCCCGAAAGCTATCTTACCGAACGCAAAGATCGCATTGTCTCCAACGGTGCCCTTGCCAAAGCCTCACGCCGCTCCGGTCTCGACAAGTTCATACACACCAAAGCCTTCACAGGGTCCAAATGGCGACCTCGCTACGTAGGCAATATCCTGGCCAAAGCCTCAGAAGCGCCTTCAGAAACTCGCACGCTGTCCACCAAGACCCTTGCCGACGTCGTGGAGTCCCTCATCGGCGCCGCGTACGTCGAGGGCGGCATGCAGAAAGCGCATCTCTGCACATCAGCACTCCTCCCCAGCTTGCAGTGGCAACCGCTACTCCGCTCACGCAAGATCCTGCAGGACCACGCGGCGGAAGAGCACGCCTCGGCCGCACCGCTGCACCTCGAGCGCGTCGAGGAGCTCATCGGCTACACATTCAGGAACAAGCACCTCCTCCTCGAGGCCCTGACACACCCGTCCTTTTCCTCGTACCGCGAAGCCGCCTCGTCGTCCTACCAGCGCCTCGAGTACCTCGGCGACGCCGTGCTCGACTACATCCTCTCCCGACGCCTATACGCCTACCGCAGACCGCCGCCGCCAAGCGCCGTCGAAACCACAAACACCAACAAGACCCCGCGACGACGACCGCCACCGCCGCCCCCGCGCGGCCACGCCGCCGACGAGATCCCGCACGGGACGATGCACTGCATCCGCGCCGCGCTCGTCAACGCGCCCTTCCTCGCCTTTCTCTGCATGGAAGCCGCCGTCTTCGAGCCGCGCAGCGGCGACGTCGTTTTTCACCCCGTCGCCGCTCCCAGTTATACTTCGACTCACTCTCCCGTCCCAATGACGACGACGACGACGACGAGCAACGGCAAGACGGCAGCAGAAGCCGAACAACAAAAACAACAACAACAGCAGCAGCAGCAGCAGTTACCACCGTGGACCACCATCACACCCGCCCCGCCCGCCCGCAAGGCCTTGTGGCAGTTCATGCGCCACTCCTCGCCCACGCTCCTCGCCTCGGCCGTCGCGGCGACGGAGAGGCACGAAAGGCATCGTGGGAGCATCTGGCGCGCGTTGCGGCAGCAGCGGCCGCCGCGGCCGGAACCTCGTCGTCGTCGTCGCTGCGGCGCGGGGGAAGATGTACTGGAGGAGGAGCAGGATGCAGGTGATGAAGGCGATCAGGAGGAAGAGGAGGGGGAGGGGGAGGAAGAAGAGGAAGAAGAAGAGGAGGACGAGGACGAGGACGAGGAAATCGTGGTGGACGGCCGCTTTTACCGGCGGTATCCGTGGCGGCTGCTCGCCAAGATCGGCGCGGACAAGTTCTTTTCGGACGTGGTCGAGGCGGTGCTCGGGGCCGTCTTTGTGGACAGCACTTCGGTCGAGGTTGGCGGGTCTTCTGGTTCGGCTGCTGCTGCTGCTGCTGCTGCTGCTGCTGCCGCTGCTGCGGAGGTTGGTGGTTGTGGCGGCGGCGACGACGACGAAATTTCGGCTTGCGAGGGCTTTTTGGCCAAGATTGGGTTGATGGATGTGCTGGAGGGGGTGTTGAGGGATTCGGTCGAGTGCGTGCATCCGAAGATGTTGTTGGGGCGGTTGGCGAGTGCGGAGAAGGTTGTTTGGGAGTGGGCGGGAGATGGAGATGAGGATGGCGATGGCGATGGCGATGGCGATGAAGTGGAGGCGGTGGTGGAGGAGGCTGTGGCCCCGGTTGGACCTCGGAAGGTGGTCAGGTGTAGGGTCGGTTTGGGAGACCAGAAGTGGATTGGTGGATGGGTCGAGGGGCAGACTAGGCTTGAAGCTGAGATTGAGGCGGCGGATCGAGCGGTGTTGATTTTGTTGGCAGAGGGGAGGAGATGGAAGGGGATGGAGAAATGGGATGGGGTGAGCGGGAAGGACGTGGATGGGGATGGGACAGAGGATGGAGGGGTTCGAAATGAAGATGAGAGCGAGGACAGTGAAGAAGCGGATCGGGCTGTTGCTGGCGCTGGGATCGGGGTTGATGTGGTGATGGGTGACACTTAACTGGTGTGGACGGAAAGGCTGCCTGAATGTCGTAGTCTCTGGTTTCGAAGTGGATGAGGATTGTATGACTGCCTTTCTGTAGACTATTTCAGTTTGGCTACAACAGATTGGAAAACGAATTTTGAAGATTTTGACATAGACATCCAATTTATTCCCTTGCATGTTATCCTCACTGAACGACTGCGATGGGCTGGCATCGTCCATCTCAGAGCAGGCGGCGAAGATCCATCTCCCAACTCCCCCAATGAACAGTCTTGAATAACTGCCACCAAAACAGTTGTCCGATGCCCACATGCTCCGAAATACCTTCTACGATCTCAACTCCATGTACGGACCCTTGCTCCACTGATGATCACCCTGATACGCATACCGCCGCCATTTTATCGACTTTGTCACATTCGACGGGATTGGCCCGGAAGTTGTAGAATCCAGCCACTCACTGTGATTAATTTAATCAAAGAACGGCGCATTGTGCACTGGAGTGTCAGAGAGAAATTCGCCCGATGACAAGGCCTGCAGGAATTCATCTTCGAACTACTTTACTTTGTTCTTCCTTGCAAATGCATACTGTAAAAGATATCTGAATTTTCCTGATAACCACAACGTGAAATACGGTGGAACGAGCGAGTGCGGTGGATAGGTCGAACGGCTTGTTGGTGACTGGAGGACGCTAAGATATTACAGTGAGAAACTAGGTAGGAAAGGCATGGTCTGCCGGGTCTAACGACCATGGCGTGTAGGCAACAGCCAGGCTGGCTTCCATGAACGAATGTGGGCCGTCCACGTCGCACTCCTTAATTGGGGGGTGGGGCTGCTTGGATGCTAAGATCGAATCTGCCTTGCATATGCAGTCAATAAATAGACATCAACCGGCATTACGTGATTGGCTGGAATTCACAGCCTCATGGAGCTTGTACTCTGATCAGCCGCAAGGCTAAATAATGCACTCGAGGAGTCGAGGCTGCCTTAGCGTTGCAGCAGGCTGCAGGACCAATCAACCGCTCGCGCAAGTGGGAAGGCAGACGTTACAAACGGGGAAAAGAAAATATCGTCGGCGATCCGGCTACTACACTCCTAACGTTAGTACAATTTAAAATGGTGATTTTCACGCGCAACTCACGTCATGCGAAAACTCCACTCTCATGCCCCATCTTCAAGTCCTCAGCCAAAACCTGCATCTCAACAAGCACCATAAAATCTAACTAAAAAGAACTAAAAGCTATGTGATAGTTCTACGTCGATAGCTCGACTTCTAGAAGTTTCTGGGGTAAGGAATAGTTAATTTAAGCACGGATATCCTCTCCGCACGGTCTAGAAACTGTGGTAGGGCCACTTAGGTAGTGCTCAGTCATTCCTATACGAATTGCAGTAGGCAATTACTCCTATTGAATCCTTCGCCCTGTGGGGAAAGCCTTGTCATTGAGACAGACGCTAGCACCTCAAAGCGTTGTGTAGTCGGAAGAATATTATTTTTGTGTACTCGCAGTCAGAACCTGCGCTTGGTATCTCAAATATGCAGAAACGCTATCAAACGCTCATCCAACTCCATGCCCCGTCTAACACGCTTCTCCATGATCATCCCTGCACGCTGTCCCTCTTTCCCTCCATCAACTTCGTAATCCTCTCCTCCTTCTCCTGCAGTTCCATCATCAACCTTTCTTTCTCCAAATCCCACTTCTTCCTCTCCTTTCTCCGCTCGCTCAACTCCTCCGCCTGCGTGTAGATGCGGTCGCGCAGGGCGGCCATCTGGCGCTGGAACTCCACCCTGCCCTCTTGACGCTCGCAGCTGCGTGCCGCCTCGGCCATCAGCTCCGACACCAGGCCGTCATCCGTGCCACTGTTGCTGCCGTTGACGCTGCCGCTGCCGCTGTCGCCGCAACAACAATTGCATCCCTCATCGGATCCCGACCCTTCTTGGATGCTGCTGCTGTGGCCGAAAAGCGACGTTGTGGCCCGCGGCGGGCTCGACGACATCAGCATGAGGCCGTAATCGCTATTTCGCTTGCTGGGCGAGTGCGACATTGACGAAGAGAAGATGGACGGCACGACAGGGGCGGGAGCGGAGGGGCGGCGGATGGCTCCGTGGTCGTGATGATGGTGATGGTGGAGATGGCGGTTTTGCTCGTTGCTTTGCTGCTGCTGCTGCTGTTGTTGTTGTTGCTGCATGCGCAGCTTTTCCAGTTCCATAGCTAGCCGGTGCTGCTGAGCGCGGGCGGTGGCAAGCGCCGCTTCGAGGTTGTTGACGCTACGAATGTCCTGGGTGTCTGTTGATTTTGGAGACATTGGCTCCTGCTGAGACACGGGGTGCGTGGGCGCTGGTTTGGCTTTCGGCGTGGGGACGGTTTTTGGCGAAGGACTGCTCGTGGAGGCGGCCGAGGAGATGGGGGTTGATGTCGAGGCAGTGGATGCAGCGGAGTTGGCTGTTTTGCTCGTGGATGACGAGGAGGCGGATGGTGAAGATGGCGGGCGTGCTGCAGAGGAAGATGACGGGGCGGCCTGAGCGATGGTCTCGAGACCAGTGCGGAAACGCGAGGCAGCCATTTGGTGTTCGTCCCTCACGAGGGCTGCGGTGCGTTGCTGGGCGGCGAAGGAAAAATGGCGAGTTGTTGGCGAGGCCGGGTGGCTGGCGTAGCGGAAGTGTCTGATCTGCCGGGGTCCGTGTTGGAAGGATGGCGGGTAGGACCAGTAAAACGGCGCAGGTGACGCGAGGGCGGGTTTCAGGGCAGTGGTGTGCTTGTCGAAACCGGGGCTGCGGCGCGTGTAGCAGACGCGAGATGGCAGGGCTTCGCCTAGAGGAAGGGCTGGCTGTCAGAATTGTGTGACTTGGGCGAAGAAGTGCCAAGAAAATGCACCAAAGGGGGATCTCGGGTGGCGGCGGGGTGGGCCGTCTTTTGTACGCAGATAGGGAGCATGCAAGACAGGTCATATCATATGCAGGCACCCCGGCCTCGCATCGCGGGAGCGGCAGACGTACCTGGATTGGGTGGATATTCGCTTGCGCACATGATGGTGGTGTGGTCGGAGAAGGATGCAGGCTAAGAGCCGGCTTGGGGCTAGGTGCGCAACGGCGGGTGGCTGCTGCAGAGGCTGGAAGGCGGGAATGCAGCTGCAGCGCGACGGCGAGACGGCGGGCTATGTAGTTGCGGATTGTTGGGGCTGGCCGTCCGGACCCTGCAGAGCAGCGCATCGGGCAGCCGCTCCCGGTGACGTCAAGCTGTGAGGCCTGCCCGCCTGCGCCCCACTCACATGGAAGCCCCAGGCACACAGGGCAGCAGCTCTGCGCTTGGAGCCAGAGCCCATCCCGTCCCCGCTAAGCACTACCTGCCACTGCCCCGTGCAAGCGGTGAGCTGGCCAGATGTCGCGGCCTGACTGCTGCGCGCCGTGTCTGCTCGCTCGCCCGCTCGCCCGCTCCTTCTCGCCCGCGCCCGAGGGCTGAGCCTCCTGCGTGACGCCCAGCCGCGTGACTGCCGCCCTCTCGTGCCTCTGCAGCCTTTTTCGCTGCCGCCCACCGTCCGTTTGCGACACCGCCACCACCGTGCCCACGAATCAGCGCCCCAAGCCTGGCCAGTTCCTGCTGCCCTCCCGCCAGGATCGCCACCGCCGGCGCCTCCTCAGCCTCACGCTTGACGGCACCAAGTGAGCACCAAGTCAGCACCAAGCAGGGCTGCTGGTGCAGCACCACCGAGCCCACGAACCCTCCGCGCACGCCGGCCGCGGTGAACAGTGCTCCTGCTGCCGGCTGCCGCACCTGTCGCCGCGCTGCAGCACCGCTTGATGGCATTTCGGCATCTAGTCCGACCACGCTGGCTGTTTACGTGATTGCCGCTGCTTTGGCTTCTCCCATTTGATCAACCCCCTAGCCCTGCCGGCCGACCAACAGCCCTGCAGCTGACCGCCCTGCTGGCTTAGCGTAGCTGCGACGCCAGACAATCATATCGTCATTGTGGAATCGTGTCGTGGTGTCTACAGCGCCCCGGCGTGTGCAGCGCCTCGGCGTGACCCGGAGATTTCGCTCCCTTCGCTTCCCTGGGCTAGATGAATCGCTGACAATCAAACGGCGAAATACCTGACTTGTGCAAAGGCCATAACTTGGAGTTGGCACTATTGGCGTCGAAACGGCCTCACCTCGGATCAGACCTGTCCCTCCGCACCCCTCACTATTTCCTCCGTCCTAAATCCGGACTCCTGCTTGCCTCATCAAGAGCCAGGTTCCAAATGAGGAAAAAGCCGCTGCCCGAACGACGTCAGCAATATTGAGAGAGCGACAACACCATCTTGTTGTTTGGCCCGCTGACCACGTCTTGGAGACGGGCACCATTGGGCAACTTTGCAACGTATTATTCGGGTACTGTGGCTGGCGGGACCGTGATTGTGGCGGGGCTCCATTTGTCGGAGCAACGTGGGAATCTCGATGCAACACGCTATCGTGCACTCAAAACACGGAAGAGCCCGCGTGTCGTGGAAACATCCGGTCTGTGCCACGGCACTCGCGCATCCTCTACAGCTGAAGACGAGAGGAGTTGGAAAAGTTTATAATTCATGTTCGAGAGAATGGCCGGACCGCCGCCATCGTACGTGTCAGACCGAGAGCCTCTCCAATCGAACTGCGGTATACTACTAAGCGATCCGGTCCTCGTACGAGGGCTGACAAACCCACAACGCCTCCGTCATCCACGTGTCGGAGCGGAAGCCATGCTAGAACAGTAGCCGGCGCTTTCAACGGTCGGCTGTTCCGATGCGCCTTTGTCTCCACTGCGACTGACCACTTCCGTGAGGGGCCTACGTACGAACATCAAGGCGGATGCGGATGCGGATGAAGACTCCAACTCCACTCATCTCACCTCCGCCCGCTACGTCACACCTGCAGATCTTTGCATGACTCGACTTTGATTATTGATGAATTGACTATGCCTGGCTACCTTGTAAACATAGCCTTGTTGTTAGACCCTATCAGCTTCGGTATCCAGACTGATGGAGCCGAAATGACCAGATACGGAAGCGGGAGATGAGACGCAGCAGATTCCAATCGTCGACTTGGCTATACCAAAGCACAATGGAAAACGCTGGAGCTTGATCCAACCGCGTTCAGGCAGATCCTGGCTCAAAAGATTGCAAGATCAAAAGAAGGTCGGAATCTGTTGGGCAAATAAGCAGCAAAGGTCGAGCACCGAGACAGATGGATTACAACACTCACCAGAAATATTCAGCAAATCTCGCGGTCCCTCCTTTGGTGCAGATGCACACAGGCACGGGTAAAGCACCGCATCTGCCACACCGGTTATTGTGGGAACCTATCAGTCCAGTAAGCGGCACTGCTCCTTTCACCCAACGTACCAAGGGAGGGAGCGAGTCCAACGCTCACCGGCAATACCCATGTCTTTTTTGCGGTCCCTCCTTTGGCAGCAAGATGCATACACAGGCACGGGTAAAGCACCGCTTCTCATCAGGTAAATCCCGAAGACCCTATGGAGAGAAAATAAGCGCCACTGCTCGTCTCACCTCGATCCGGCGTTCGACGTTGGGGTGAATAGATGCAACGCTCACCAATCGGTTTCCAGATCCTCCCTCGCGGTCCCTCCTTTGGCCGCAAAGTGCATGCGCAGGCACGGGTAATGCACCGCCGTTCGTCACCGCCTAAACCCTACGCCAGGGCTCCTCCTCATCTGTGGCGTACATCTCGTGATCGACGTCTCCGAACAAGTCCGGGTTCTCAGCCTCATTGGGGACCCTGGGCTGGCACAGCGGGTCGAGAGACTCCGTACGCTGGACTAGCGGGGTGAGTGACTCCGTGTATTCGTGACAGCTGCCCTCGTTGTTGTAGTCGTACTGCTCGTCATCATAGTAGCCCGCGCTCTCAAGGCGTGTGTAGCTATCGATGATGTGTTCCTCATCCACGTAGCGGTATCCATCGCGCATGTTTCCCTCGACCAGGTGGCCCTCCGAGTCGCGGAAGATGCCGCTGAACTCCTGCTGAATGGGCGGCAGCAGCCGCTGCTGACGCTGTTCGGAACGATCGTGCTCGCGGCTGCGAGACTGGGCCGGGCCGTACGTGCCACTACTACTACCACTACTGCGGCGGCGGCGGCGGCTAGCGCCAACGACAACGGCGCCATTGTTGTTGTACTTGCCGGACTGACGCGAACCGCTCCTGGACGGGACGCCGGAGTGGCAGCCGACGCTCGCGCTCCTCCTCAGGCTACTACTCCTCGGCACTCCCGAGTAATTCGAGGCGCCAGAGGACCCGCCGACGCTCATACTCTCCCGCAGCGCCATCTTCTCGCGATTGTGTCCAGCAGTAGCAAAATGTCCAGCAGATCCGATTCCAAGGCCGTCACCATATGCACCGCTGGATCCACCATCACCATAGCCACCGCCGTGGTAGGGGCTCCTCATGCCCGCTCTTTCCTTGCCTTTCGCGCTCCGGATGTCGTCAATTTCGCGCTCCAGCCTGCGCTCCTCGCGTCGCAACTCCTGCACCACACGGCCCTGCTTCTGCCTGCGATCCAGCTCTCTCTTGCGTTCGACACCCCTCTGGACGGCGTACATGGCCGGCGTCGGTTCGAAGATCTCGGGCGGCTCCGCGGGCGGGCCGCCCTCCAGCCGGCGCAGCGTCATGGCCCGGTTCCAGATCTCGTTGCGCTCCGGGTAGTGATTTGCGTCGGGCTTGAACGGGTTCGTCTTGTGGACGGCGGTCAGCGTGCCGTAGGAGGACACGCCCTCGATGGACGGGCGGCCGCTGGACGGAACGGGGCTGGAGACGACGCGGCGGAGACGACCGTGATGATGAGGTGGGATGTTCATGTTATGGATGTGCTGAGGCTCCTCTTCCTGCTGGCCGTACTCTGCTGCGGCGCGGTCGTGGTGGTCCGCCGCGTACTGCGAAAAGTTCTCGAAGAGTCTGGCATCATTACCGTTGTAGGCGTTCTCATCGTGGCTGGCGTAACCTTCCTCGTACGTGTTCCTGGGTGTGCACTCTGGGGCAAGAGAGCTTGAACGAGCGAAGAGATCGTAATCGCTAGGGATTTGGTCACTGAGGGACGGAGCGCCCGGCCGGTGGTGAAAATATTCCGGCACGTCGTCCGTTGTCTCCTCGTTGGGGTTGTTGCTGCTCACGCTCAAGAAAGGGTTGCCATAACCCGTCTCCTCGAATTCTGCGTTTTCGAAGGGGACGTATGAAGGACGACTGCGCTCATACTCGGGTCGACAGCGTTCATACCAGCGGAGGCCGTCCTGGACGACGGGAGGAGACGACTGACCGGCTTGGACGGTGCCACAGCCGAAGCCGCGGTTGCGCTCGTGCGGGTTGAAGTGAGGCGTAAGAGGCGTCGATGGGGCTGACGCGATCTTCTCGCGGATGAGCTGCCGCTCGTCTTCGTCCAGCTCGCCGGTCGCATCCAGCGGGTGCGTCGGGATCACCACAAGCGTGTCGCGGACCGCGCCCCTGCGAGGCTCGGGGCGTGGGATCGGCTTCGAGATTTCAACGCGGCCGCGGCTGGTGCTGGAGCGGGCCGGGACCGTCTTGGTGCCGCCGGAGCGACGCTTGCCGTGGTTGAAGACCCGAGCCACCGCGCCCTTTGCGCGCAGGGCCACGGCGGCGGGGCTTTTGGAGTGCATCAGCGCGGCGTGCTTGGCGATTTCTGCGCTCATGGCCGTCCACTGCTCCCAGCAGGTGAGGGTCGCCGAGTTTAGGTGCTCCGCTGCCATCTGGACCTTTACGAGTTGCTTTCCCAGCTGCATGAAGTAACTCATTATGATCTGTTCCGAGGCTGACGGGCTCGGCTTTGCGTTCATCTCGTGTTGGAAGGGGTCTCTGACTTCGTCATAGAAGAGTCGGTACATGAGACCGGCGATTTTTGCATTGCATTCTGCGCCCAGTTGTGTAGGGATAGGTCTGCGTTTAGTATCAATGGCTTCTCGGAGGAGGGGGTGAGGAAGGGGGACACGCACGAGAGCATCAGCCTGAACTTCTTGATCTCCTTGCCGTGGACGTCTTTGTGGAGTTGCATAAAGTTGGGTGTGTCGCGCTTGACGTCGATTTTCCTAATGGCTTCCTGGAGGGCTCGCATCTGTCCCAGCCAGCAGTTCACAGTCAAGTTGATCTCACCCACGATCTGGGTGGCGCGGTTGGCTGTTTCGTGAGTGATCGGGTTGTTGTGGAAGCAGCCCCGAAGGTCCTTGTGAATTGCGAGAGCGACTTCGCACAGCCTGTCCTGCAGATTGCCGTCCCACGCGATGCGGACGATGTGCTCGACCAGCTCGAGAGTTGCTTTCGTGGGGACGAGCGACCTCAGCGACCGGTCGCTCATGTCGCGGTGACCTTTTTTGCCACCCTTTGGAGTGGGCAGCATGGGTGAGGGGACGTCGTCGCCTGTTTCGTGGTCCGTCCCGTGGTCGTCGTGAAGTGAGGCGTCGCCCTGCTCGTCTTTGCATGTGAGGTGACGGATCATATCGTCAATCTGGGCGTGTTCCTCGCGAAACGCGCCGCCGCTCAGCGCCAGACGCGCGTCAGGGTTGGCCATCCTAGGGCCGACAGGTGGTGAGAGTGGCTGCGCCTTCGACTGGTGCTGAGTGAGCATGGGGTTCGCTGACGGCGGCGCTTCAGCAGTCCAGTACGTTGACGCGCTCTCTTGGTTGACCGAGCGCGAGTACACGGACGACGGCACCCGGCGAGGCTCTTGGCGCTCCATGGTGTTCGACGTGTTGTCGGCGCGTCTCGCGGGCTTGGGGGGTTTCGCGGACGGTTCGTGGGATGAATGTTGTTGAGGTTGTTCGCCTGCGAAGGCCATGTTTGCAAAGGCGAAATCCATTGTGCGCGGATTGAGTGGCTGGCTCAAATGGCAAATGAATGACAAGAAGAGGGAGAGGGAGGGAGGAAGCAGTGACGAAGAGGCAGATAAATATACAGAAGATCTGGGGGGCCCGTGCACAAACCCGTGAGTACACCCATGGTCCAAAAGGCTGCCACCCTCCCCGAGGATAGCCCGTACATGATGAGTTGCCCAGCGGGAGCTGTGAGATGCTGTGATAGTTAGTTGAAGGATCACCTAGACACGATAGTGCAGCTAAACTTTCACCACCCATGTCTAGACAATAAATCCAACAAACCATCAAGAACCGCCATCGCAGAGTAATACCTGAGGTCAATCAATACCGAGGATTGTTGATGCAAGCGAAGTCACAGAATCCAGATGGACAGAAGTGCAATGGATGTATGAAAATTATGAGAAAAATGACATTATATAAACAAACGCCTTCAAAAATTGCATGTGCCACTTGACCTCAAGCAATCCACCTATGAAGCGAAAGGACGGGATTGGAAGCGGAGGAGTGACGGTGCCCTTCGGGAACCCAAGCTAAGACAAGACGTCGAAGACATGGGCGTAAAAACCGAAGGACGAATTTCTCTTCGCACACAGACTCGATCGGCACGACATTGAAGCCCTCTTGCAACAGAGCTGCAGAAGGGCGACGTGTCAACTCAAAGGTGGGCGGTCCAGACTAGGGTGGTAACCTCGGCGAAATCAGGCGCAGGGGAAAGGACTAGCTGAACGTTGGTCACGATCATCGTTGTCCACTGGTGGCGGATGGTTCCGAGATATCATCTTCTTCATCATCGTCAACAGGTACGTCCATGACTCGCTCGCTAGCCTTCTCGAGCGTCCTACGCGCCCAGGCACGGACTGCTTTCCACACGCCCTGATGAGAATTAGCCAGGGAAATTGGCATGTACGAAGGCATGCACTTACATAGAGGACGGTGGCAATACCAATCAGGACAACCCCCCAACTGATATTCGCAAGTCTGTCGCGACCAGTATTGCCACGGCCTGACCCACCCAAGGGTCCACCCCCCATGCGATAGACCCTGATGGGGCTGACGAAGATGTACTTCACAAAACCAAGGATACCTAGAGATGCGAAACCCTTGACGAAATGGAAAGACCACCCCTCAGGCTCGTCCTCTTCGGGGACCAGATGTTCGTAGCTGGACGAACTACCACCTAGCGGGACCACGGTACCAACCGGATCAAGGTAGAGGTTGATGATGGGGTCGGCGACGAAGCCGAGAAAGAAGGTTGCCAGGAGAAAGATGCCAAAGGTCAGAGCAATCTGAGTCGCGGTGCTGCTAATCCATCGACCCCAGGCCATGCGTTCGAGCCGGTAGCGAAACCCGCAAGTTGGACATTGCCAATAATTCCGTCTGCCGTAGGACGGATCAGCATGACGCCACGACTGGAGGCATCCTTCATGCACATAACGCGAAGATCCTTTGCATTTGCATGGGGTGATGAGACGGCCTTCCTCCGATTCATATGTCACGTTAGGCTCAGTCTGGAACATTGATGGTAGGTTCTCGGAAGGCTGATTGAAGGTTGGGAGAACGGTTTCCAGGCAGATGCGGCAAGTCCTTGGTCCATAGGAACGCCTTGGTTTGGGTTGATCCTGCGCTGAGCCGGTAGGTTGGGTGTTTTGCTCGGGCTGGTGGACTTCCTCATCGGGCTCATACCATCCAGGCATGCTTGTTGTGCTGGATTTGGGGCGATGGCGAGGTTGGGAATCGCCAGCTGGCGTTGCGCTCGCAGGCCCTTCGGCTGAGTGCGGAACGTCATCTGGCCAGCTCCAGCCCGGTGTTGCCTGGAAACCGCTGGACGTCATGGTCAAAACGACGGGCGTTCGATCAAGCTAATGATAGACCGTGTATTTTCCAGGAGGCTGATATTGAGCGGGGAGTTGTGGATTCGTGCCTGTGAGAAGGATCGGTTAAGTGTTCAGCAATGGCAGCGGCAACGCATGTGAAGGGCAGACAGCCAGGCGCAGCTGCATCGCCGAGCTCATAACGGGCGGCTGAGCCCCTTATTTTGGCGCGCGGGGTATGTGTGAGGGAGGCAGAGAAGGCAACAGAAAAATGGCTGAAAAGCCAGGCGTGGCCTCTTCAATTTTGTGGCGCTTGCCGAAACGCTGCCCACGTGATGCGCTCTTGGCATCCGCGGCGGCGCGAGCGACCAACCGCGTAATGCGAGCTTGCCTACAGCTCCGAGCTCCAACACCAGCTTCACACATCGCCGCCGCCCATCTCTCCGCATCCCCCCACACCGCCGACAGCCGGTGTTATTCTCCCTCCATCCTCCTTCGCCTTCATCTTCCGACCCTCACAGCGAGTCAACATGGCCGACCGGTACTCGTTCTCGCTCACCACCTTCTCGCCCAGGTAAATACAAGCAGTCCGAGTCAAGGCCCCAACGCATGCTGACAGGTTCTTTAGCGGAAAGCTGGTGCAGATTGGTTAGTCTGTCGTCGTCGGGCGAGGCGGCACGCCGGGACTTTGCGGTAGCTGACTGTGACTCCAGAGTACGCCCTCAACGCCGTCAACCAAGGTGTTACGTCGCTAGGCATTAAGGGTACGACTATCCATCAGGACGGCTTGATTGAAGTAGCGCGGCTGACCTGACGCGCAGCGACGAACGGCATTGTGCTCGCCACCGAGAAGAAGTCCTCCTCCCCGCTCATCGACGCCCAGTCTTCGTCGAAAATCAGCCTTATAACGCCTGACATCGGCATGGTCTACTCGGGCATGGGCCCTGACTACCGCATCCTGGTCGACAAGGCACGCAAGGTCTCTCATACCGGTTACAAGCGCATCTACAATGAGTACCCTCCCACAAGGATATTGGTGCAGGACGTCGCCCGTGTCATGCAGGAAGCTACCCAGTCCGGTGGTGTGCGGCCGTACGGTGTCAGCTTGCTCATTGCGGGCTGGGATGAAGGTATTGAGCCTGAGTCGGAGGACACCGCGGACGATGAGAAGAAGAAGGTGGCTGGTAAGACCGGAGGTATCTTGAAGGGCGGCCCAAGTCTGTACCAGGTCGACCCCAGCGGCAGTTATTTCCCGTGGAAGGCCACTGCTATCGGCAAGAGCGCAACCAGCGCCAAGACCTTCTTGGAGAAGCGTTACACCGAGGGTCTGGAGCTTGAGGATGCGATCCACATTGCCCTTCTCACGCTGAAGGAGACCATAGAGGGAGAGATGAACGGGGATACCGTGGAGATTGGTAAGTTTCAAGTCTTCAGGTGAAGATAACCGATTAACCTTGTGTAGGTATTGTTGGACCCCCTGAGGACCGTCTGCTTGGATACGAGGGTGCGGAGGGTGCCAAGGGCCCTAGGTTCCGGAAGCTGAGCCCGCAGGAGGTGGAGGACTACCTGACCAACTTGTAAGCGACTTGACGCATGGCATTTGTGCATATCAGCACTCTGCTTTCGGGTTAGCGACACGGTTATGGGTTTGGTAGATTGCCTAAGAGGGGAATCCGTTGTAGACTAATCAACTACGAAATGATGCATGCTGGTATGAGTCAAACGATACAAGTATCATGTCAGGTACATTCGAGTCTCTTTTCAGGGTCTGTTCCTGGACCCCTCGGCAGAGAGATGAATTGAGCCACCGTCCTCGCTTCAATACTCTCGTCCATGCTGCCGTGCAATGTCATACTGGGTATGCGGCGCAAGGACAATCCCACGAAATCTACCGTGCTGCATGACGGGTGAGCAGAAACAAAGTCGCCACTTGTGAAGAGAATTTACGGAGAAATTATGGGTGGCTTCGGGATTTGACGGCAGAACCCAATAGCAAGCGCACAGTTTGGTTGATGGAGACGGGCAGGGCTGGATCTCCAGGCGATGTGCAGGTCAGCGGGGCGGTTTACCGTGGGACCGGACCGCCCGCCTTCGGCTTTGTTCGCCCCTCCACGCCGACGCTCCGAGAAATTCATTTACGGGTTGACTCATGACGGCCTGACCCCACTGGCATCCACCACTCCCTCAAACCTCTATATCTTCGCTATTCCCCGGATCGCATACTCCTTACGACTTCGTATACCGATCCACGCGCCAATTGAGGCAACGATCCACCCGTCATGGCTGACCACATCCGCAAGACTTTCCAGCAGTGCAAGAAGGAGCAGAGGGTACGCTCTTCTCTCCGTTGACATACCAAACAGCGCGATCTGACTGTTCGATAGCCCGCTCTTGTCACCTATGTGACGGCTGGCTACCCTACACCGCAGGAGGCTCCTGATGTCCTGCTGGCTATGGAAGCTGGTGGTGCCGGTGAGTCCACGCATGTACTTGACAGCAGGATTAGGAGCTAACAACTGCCCAGATGTCATTGAACTCGGCATGCCCTTCACCGACCCTATTGCCGATGGCCCTACTATTCAAAAGGCCAACACCGTACGTCGCTACTCGAAGCCGCAACCTGACGTGAATACAACGAGACAACGACTGACGAGAGCGTACAGGTTGCTCTCAAGCATGGAGTGAACACCTCGCAGGTTCTCCAGATGGTTCGGGATGCCAGAGCTCGCGGTCTTCGTGCTCCTGTCATGCTTATGGGTTACTACAACCCGCTTCTCAGCTACGGCGAGGAGAAGATGCTCCAGGATGCGAAGGAGGCTGGTGTGAATGGCTTCATTATCGTCGACCTTCCTCCTGAGGAGGCCGTCCGCTTCCGCAACTTCTGCTCCAGCTACGGGTATGCAAGAGCCCCGCCGTCAGCATGTCCATTCCTGCTAACTCGATTTCAAATTAGGCTCTCGTACATTCCTCTCATCGCCCCCGCCACCTCCGACGCCCGCATGCGCGTGCTGTGCAAGATTGCCGACTCATTCATCTACGTCGTCTCGCGTATGGGCGTCACTGGCGCTACGGGAACCCTGAACGCTGCTCTTCCTGAACTTCTGGCTCGCGTTCACAAATACTCTGGAAATGTTCCTGCCGCCGTCGGTTTCGGTGTCAGCACAAGGGATCACTTCGAGAGTGTTGGAAAACTCTCCGAGGGTGTTGTCATTGGCTCCCAGATCATCAACGTTCTTGCTGCTGCTGCTCCCGGCGAGGGCGCAAAGAAGGTCCAGGAATACTGCAGCTCTATCACCGGTCGCTCGCCTGGTCAAAACAGTACCACTCGCGAGGTCGGCATTGTCGAAGCTCTTGGAGAGGCGAGGGAGCCGGAGGGCGTCCATGTCGACAAGGTTATCAAGGACGGCGATGTCCCCGACGGACCCGGGCTTGCTGATCAGATTGAGGCTCTCAACGTCGAAACCGCCTCGAATCCCCACGCTCTTCCGGCAAGGTTTGGCGAATTCGGCGGCCAGTATGTTCCCGAATCGCTCATGGACTGTCTTGAGGAGCTGGAGAGGGGGTTCAACGAAGCGAAGAACGATCCCAAATTCTGGGAAGAATACCGGTCCTACTACGACTGGATGGGCCGTCCAGGCCACCTGCATTTGGCTAATCGGTTGACCGAGCACGCTGGAGGCGCCAATATCTGGTTGAAGCGGGAGGATCTCAATCATACCGGAAGCCACAAGATCAACAACGCGCTTGGCCAGATTCTGGTGGCCCGCCGACTGGGCAAGACCGAGATTATTGCTGAGACCGGTGCCGGCCAGCACGGCGTTGCAACCGCGACTGTCTGCGCCAAATTCAACATGAAGTGTACTATTTACATGGGTGCAGAGGATGTCAGGCGTCAGGCATTGAACGTCTTCCGCATCAAGCTTCTTGGCGCTCAGGTCGTCGCGGTCGAGGCTGGTGCCAGGACTCTCCGGGATGCGGTCAACGAGGCTATGCGCGCCTGGGTGGTCAACCTCTCTTCTACGCACTACATCATTGGCTCTGCCATTGGCCCCCACCCCTTCCCTACCATTGTTCGTACATTCCAGTCCGTGATCGGCAATGAGACCAAGGAGCAGATGATGGAGCAGCGCGGCAAGCTCCCTGACGCCGTTGTCGCCTGCGTCGGTGGTGGTAGCAATGCGGTTGGCATGTTCTACCCGTTCGCCAATGACCCCAGCGTCAAGCTCTTGGGTGTCGAGGCTGGTGGAGATGGTGTGGATACCGCCAGGCACAGTGCTACCCTGACCGGTGGTACCAAGGGTGTCTTGCACGGTGTTCGCACATACATCTTGCAGGACAAGCACGGCCAGGTCAGCGAAACCCATTCCGTGTCCGCTGGTCTCGACTACCCCGGCGTTGGACCCGAGCTCTCGTCCTGGAAGGACTCTGAGAGGGCCAAGTTCATCGCGGCTACGGACGCCGAGGCCTTCATTGGCTTCCGCCTCATTTCGCAGCTCGAGGGCATCATTCCCGCTCTCGAGTCGGCGCACGCCATCTACGGAGCCATTGAGCTGGCCAAGACGATGGAGAAGGACCAGGACGTTGTCATCTGCCTTAGTGGCCGTGGCGACAAGGACGTCCAGAGCGTCGCGGAGGAGCTGCCCAAGCTGGGTCCTCAGATTGGCTGGGACCTGAGGTGTAAGTTTACCCTGTCCGCGTGACTTATCGACCGACGAGGCTAATATACTATCGCAGTCTAAACCCGGGGTTGCGGGACGGGCGAACGGTCGCCGCTTTAGGTTAGGCACATAGACGTAGAGCAAAACCAACCAAAGACATTTTGTTCATTCATTATTGTACCTGCACCGAGCCCATTATTAGAGGCCTTTGCCATGGTGCAGAATTTTGCTGGGTGACATTGTCCGGGTTCACTTGTGAGCCTCCCTTGCTTTCATACTCACCGGATCCCCAACCAGGCCAATGGGAGATTCGAAGTTTCGCGCATGCAGAGACTAAGTCGGGAATTTTCGGTGCATGTGTGCCACAGCATCACCGGGTGCGTGCCGTGGAGCCGCTACAGAGAGCTGCGGCATATTGGTGCAGCGACCCAAAACAAGCAACGCAAGGCAAAACTGGGGCCGGGGGGATTTTTCCGGCATTTCATGTGAAAGTAGACTCAGTTTATCCTGCCACGCTGCTAGAGTGGATGATGTTCTCTGGACTACATAGTTGTGGCGGGCCAACCAGTCGGAGGTGCATGTGGCTGTGTGGAACCCTCGCCGTCGGTAGGCATGCGGGCCAGGTTATCGTCTAATCAGCAGTCGGCGATGCTAAAAATAACGATGCATTCTTCAAGGTTTGAAACACGGTTGGCTGGGAAGGGAAGGCGACTAGCACCGCCCGGCGTCGAGAGGCGCGCCCGGTAAGTGTACCCCACCGCCGTTGAGCAAAAAAACAACAGAGAGAGGGGTGGACGCGCACGTCAGTCGGTCTGCTGGTGTCTATCACTTTGGCTTGGCGGCGGGGGCCTGGCACCCAGGGTCTCCCCACAGGTGCGCGTTTCAGGTTAAGGGTCAAGGAAAGCTGCGGCGAAGAGCACCTGCAACGGTGACGGCACCCGCGCGCCGACATATGCTGTGTCCGCATCGCTCGAGGAGAGGCGCTGCCAGCTGCAAGGACGTGCGGGAAAAAGTCCAGAGACTCAGACTGCTCCTGTGCCGGTCGCCCCCTCTCCTTAAGAGACAAGGCCGCCGGTAGGATCGGCGGAGGCTGGAAGAGCGCGCGCGCTTTGGCGCTGATCGCCGCGCTGCCGTGGCTCCTCGACTGGCTTTCCCCTTCTGTTCGGCGACGGTGGATCTTCGTGGTTAAACAAGCTGCGCGTTCGCTTCGACATCACATCAACACGACGCCGCCAGCATCCCGCCGCGGGCCCGCTCTCTCAACAACAATCCACCCACGCCTACCCTCACGACTTTGTACGACTCGCATCTTGTGCACCCTCGGCCATTGATCCTGCCCCGGCCCGCCGTCCGCGCTCCGAACGCCCTGCTCGTACTCGACAGCAATCCTCGGCTACACGAACATCTCACCGGAGCTCGTCTGCCGGCCCCAGCACACGCCCACAATCGCGTCCGCACAGTCCGACATGGAGGAGAACAGATCGCGGCCCCAGACCGGGAGCTCTGACCACGAAGATGTAGGTGCTCGCATGGAAAATGCAAGGGAGGAGGGGCTCGACACTGACTCCAACTCCTTTGCCCAGGACAACTTCGAGGACGCTGCAAGCATGGCGCGCTCCCACTCCGGCGAACGCTCGCTGACCGGTCGGCGCTCGTCGACCGACTCGAAAACCACCCTCGACAAGCGGGACTCGGACGTCTACGATGTGCCCCCTGTGCCTGCTCTGCCCGCCGAGCACATGGAGTCGAACGGCCAAGACTCTGCACGCGACGACAACAAAGTCGACGACGAAACCGGCCATAAAGAAGAAGAGGAAGAAGACAATGCCAGCACCACAAAGTCCCCGCCCGCCAAAGCTACCAGCTTGCTTTCGAGCGAGTCGATGGACGAGGTGAACCTCGACGAAGGTGAGCAGCCCACATCTGTGCGAGCGTCCCGTCGAGCTGCCTCAGCCGTGCTGGCAACGACACCGGGTTGAGCCAGTTCCGGTTTTGCCGCAAGAACGGCAGCACCAAGTCCTTGGGGCAGCCGTGAAGGCTTTTTGGAAGGATCGACCCACGTCACGGAATGTCTCACTAACAAAGTTACAGAGGGCAAGAAGTCCGCAAACCATTCCCGCAATTCGACCCTCGCAGAGGTGCCCTCCAAGCCCGTCGATCATCGCGATTCCAACGGCTCGATGCATGGCCTGTCGGGGCATGTGCCCACCGTGCAGTTCCCTCCACCGCCACCTCCGCCCGAGAAAGTTGAGCTCGCTCCTCCGCCCCCGCCTCCGAAGCGCTCTCTCACAAGTCCGTTCGCATGGCTTTCGAGAGGAAGCAGCGAGAAGAAGTCGCCTCCATCGTCCAAGGAGACGAGCCGAAGAGGAACCAACGCATCCGTCGCAACAGTCGGCAGTAATCACGATATCATGGAGAATGGACACGAAGGCAGCAATGGAAGTGGCAGCGCGAGGTCTAGCCGCCACAGTCTCAAGGACCGCTTCAAGTACGCTCGCATGCGCGAAGAGGCCGGCATTGCCATTGACGAGGAGGGCGAAGTTGATCTTGTTCCGCCCAAGAATAGCCTGACGGCTGGCCGCTCCTTGAGCGTCAGTGTTCCGGGCGAGAAAGAGGAGGAGGCTCCACCCATGACCCGCGTCGCTTCCAGCCCTGGGGCGCCAACACATCAACCGACCATCAACCCCAATCTTGCGCCCGGCACCGCCGCTGGTACAGCCATCGGTCCCGATGATGACAGTGCACCCCCCGTCGACTGGGACCTTTGGCAGTCCGTCGTCTACGAGGGTCCCGCCGCGGTAGCCAGGACAAGTGCCGAGGAGCTGAATCAAGCCATAGCTAGTGGCATACCTCAGCCAATCCGAGGCGTCGTCTGGCAGGTACTTGCGCAAAGCAAGAATGAGGACTTGGAGGTTGTCTACAAGGACTTGGTTGCTCGGGGTACGGACAAGGAGAAGGTGCTTTCGAATGTCCCGCAGCTCCCCCGCAATGACAGTAGCGAAGATATTCACAAGAAGAAGGAATCCGTCACGTCATCCGCATCGTCGCAACATTCAGACTACTCGACGCCTGCCACGACAACGACCGGTGGGACCGCAAACGGAGTGAACGGCATGAGTTCGCCGACTCAAAACGGCACGCACGACCCTCATATGTCCGCAAAAATGCTGGAGGAGAGAAAAAAGAAGCAAAAGGAGGATGCCTCGGCGTTGGTGAAGCTCGAGAAGCAGATCAAGCGTGACCTTGGTGCCAGGACCAGTTATTCAAAGTATCTGATGGCAGCTGGCCTGCAGGACGGACTTTTCAACCTTTGCAAGGCTTATGCGCTGTTTGATGCCGAAGTGGGATACCCACAGGGCGTCAATTTCATTGCGATGCCCCTGCTTTTCAACGTAAGTCTGCAATCCGTTTCGTTTGGTTTGGAACACAGATAATTGAACTAGGCACAGATGCCCGAAGAAGAGGCGTTCTGTCTGCTGGTCCGCTTGATGAACAAGTACGGCCTGCGCGACCTGTTCGTTCACGACATGCCCGGCCTCCACCTGCACCTATACCAATTCGAACGTTTGCTCGAGGAGTTCGAGCCCGCTCTCTACTGCCATCTGCACCGCCGCGGTGTTTCTCCTCAGCTCTATGCGACACAATGGTTCTTGACCCTATTCGCCTACCGATTCCCTCTCCAACTTGTCCTACGCATCTACGACCTTATCCTGAGCGAGGGCCTAGAGAGCGCCATCTTGAAGTTCGGTATCGTTCTGATGCAGAGGAACTCTCAGACTCTTCTTGAAATGAAAGACATGTCGCACCTCACAACCTTCCTCAAGGAGCGTCTGTTTGACGTCTACATTGACAAGGCTCCGACTCAGTCTTCTCTTCTGGAATCTGGCTTCTTTGGTAGCGCTGGCGGCGTGGACAAGGAAGTCTACCGGGCTGACAAGCTGGTTCAAGATGCGTGTTCCGTCAAGATTACTCCAGAGATGCTCCAAGCCTACGCTGCTGAGTGGAGAGAGAAGCAACGGATTGAGAAGGAACGCGAGGCCGAGATTGAAGGCCTTAAGGCAACGGTTCACTCGTTGACTTCCAAGGTCCGCAATCTTGAGGAGCGAACGGAGAAGTCTGATACCGAGCATGTCGCTTTAGCTTCGGAGCTCGTTCGCACGAAGGTGGAAAACGAAAGGCTGACGGATGAGAACGAGAGTATGAAGGGGCAAGTTGAGGAATTGAGGAAGTTGGTGGATCTTCAAGGCCAAGAGGTTGAGGATCGTATGAATGAGCAGCTCCATGTCGCTATGCGTCGCAACAGCGAGGTTCAGACCGCCAACAGGGCTCTCGAGGAGCAATTGGCGGAGGCCGAGAAGGAGCTCGTAGAGACGAAGCTTCAGTGGGCTCAGGTCAGTATCAATCCGTCAATTTCCCAGAAAGAGAAAAGTTAGATCACTGACCCTTAGAACGGCCCGTTCAGATTAACGCTGATCACGAGACACTTCGGCAAAAGTGGAGTAATGTGCAAAACATGCTCAACTCGTAATCGCTCTCCCCAATTCGCCCTACCGGCTGGTCAACGTCTCCGACCTGGTTACGCTGAAAATCGCTATTCTCGTATCAATTTTCCCGGCAAAGTCCTAGGTCTTGAGCAGCGCAAGGAGTAAGGCTCAAGGGAATCGCCAACTGTCGGCACTGGATCGTCTTGGAGTCCCCACATGAGCATGTGGTTCACCAAGAAGATGATACGGAGAATCAGGATGACTCTCTTCCCATTTCGTCACCCGAGAAGCTTCCTCTTTTTTCTCACAGGAAGCTCAAGCAGGAATGCGGAGGATGTTGGTCACATGCGGCTTCTTGAGTTGGGAATGTTTATCTTGCTCCCCCCTGTTCTTTTCATGCATCAACAAACTTTCTTACACTAACCACCACATCCTCAAAAAAAAAAATCATCATCATCATTCACGACTCGGACCGACCAAACAGCGTTTTCATTTCTTAATACTCCCAGTCTCTTTGACTAACGCCACGGCCCATCATTGACCTTTTTTGGTCTATTCTACTACAAAGCAATATTGGAGGTTGGGTGTTCTGTTCCTCTCCCTGTATACAGCAGCAGACGTGGAAAGAAAGGGGAGGGAAAATCGGCCGAGAGGAGGGGAAGGGAAAGAGGGGTATATCCTGAAGGAGTTACTGGGTCTTTTTTTTTTTGGGACAAATGGATTTGGATTTTTGCAGCTTTTTGCCTCCCCTTCTTCCCTTTTCTTTTTATTCCTGCTAGGGCTTGCGGGAAGGGTGGGGTCATTTGCACTCTCTTCCCCTTTGGTTTTTGCGTTAGATAGGTATAGTGATGAAGGGGCTCCATGGTTAGCTCATTCATTTGCAGTCTTTTTTTTTTTTAGCAATGCATAGCAAAGGGGTGTTTTGTCTTTCTACACGCCATACAGAAATACCCTTTCTCTTTCGGTTCCTCTGCTGGTACGAGTGGCGAGATTTGGTGTGGCGTGCCTTTTGTTTTGACTCTTTTGCCCAAAACCTGTGGCGCGCAGCGTAGGGAAGGAAGGCAGGGAGACGTAGGGGGGAAGGGTCCGATGGAGGTCATGTTTTGACGGGGGGGTGCTGGAGGGGACACCTATGATGCCGTCACGATGCACACACGCAAGGCTGAGAATGCAGGCGAGCTGTGTAACCACTGACTGTTCTCTCCCACCCTGAACGCTTCAGCACGCTTCAATCTAAGCCGAGTTGAGTGTCCTATGATATCCGCTTTGTTGCGACTTTTTTTTTTTGGTTCTACCATAGCGGAATACTTATTAAAATTCCCCATCTCAACAATTCATCCATCCATCAATCCATCCATCAGGCAGCCACTTCAAGCAACACCAGAGCGAATGCCCCGCAATACAGCAGTCCACTCACATCCTCTTCGGCTTATTGGAAAAAGACAACGAGAAACACGAAAAAAAAAAGAAGCAACGCACCCCCAGAACAAGACTTCCCCACTACTCCCACCTCAACAGCCCCTTGTACCTCTCCATCAAATCTCGATACAGCCCACGTTCACGTCCACGTCTCTGCCGGCCCCCGCCGCCCTGGGCCTCGGCCACCCTCGCCAACCCCATCGCCTTTTCCGCCCAGACCTTGCACCTCGCGTCGTCGCCGGCGCAGAAGAAGTCGATGCCGCGGTTGAACGCCGTCGAGGCCAGCCACTCGGCTTCGATTTGAGGGTAGCGACGGCGACGAGCCTCTTCGTCGTCGTCGTCACCACCACCATCTCCATGTTCTTCATCCCCATCACCTACGCCTTGGATTCTGTCTCGTCGGGCTGTGTAGGAGGAGGAGGAAGAGCAGGAGGAGGAAATGATGCTCGTGGCCTGCTCGATGCACTGGAGCGGGACGACGTCGGGGTCGTCGTCGGCCCCGTTGCTGTCGACGGAGAGCTGGAAGAGGCACCGGATCCAGCGGGCGAGGTGGGCGACGGAAGAAGCGGCGGCGGCGCCGTCGGTCCTGCCGACGCCGATGCCGATGCCGACGCCGCTGCTGCAGCTCTGGTTGACGATGCGCTGGAGGACGCCGAGGATGCGGGCGCGGTGGGTTGCGGTTGCTGTTGCGGTTGCCGGGTCGGTTTTGTGCATGAGTTCCGCGTGGATGACGAGGGCTAGATCGGCGAGCGTTTCGAGGTGGCGGACGTACCAGTTGCTTCTGCTGCTACTACTACTTCCCTTGGCTGCTCCGCAGGAGGCGGCGTCTTGGATGTCGAAACACTCGTCCCAAAGGGCGTCAAGGCCGTCCCAGTCACTCCGCTTCAATGCCGACTCCAGCTCGTATCGGAGGAGTTGTGCCCTCTTGGCGGCAAGATCTGTCTTGGTAGCTACACCTAGATCGACCGGCTGATTGGCATTGGCAAACGATCCAGTGGTATTCGTGGAGGCGGAAGTTCGCAGAAGAGGAGCAACGATGGTTCGAAAAGCGCAGGCGTGCTTTGAGGCGGTTGTGTAAGCGTTCAATGACTCCGGAAATGAGTCTGTAGATCTTGCCAGCACGACAGCTGCGCATGAAGCCAGATAATGGCATAGTAAGAGCCGGAGAGTGAGGTCTGGAGCAGAAGCGCCGCTGTCTGGTTTCCTTGAAGCCGTTTGAAGGAGGCCGATGAACTGAATGCACTTATCAAGTAGACATAGAAGATAAGTCGGGTGTGTTGAGTCGATGTATTTAAGTGCAAGGTTGTAGCTGTTTCGTGAAAACCACTCAAGTTCTTTCTCAGTGAAGGTCGGTTCCGACTGCTCTTTATTTGGCCGGGGTGTCCTATCCTTGGTAGCTTGGGCCGCCGCTCCTTCGAAAACTTTGCACAATTCCTTGATTGAGTCGTTCTTAAAATCCGGAGATGAGCTCATTTGGCTGACAAGGAGCCTAATGGTTGATCGAAGCAGTGCTGGGAGATGTATACCAAGAGGCGCACCGTAGTCGTATCTTTCCAAAGCTCTCTGAAGAGCGATAATGGCACTTTGTTGGTTCCGCAGCTCCTGGGCTTCAACAACACAAGCATACAAGAGTGTGCAGTCTCGACCTGACTGCTTACTTATGGCGTCGAGGCACTCTGCGGCAAAATCAGGCTGCTGGTCTCGAATGGCGCTCTTGTACATCAAGTATCGAGTAATCGGGCTGTTCCTTTCGCCCTCCGGCATATCGAAAAAAACTTTGCGGGCGGTATGGTGGTCCTGTCTGGACAAAGCGCACAATATGACCTTTCTGGATATCTTCGCCTTGTTTGAGTCTCCAGCCTTGGCGAGAAGAGGATGAAGTGCAATTTTGCACCAGGATTCCGATTCGAGATATTTCCCCTGGCTGTAAAGGGTCTCGATTTTCTTCCAAAGAATGGTCTGCGCAGCATGCGTCGCTGGAACGTCGAACGGTCGCGAGTTTTGCAACACAGCTTCCAAAAGGGCTGAGAGTGATTCTGGAGGCTGGGCATTTTCTGATTCGGCAAGGATCCATATCTGCGTAACGGCAACTTTCTCAATCCATTGAGCATTTTCATGATTAAAAAGTTTCTCGTGAAGCAACTTGTCGAGTGCTTTACAGGCTAGCACAGGACTCTTTCCCTTGATAATGTGAGTGTGGTGCATGACGGTTCTGAAGTTTGCGTCTGTAAGTAGGATCGACCGTATCATTCGAATCACGACATTGTAATACTGCTCGACTTCGAATTCTGGATCCGATGAGATGACGTCGAGCTTCAGGAGTTGAACGACCATCTTATCACCGGAGTCGAACTCGAGCAAGTCGACGATACCACGAGCCTTATCTCGCGACTCCGTAGTATTCAGCTTAAGACAGGCGCGGACAAGGAAATTGAGAATAGCCAGTCGCAGCTCCACGGAATCGTGATCCAGATCTTCTGCATTGCGTTCTCCGATGACGTCGTAGGCGCGATCCAGCCATCTCACAGCGTCCTCATACCTGCGCTTGCTGAACATGTCCCTGCCAATCTCGAAAAGTGTATCTGTCAGCATATCCCCCGTGTCTGCTGCAAGCCGGTTCCGTTCGAGGTCACTCCGCGAGAACATGTGCTCTGCGAGATCGAGCCGTGACTGCCTCCAAGCCTAAACAAACCAGAAAGTTAGCACAGGCCCCCAAGTGCTAAGATAGGTTTCACTCACATGCACCACCCTCAGAATCCAGTACTCCGCCCTCAATCTCCCCACGATCTCCACCAAATCAACATCCACCGTTCTCAGACCCGCACCCCCTTCTCTCCCATCGCCCTCTACCAGCCCCTTCAACCTGCTCTCCCAGTCCGCCGCACACTCCAACACCCTCAACAGACCACCCTCCTCCACCACCCCCGCCTCCAAACAACACCTCCCCGCCTTCAACGCGACCTTCAACACCCTCACGCCCTTTTCCACCTCTTTCCCACCATACGCACCACCCCCTCTCCTCCCTTCATCATCGCCTCCTTCATCCCTCCCGCTGTTGCCGCAACGCGCCACAGCATCCAACACCAGCACCGCAAACGCCCGCACTTTACACACAACCTTCTTATCTTTATCCGCCACCGACGACGACGACGCCGCCGCGCGGTCGTGTGATTGTTGTTGTTGCTGCTGCTCCCGCCCCAACCGCGTCGCGGCGTTCCAAATGTCGCTGGCGAGGCGGTCGAGCGCGTCGCGCCTGGGCAGGAGCAGGGCCGCGGGGACGGCGAGCGGGAAGGTGGCGGCGAGGTGGGTGGAGAGCGCCGGGACGAGGTCGGTGAGGGTGTTGTCGAGGCTGCTGTTGCTGCTTCTTCTTCTCCTCCTCCTGATTTCGTCGCCGATGTCGTCGTCGTCGTCGTCGTCGCTCGTGTTGTTGTTGTTGTTGTTGTTGTTGTTGTTGTTGTTGTTGTTGTTGTTGTTTGTTGCGGAAGCGGCGGTGGCCGAGGGTGGAGTGGAGAGGCGGCGGTGGAGACGGCGGGCGAGGGTTGTTGCGAAGGCTGTGAGGTGTTCGAGAATGGTTAGAGTGTGAGGAATGAGGATGAGCCTGGGAGGCTAGAGAGGTGAGGATGAAGGAGCATGGGTGAGGTCTGAGCGAAGGTGGAAGGCGGACGGTGAGTGAGAGTCACCGTGCGAAGTGCGAACGTACCAACGAGTTTTTCGACCTTCCTCTCCTGCTCCTGGCGGCTTCTTGCCTGCGATTTCATGGCGTTGTGGGTCCTGCCATGCGGTGGCTGCGCCGCTGAAGGCGGTACGAAGGTGACAGCAGCAATGACAGCAAGATGTAGGTTGGGTGTGGAGTTGCGCAAATCAGGTGCGGGTGAGAGATGAGCAGCTAGCAGTCTGTGGGAACGCGTCAGGGCGGTAGCGGGTTCTCGTTTGCGGTAAAAGTGGGAGTGAGGAAGGTGGTGGGATTGTCGAAGTCGGGTTGTCGCTGAGTGAGCTGAAGCCGTCGGCAAATACGCTTCGCACACCATCGCGTACGCACCATGTGCGCACCTTCGTGAACAAAGACCACTATGCGTGGGGAGCAGAAGGTTTCGCGTGCATTCTGGGGCACGCGAGTTGCCAGTAGGCTTTGCGGACTGGAATATCAGCTTTCCACGTAAAACTGACTGCTACGTTATCTTCCTCGTCGCGCACCACCACTGTGGGACTATAGCTGTCGTATGAGCCCATGACTTCCGCATTCAAACTATCCGTTCAATAGAAAGACGCTAACCAAAAAGACCGCATGCCAAAAGCCTGGCAAAAGAAAATCAGCTACAATGACACCTCCGTGTTCTTGGACATTGTACCAGGCAAGCCAACGAACTGGAACCATCATATACGTTCATTCGATGTAGGCACAAAGACAGTCGCGACGTGAATACAGGTCCCTTCTTTGGTTGTTGTTTTCTTCGCACACCAATCCTCCTCTTACATCTCGACTTTATTTCACCAGGAGCAATCAGCTTAGCAGTTGCTCAGGCGGTCGGGCAGAAAAGGCACACGCCACATATAAGACGTACATCAGAAGAAATCGCGATAATGTCGACCATAACACCAGGCGCTGAAACACGCACTCTCAAATCCTTTGGTCCCATGCATTTTTTCCATCTAGATTGTGAGAATCCCCTCAGAGACATCCTTCCAAGGGAACATAGGAGGTAGAGAGGACGAAGAGTGAAGAAAGAATATGTACGTTCGGAGGAGTAAGGGTGGTCTCGAATCGGTATGTATCGAGGGAAGCTCCATGGTATACAGGCGCGGTCAAGAGCTCGAGCCCGGGCTGTCATTAATTATAGGTAAGAAGTTCCCGATAATCACGGACGGACTAGCAAGAAGGGGTCAGCCAGCTTCTCACCATCCACACCAGCTGAAGTGCGACCTACATGTTATGAGCATCTCTTCGGATCGTGAAGGAGAAGCAACACCGAATCTCCGGATCCTTCGAATCCGGATTGGGGTTCTTCAGCGAGCAGCTAGTCAGGATGGCCTTTTGCGAGCTGTCGAATGCGATGGCGCCGAACTTCTCCCAATAGCTGACGAGCGACTTTTCCTCGACAATTTCGTGGAGCGAGATCTTACCCTGGTGCTGCTGTTAGCAAAGCTCTCATGGAATCAGGTCACTGATCCACCCACATCTCGCAGGTTTTCGATAGGCACATTGACCAGCTCGGCCATTTCCTTGTTGCCGCGAAAGATCTCGCCACTTCTCCGCCAGCAGCATGCGGGTATCGCCATACTAGCGAACACGCGATCATATTCCATCAAGCGTCGCTCGAACCACATCTCGACGCGGACGAGTTCGATGTCGGTCAAGGTCTGCACGCGCTCTCTGAACTTCGGTCTGAATCTGTCCATACACCGCAAAATCTTCTGCCGAGAGATGGCCTGGAAATTGCGCTCCATGTACTGATACAGCCGCGCGTAGCCCTTGATGTAATTGAAGGGCTTGAGCATCCCTGCATCGAACTTGGCTTTCAAAAGCTTGTTCATACGCTCCTCTGGCGTGTCGTTTCCCGCCGGGTCAGCAGCCGTCATGTAGTAGGCTTCGCGCGCCTTGTCGAGAGGGAAGCCGCTCGCAGGCCGTGAGATGGCGCTGCCAATCGCAGCTTGCGACGGCGGCAGGAGCTGGTTGTTCTGTTGGTGGCCAGACACTAGCGAGTTCTGGCCGCTGAATGCATTCATCGTGTTAGTGAGCGGCTGGTCTGGAAAGAGGCTGCCCATCTCCTCGCCGTTGTACAGCGCGCCGTCGTCCATGAGGCTGTTGCTTAGCAGGTCGTTGAGCAGGTTGTACTCGTTGGATGCCTCGGAAGCGTTGAACATGTAGGAGGGATGGAAAGCGTGCATGTCCTGGAAGTTATTGGAGGCGCCAAAGTTCCAGTCATTGTAATTGGAAACTTCTCGTGATTAGCTTTGTGTTAGCAGGGTGTCGTCAGGGCCGGAAGGGGGAGGGGGGGACAGAGCAGGGCAGGAGGTATCACGAACATGACTGAGAGTTGCCGGCGAGGTTCGAAGCGTGTGGGGCGGGGACGGGTGCGGGCTGGGCGATGGGGCCCGGGGTAGCGTTGGAGAGAGCGTGCGGCAATGGAGGCGGCGCAAGGGCCCCGATGGCTGCATCTTGCGAGCCGTGACGCTGGTCCAGCGGGCCGAGAGGGGCGTCGGGCACAGCGGTGGGGTCCAGATTCTTCGGCTGGTCCTCGTCCTGGGACTGGCCGCCGGGCGGGTCTGTCTTCTGGCGCTTGGCCTGCTCACGGGGTTCATCGTGGCAGAGGTGGCCAATATTGCGCTTGATACATCTGGTACATGGCCGCTCCTAATAGCAGGGCGGCAGCAAGGGCGCCTTGTCAGCGCGTGCGCCCGCATCCCAAGACAGGCGGGCGAGACTTACGAGATCGCATGTCATGTGCTATGGGCGGCAAGATAGGCGCAATGGTCAGCATGTCGTGCACCGGTCTTGTGCGCCATTCGCGTGGGCGGGAGTGAGGCGGCTCACCGAACGTCTGCAATAGATGCAAGCTATCGCTGCCAGTTAGCCGTGGGTCCGTTTTCCTCGTGCTCCTGCCTGACTGATTGGTCTTCTGCGCACCATGATTGACCTTCCGCCGCTTCTTGGGCGGGCTCGTGCTCTTATGCGCGGCGCCATCCTTGTCGGCAGCAGCCTTCTTGTCGGCACCCTGCTGCTGCTGCTGCTGCTGCTGCTGCTTCTGCGCCGCCGACTGCTGCTGGGCCGGCGCGTGCGGCTGCGGCTGCTGGTCTGGCTTCGGGGGCCGCGAGGCATTGGCGTCGTCGCCGTTCTGCTGGGGATCCTTCGACGTCGTCATAACCGGGGGCGCAGCTCCATTCGATTTCTCTGCGGCGGTGCTTTGTGTAGCCTCAACCATCGAATGGGGTTATGTCGCTCGGGACGGAGAGGACTGCGGATCGGAACGGCGCATGGGCAGGCGCATTCGCGTAGTCGTCGTCGGGTAGGCGCGTCAGAGGTTGCGGAGGCATGGAGAGCGCGCGCTCGACATCTGAGGGCTGCGGGCGCGGCTTGCTATGCAACAGGCGGCAGGCGGGCGGCGGCGCGCGCGGTGTTGTTATGCTGCTTACCCAAAGCTCGAAGTTCGCACGCGAGTCTTCGCGGTGGCCCGCCGCCCCGCGCTCGCAGGGCGATCCCCGGCCGCCGGCCAGCCCTGCGCAAAGCCGAGGCCGTGAGCAGCAGACGGCGACAAGCCAGACCAGCCCGCGCATCCGTTGACCCACGGCCCAGCGGTCAGCATCGGTCAGCAGCTCCTCGCTCTCAGCCTCAGGCCCGCTCCGCTAGGGCACGTCCGCCGTTGCATCCTGTCCAGCGCCGCCTGCATCGTACCTGGCGCCGTGTCTGCTCGCACCGCATTCCAGCTGCTGTTGCCTTCGTATTTGCCCGGCTCTCTGACGCAGGGTTTGTCTTCTCCGCTGGCCGGCCAGTTCCGGGCTGTCGTCCTGACGCTCCTCTGCGGCCTACTCCCTCAACTGAGGGGTTGCGGGAAATCCAGGAAGCGGATGAGAGGAAGAGTGAACAACACTAGGTAGACTCCTTACTCCGCACTCGGCGAGCGGTTGCCATCACGCCTGCAAGGACAAGCGCGCCACCCGCGCCTCGTAGGAAAACGCGCGTGGCCAACTGCCCGACATGGTAGTTGTGTTCAATATATGGACGCACGTTGGCAATACCGATATTATGTATGTACATGTAGCGACCGCTGCTTTTCTTAGATGCATGCCGCATGCCGTGCCCAAGCAAAAGAAAGCATGAAAAGCGGAGCAGCATGTCCCAGGCACCGAGCCATTGGGCCCGTTGGATCTCACGCTCGCTCTCCCTGAGACCTGCAGCATCTGCGCACCATGTGAGACCGAGCCTTGCGAGAACCGTCATCGTCAGGACGTGGAGCGTTGAGAACATGCAAGCCTCGTTTCCTTTCGATCATCATGATCAATGCGCATCTTCACGGTACGGTGCCGATCAAACATGGACCCGTGAAGACGGTTGAGCCAAGGGGGTCGAGTATGAGAAAAAAGCTTGTCTCGCAACCCCATCTGTGCGCGAAGCAATAGTGCAAATCGCTGTTATTATCCGACTATGCCACGGGCCATCGTGAATCTGATCGTCCTCCGGAGACAATCATCTTAGATAGCCTGCAGGAGCCTGCATATGCCCTTGAAGGAAAAGCAACGTCCTGAGCTTGTAGAGCACCGGTCGCGTCGGTGTCCGAAGCCCCTTCAAGCATGCTACTGTGCATGGTCGATCATTCTTGCGCGCAACAATCGTAGTAGGATGCCTTCAAAATTTCATTGTGGCGATATTTGCATCTCAGCGGTAAGCAAACAAGGGTATCATAATGCGTGCAATGCCACAACCTCCCACCAGCTCCCATCTTCACCAGGACCGCATCTAAGAAGACAACATCAGCCTTTTATATCGCTCCTCGCCCAGCTTCTCCCTCAAGACCCCATCCAACGCGGCTCTGGCCCCATTCATCGCCTCATCCAGCCCCTCAACCTGCTTCAAGTTCGTCTGCATAGACTCAACATGGCCACGCAGCTGTTCTAATACCGGTCCAAGCTGCTCATCGTCCTCCACCTCCGCCTCATCTTCGTCGGTCTCAGGCCCCCGCCTCTCTGCAACAACTATCTTTATCTCATCCACAGTATCCTCTCTACCACCACCAACCAGCTCATCCTCCGCCCTAAACCGCTTCAATACAGGATGCAGACCCCTCTTCCCCCTCTCTCGGCCCCTCCTCTCTGCGTCTCTCGCCCTGTGCTCCAGCACGTCCAACTCCTCCCTCTCCCTGTCCAATACCTCTTCCTCCTTCTCAACCGCCTCCTTCAACAACTTGACCGCATGCACCGCCGGCGTCAGTTGCACTTCCAGCGTCCTATTCCTCTCCACAACCTTTTCCAGCTCGAAAACCTCCGCTGCTGACGCCCCCTTCATGGGCGGGAAAGGTATCCTCGGGATCTGCTTCTCCAGCTTTCGCAGCACGCTCGCCAGGGTCGCCTCGGCCTCGGCCTTCCTCCTGTCGTACCCGTCGCCCATGACACCGCCCTTGGCGGACGACGTGGTGGTCGTCGACCTCCTCCCCGCCGCCTCGACGACCGGCCGCTTGGCCGCGACGAACAGCGCGCGCGCCGCCGCCTGAGCCGGGAGGGGCGCGGGCCGCCATTTGGTCGTGATGACCGACTGTGCGATGTGGCGGGTGCGCGGCTTCAGGTGCGCGAACTTGGTCTTGCTGCTCGCCGCCGTCGTCGTCGCTTGCGTCTTTTCCTTTCCCTTCTCGCCCGCGGCCTTTGTCGTTTTCGTCGTGCGTGGTTTCTTCGCGGTCCTCGTGGCTTCGTCGTCGGCGATCGGATCCGCCTCCGCTCGCGCGTCGCTGCGCCTCTTCCTTCCCTTCGTCCCGCTGCCGGCGGTTGCGTCGCTCCTCCGGTTGTTGGCCTTCTTGCCCTTATCTGCAGCGATGGATACCGCTGACGGCAGCTCAGACAGTTCGTCTGCCTCATTGTCACTGTCTTCCGGTTCTTCTGCCTCTCTTCCCTCATCTTCCTCGTCCTCGCTCTCACCCTCCTCTTTGACCTCTTCAAATCCCTGAAGCTCGTCTCCATCCTCCTCCTCCTCCTCCTCCTCTTCCTCCTCAACATTTCTCCTTTTCCGCCCGACAGCAGCAACAGATGTAGGTCCCCTCCCTTTGCCTCTTCGTTTATCAGTAGTAGTGGTGGTGGTGGTGGTGGTAGCGTTCGACGCCGATTTGCGTGGGCGGCCGCGTCCTCGATGGCCAGCTTTGGGCGGCATTACGCCGATTCGTCTTTTTGTTTTACGTGTATTGAGAAAGACGCGATCGGTTCAAACGCACTCTTCGCAGATATAGGCGAACTGTGTCTTGGTCGGGGATGGCCGTTGGATGAATCGTGTGGGCTGGACTAGGGAGATTGGAAGGTTCGACTGGTAGGTAGGTAGGCAGGTAGCGAGCAGCAGTGTGTAGAATTCCGGCCTTTCCACCAGGGAGAGGGGCAACGCGTTCAGGGATGTCCGTTCTGGAAGACGCGTCACGCGTGTTGTATTTTCGGAGCTTGCGTCGCGGCTATTGCACGTCGATTATTGGACCAAGGGAACCAAAGCCTGAGTGAATAGCAGTTCTGGTGTTAGAGAGAAGTCGCGTGAAGTTGGTGCAGGGGCATGGACGAGGCTGACCGTACACATGGCCGGTTGTGGAGGGGAACGATGCGCCAGCGGTCGCGTTCGGGTCTGAAGATACCGTCATCATCGCATGACGCGTTAAACGAAAGTCGTGGCCGCCCAAGTGCTTGAGCTCCACGGCTACAGTCCATACGTATGGACAAATCATGAAGCACAACTGTGATCAGGGAACAACTTACTCCGGAGAGTGTCTATATTAGGTAGGAATTCTAGGTTTGTCTAGGCAGTACACTCTAAGCATTCAGCAAAACTACTGCTGTTGTAGGGTCCCAAACTTTGAGCCGCCGTCTTCTAATTTTGCCTCCAAACGCCAATTCCAGGCCGCGATCATTGTCATTTTGCACCGCTCAAGCTCCATCAAGCTGCGCCTCAAGCTCGTCACCTACACCTTCTCCTGCAGATTGGCCACTCTTCATCCGTGAGAGTTGGTTAGACACGTATTCCGCCACCTGCTCATCGATTTTCTTCTTCTTCTCGAGCGCCTCTGCATCAAAGTAACCAACCGAGTTGACTCTCTGGAAGGGCTTGACTGGCCGCTCACTCTCCTCATCGTCTACAGCCTGGCCGTTCGACGCCTTGGGGCTCTTCGGAGCGTCGAGATCAGCCAAGTCGGGGCGGCCGCCAATGGACCGGCTGGTCGAGGACCTGCGGAAGCTAGGCTTACGGCCCTTGTACATGGTAAAGACGTCGTCGAAGTAGTGAGCAGCAGCTGTCGATGGAGTGCGGGGCGTCTGGGGAAGACGGCAGCGAATTCCGGTATCGTGGATCATCTTCGCAATCAGACCTGTCCAGCCGCACTGATGGCTGGCACCGAGACCTCTACCAGTGTCTCCATCAAAGAACTCATGGAACCACATGTAGTCCTTCCAGTTGGGGTCGTAGTCGAGCATCTCGTTTCCGGCGTTGATGGCACGACGTCCATCATCTCCGCGAGCGAAAAGGTGTTGCAACCTATGCTGGATTTCCTCGGCAACGTGACCCAGGTGCATTTCATCACCAGAACCGGTCGGGCACTCGACCTTGAAGGTGTTGCCGTAGAACATGTAGAATCTTAGGAGAGACTCCACGAGCAGGAAGTTCACAGCCATCCAAATCGGGCCGCGCCAGTTGCTGTTGCCGCCGAACAAGCCGGAATCAGAATCGCCGGGAACGTAGGCGACTTGGAAACGCTGTCCGTTGACATCCATATGGTACGGGTGATCCTTGTGGTACCTCGACAGAGATCGAACGCCGTGGTCCGCAAGGAACTCGTCTTCGTCGAGCATCCTCTTCAAGATCTTCCTCAAACGATCTTCGCTAACCAGCGAGAGAAGGATTCTGTCACCCTTTCCACGGCGGCTCATGCTAGCCAAATTGCGATCAGCCATTTCGGAACGGTTATCGATGAACCAGTTAAGGCGCTTCTTGAATGACGGAAGCTTATCGACGACCTCAGGCTCCAGAGTCAAAGTCGCATAAAGCGGGATCAGGCCGACCAGCGAGCGAACGGGCATCTGTTGGCTCCAAGGGCCACCCCAGGAAATGGCATCGTAGTAGAAGCCATCCTCGTCGTTCCAAAGCGACTTCTCTTCGCCACCGGAACGGTACTGCATGGCATCACTAATGAGGATGAAATGCTCGAAAAACTTCGACGCAATGTCCTCATAAATGCGGCGGTGCTTGGCCAGCTCCAAGGAAATGTTGAGCATGCACAAGCAGTAGAAAGCCATCCATCCAGTACTGTCAGCCTGCTCCAGGACACCGCCGGTGGGCAAGGGATCGGAACGGTTGAAGAGTCCGATGTTGTCCAGACCCAGGAAACCGCCCTCGAAAACGTTCTTGCCATCAAGATCTTTACGGTTCACCCACCAGGTGAAGTTGAGCAACAGCTTCTGGAACACACGCTCAAGGAAATCAAGATCCTCGCGCCCGTACATCTTCCGCTCAATCTTGAACGTTCTGAACGTAGCCCAGGCGTGGACTGGAGGGTTGACGTCGCCGAAGTTCCACTCGTAGGCGGGCAGCTGACCGTTCGGGTGCATGTACCATTCGCGTGTGAACAGATCCATCTGTTTCTTCGCGAAGTCCGGGTCAATCATGGCCAAGGGAATACAATGGAAAGCGCTATCCCAAGCAGCGAAGAAGGGATACTCCCACGAATCCGGCATCGACAGGATGTCGTCCAGATACATGTGTTTCCAGTGCTTGTTGCGAATCTCTTTCCTGCTCGCCGGGGGAGGGGGCATTCCAGGGTCACCGTTCGCCCACTCATCCCAGACGAAGTGATAGTACTGCTTGCACCACATCATGCCCGAGAAAGCCTGGCGCTGAATGTTGCGAAGGTCTTCAGCCATAGGCAGGGGATTGATGCGATAGTAGAATTCGTCGGCTTCAATCCTGCGCTGCTCGACGATATCGTCGAAGAGTTCTTCATCAAGGTAGCCATCGTTTCTTTTGGAAAGCCTGAAGCGGACGACAGCGCACTCGCCAGGCGGAACTCCGTCACCCTCGTCAAAGGCAAACCATGCAGCTGCCTTTGTTCCGGCGTTGTTGGGATTGACGGCGGCCACATTCTCGTCGCAGATGCGCTCATTGATACCATCTTTGGTATAGTCCGTCTTGTTCTCCGTCCCCCAAAGCTTCTTGAAGTTGGTGTCATTGTCGGTGAAGAGGAGCTGGGGCTGGACGTCCTCGCCGCTTGCACCATAGCCTGGCGAAGGTGATAGCTGGAAGTACCTCTCACCCAGCTTGTGATGCTTGGACAAGGCGGTTGTTGGGGCGACCTTCTCGATGCTCGGCTTTTTGTCCGGCGTCTCACGGCCCCACGCCCAGGTGTTTCTGAAGAAGACGTGGGGCACGATGTGGAGCGGCGCAGCTTCGGGCCCACGGTTGTAGGCCGTAACTCGGAAGAGAAGCTCATCCTCGTCATCAGCTTCCTTCGCAGTCTCAATGAATATGTCCCAGTATCTGTCGTCATCGAATACACCAGTGTCAACAATGTTGTATTCCCGATCGGATTTGCCGCGTCTCGCATTCTCCTTGATGAGGTCGTCGTAGGGGAATCGGCGCTGCGGGTACTTGTAGAGGAACTTCATGTAAGAGTGCTGTGTCCAGTTAGCTTTCTGTCACATCCTAGACCTTTTCAAGCATACATACAGTGGGTGTGTTGTCCAGGTGGAAATGTGCCTCTTTGACCGATTCGCCGTGGTTGCCCTGAGGGTTCGAAAGGCCGAAGAGTCGCTCCTTGAGAAAATCACTACACAAATCAGTACCTCTTCGAAGACTGCACGTTTTGAAACGTACTCTTTTTCGTTCCAGAACGCAAAGGTTATGTTCTGAAGACCATGGGTGTCGGAGACACCAGCGATTCCGTCTTCACCCCAACGATACGCGCGGGAGCGAGACATGTCATGAGAGAAATCTGTGATTGATGTCAACAGATGTCAATTGAGGCCAATTGGGTCAAACTTACGGCTCCATGCATCTCCATCTTGGCTGTAAGCCTGGAGTCAGCAGATTGTCCTCAACTGTTCATGGGGAACAAACTCACGAGTAATCCTCGCGAACTGCAACAAAGTCAGCGGCAATTCGAGTACAAAGGGCGGATCAATGGGTGCTTACCGGTAGCCCATTGCCTCTCGGCAGTGTAGGGGCCCCATTTCTTCCAGTAGCGCTCGCGGTGGCGGTCTTCTTTCAGCCGCTTCTCTTCCTCACAGAGGTACTCTTGTTGTCCGTCGACGATGACCATAGTTGCTGGCGAGAAGAATGCAGGTGTTTGAAGCTGGGAATACAAAGGCTGGGGGGTAATTGAATGCCGTGGGCGGTGAAGCGTTGGTGGGCGGAACAAGGAACAGCTAGCTCAAGGAAGGCGGGCGCTGAAGTAATGGGCAATGCAAGCGAGATGTGGAGAAGACTGAAGGATGCCTGTAGTGAAGTATACCGCCACAGCGCAAAGATGTCCGCAGGGAGTGCTGCTGCTGGGAGCGTGAAAGGAGGTGGATTGAGGGAAAACCAAGCAGCGCCGGGAGCGATGAAGGTTTTGTTGCATGCAGGAACAGAGGTAGTAGCGAAGCGGACTAGCATGGCGGCGGCTTCCTTATCGCAGCAGGCCAGAAACCAGACCAGCGCCGGCTGTCACAGCGCGCCCGTGCTGTGCAGTTACCGGTCGGCGCGGGGAGGCAGCGGCGGCCGGTGTGTCAAAGCGCGGTAAGCGTCCCGCAGGCGCGAACGACGAGGCTGAGCCTGTCGTCGCACACCTCTTTCTCGCGCAACGCGCGCCCGCCAACAACAAATGCCCCGCGCAGAAATCGTTGAGAGCGGTGGGCACGCATGTGCAGCATGGGCGATTGACAGTCTCGACAACGGTTGATCAGCAAGACGTCCGAGCGGCCGGCGCAAGAGCCGCCACCGCATCATTGCCCACCCGCCCCTCCGCCCGCAAGCGCCGCCGGGTGCCCGCTGCTCGCGCCCCGGAGCGCAAACTCGCTCTCCAGACCTCCAAGTCCCCACTACACGTTCCCCGCCCTGCTGTGTTGTCCGCGCGCGACCCGTACACGCCGCGGGCGCGCCGAGACGATCCAAACTCCTCCCCCGTCTCCCCTGCTGCATTTCGGACTCGTGTCATAAAAGCGTGCGGCCCCAGTGGATGCGTGCTGACCGGGTTTCCGCGCCTCGCGCTGTGTTTTGCTGACCGCCTGCCCCAAACATGCAGCATCCGCCTCCAGCATGAATCGCATGGTGTTTTGGGCGTGCATCTAACGACGCTACTGTTTCCGTCTTCTGGACTGGGCTCCGACTCAATTTCGGTTGCGTTTCATTGGTAGGGGTATCGCGATGAGGTGCTTCAGCAAAACTAGGGGATGACGTAGCAGATGATCTTTCTCTCTATCTCTGCACGTCCGCACGTGCGCACGCAGGGCATTGTATCCACTCTCACTTGATCGTAATTGGGCGAGAAAATGCATGGGCATTCCCAAGTCTGGCAAATCCCATCATGACTGCCTTCAACTCCATCGTCTCATGGTCCACCTCGTAAATTAAATATACAAACAAGAATGTGAAAGTTGCAGGGAAGAAAAAGCCATCTACCAACCACCAAATCATGTCCGATAGTATGCATCCGCCGTTGCTCTTAACCTGCCGTGTGCGCGCGCCCGAAAACGCCCAGAAAAGGCCCTGCCAATATGCCCTGTTGAAGTCGGAAAATTCGTTCAAAGTCAAGCCATGTCGCTTCCGCTCAATCGCTCTTGAGCATACTCTCCACCAGGTCGCCCAAAGGTCCCCAGTAGTCCCTGCTTCCCTGGTTCAGCTGATGCTCGTCGACGAACAGGACGTAGTGCTTGAAGCTCGTGTTGAGATGCGGCTCCAGGCCAAGGGCGATGATGACAGGGTAGTGGTGGCAGTAAATGTGCGCGTAGACGCGGTAGAGGCGCTTGAAGAGTTGACGGATCAAGGCGGGGAACTGCTTGGGGAAAGCGACGCCGATGCGAGAGGGGAACATTGACTCGTTATCGATGTTGGACTGGACCCAGGCCATCAAGTGCTCAATGTACTCCGGGGCGGGCATCTTGGTCGGCTTCTTGTAGTTCTCAGAGTCTTGCCATAGGTACTCGAATCTAGCATGTGTCAGCAGTGTCAATGTAATAAGGTTTCCGACGCGTACTCATCGGTCGCCTTCATCTCTGGGCAGCTCTGCGGCGAGCAGAACTCCGTTATGGCGCCGTAGATCAAGTTGATCTGGTTGTAGAAATCGACAACTGGAGTTCACAACAGTCAGTCTCGCTCCAGACCAGCACAACGCGATCGCTCTCGGCTGTCTCCAAAAATAAAAATAAAAATAAAAAAGTACCGTTCACAGCCAGCCATTCGCCCAAATCTTCTCCCTCAGGCAGCTGCACTGCCTTGCGCAGACTACCACTGCCAAGAGTCGCTTCGGCAAACTGCTTCAGCTGCCATGAGCTGGTGCCGCGCTTGCCCTCCTTGGCGCGGAATGCAGCAGTGCCGCCATTACCGGTGCGGCCGACCCTGTTGTTGCTGCTCGCAAGGAAGAGTGTGTTAGCCTCGGCATTCCCGAACTGATTTCCAACATGAGTGTGCGGTCGCTTCGGGGGGCGTGAGCTCTTGAGAATTCCCCGGCGAGGCGAGGGGTTTTCATGTGCGCGCATGGGGATGCGAGATTGCATATCGGGCACCACTGTCGGCTGTGGGATCGGGCCTAAAGGCGGGTTTGGCGGAGCGGAAGGCTGAGGTGTGAGCAGCGCGTGCAGGTTGCCGCGCAAAGCCTCGCCAAACGCCTTTTGTAGTGGACTAGAGTAAACACCGCCGGGAAGCGTGGGCGGCGTGTACCCCAAATGTGCCCGGTGCCAATATGCGTCGTCCCAGCAGCCGGCGTCGCGGCGCACCGGCACACCGCTATCGGGCCCCCCGAAGACGCAATCTCGCGGATCGGCACGTATACACGGCACGGGGGCGGATGGAGGCAGGGTGAAAACAGGAGGGAGGGGTTTCGGATCGGAGGGAAATGAGGGGAACGGGCTGTGGTGGAACGATGGCTGCGACGGGGAAGGGGAGTGGACGAACATGGTGGTAATGAACGAAGTCATGTTTCTCGCGCGGCGGGCACGGAGGACAGCTATATGCGGGTCGACGAGGAACGAGTTCTGCGGACGGGGATTGTATTAGCATTCCAGAGGTCACCATAGCCAGGCTCATAAGGCAGCGAGAATGGAGGGGTGATTACTCTACCGGCGTAGGGCGCACGGAACGAGTCGCGGGAAGCGGAAGCTTTTGGCGGGCGGCGGGCGGCGGGCGGCGGGCGTGCTGCAGGTTGCCGGAAGGACTACAGCGGTTGTGGAGCCTAGGTTACTGGAGGAGGAAGATGTTGAACTGGTTCTGGAGCAGCCCTGGCATTGGGCGTAAACAACGCTAGCGCGGGCGGTGAGACGTCAGCCTCGCGCATCGTGGGGCATCCAGGCTCCGATCCTCTGTTTAGTGGATCGCCCACGCTCAGCTTGCGCAAATATAGCACCACCCTTTCGCTGCGTTTCAGCCGGCAGCTTCGTTTTCACATCACCACTTCCGCCATCATTGGCTTATCACGCTGAAGTCAAACGCCACTCGCTCGATCTAGGCCGTGGCTCCCCGCACTCGCTCCCTCACTTTGTCACCCCAATCTAAATTTGTTACACGGCAACGAACGGCCTTGCAGCTTCATTTCGGAGAATTCGGCCGCAGGAACGACACGCATGGGAACCTTGCTGAATGCCACTTTTGTCTCTCCCAAAGACCAGGCAGTTGCGCATCTCGCCCTCTTGGGCGGTGTCGTTGTAGGATTGTCTTCGCACACTCAAGCTTTCACGCTGATATGACTACAAGCTTTGATTCAATATTCATTGCAAGATGTCCGTATTTCCAACCACGAGGTCACATACAAAAAAAAAAAAAAAAACACGAAAGCCCTCTCTACATTTCGACCCAACAAGGTCGTCGCCATGCCGAGTAGGGGGTATAGGATCGTCGAAAGAAAGAATACCGACCTCAGCATCGATGAGAAAATTACATCGTGGGAACCGTTCAACGTCCACATCCGATTAGGAGCTCATCCGTCTTTCCCAACCCGGTATCCACTGGGGCACAAAACGTCTATGCGCCATTCCGGGCGGCCTCCGCGCTCTTTGACCCAGGACGCTCATCGCCGGCCAAGTCTTCCGGGTCGCCGCCAGTGTGAACGTCTTCCAGCTGGTACAGAATCTCAGGCTCGACTTTTCGTCTGAGGATGTAACGGTTGAAAAAGTACGGAATCTGACGAAGACCGTAGGCAGCATGCTTGGTGGTGGGTACGCTGAAGACTTGGTCGAGCTCTTCGAGTGTTTTGCCTTTGGTCTCCGGCATGAACAGGAGCACAAGGAAGAAACCGACCACGTTCCACGCTGCGTACCAGCCAAACGCTCCCTGGGGCGTGAAGGCAGCTTGGAGCGAAGGCCAGGTGATCGAAAGGACGAAGTTGAAGAACCACGTCGTAGCCGTCGCAAGCGACATTCCGTATGCACGCACGTACAGCGGATAAGCTTCAGCGGAATATGTGAATGGCACCGGCCCCTCACCAGGAGAGTAGACGATGCCAAACAGGTAGATGCCCAGTGCGATCAGGCCAACACGAACCGGCTTGGATGAACCTTGGTCGGGGATGAAGAAGCACATGCCGGTGAAGAGCAGGAAGATGGCCATGAGCGGGAAAGTCGTCAGCAAAAGGTTACGTCGTCCAAACGTGTCGATAGTGTAGATTGCCGGGATGGCAAACAGGAAGTTAATGATGCCGAATCCGAGCGAGGCGGCGAGGGCTGAAATGGAGGAGAAACCGCTGTCGCGGAAGATGGAGGACGAATAGTAAGCGATGACGTTGACGCCACAAAACTTCTCGGCGTTAGCTTTGCCCTACTACTTCGAGCAAGAGGAACCCACCTGTTGCATGAACATGACAATCTCGGACGCAACCATGGCACGTCTGTTGCGAGGTACGGTAATGATCTCCTTGATCTTGCTCTGGCCAATCTTCATGGTCTCTTCGGCTTTCAGAAGCTCGGCCATGTAGAACAGGTCGCGAGCAGCTTGAACCTTGTTGTAGCGCAATGTACACATGGCATGGAAGGCGGCAGCGTGGCGGCCCTTGCTGAGATACCAGCGAGGCGACTCGGGACACAGGAAGACGAAGCAGCACACCACGACGGCCGGAAGCATAGCGGATGCCATCATCAGACGCCAGTTCAATCCAGTGGCGGCAGCGGTGTCGGGGACTTTGTACAGTGCCAGATCAGCAACGTAACCAAGCATGATACCGAAGGCGGTCCACTTTACAGCCGTTAGCACCACGACATCCAGGGACCAAGAGGCTTCAACGAACCATTTGCCACTGCATGACCAGAGCACCACGAATCGCCGGAGGGGTGCATTCTGCGGCGTAGATGGGGACCGTCGCGGACTTGGGACCGATACCGAAGCCGAGCATGAAGCGTGCTATGAACATGTGCCACCAGGTGTTGACGAAGCCCTGCCAAAAACAGGCAATGGCAGAGAAGAGGCAGGTGATAAAGATTGTGCCACGACGGCCGAACCAGTTGTTATATGGAACAGTCAACCAGCAGCCGATGAAAGCGCAGCAAAGATACGGCGCCGAGTTGACGAGACCAGTCAGCCAGGTAGAACGCGCCTCGCCTTCGTTGTCAATGCCGAATTGCGGGGTATAGAAGAGTTGTGCGCCGTTGACAACAGTCTCATCTGTAGAATGTCAGTCAACTAGCCGCCTCGGAGGCGCCAAGGTACCTACCCATTCCCTGAACAGCAGCGCAAACAGAGCAGCAGACGATGACAATGTACAGAGTCTTCGGTTGGGACCATTTGTTGGTAAATTCGTGGTACAGTGTCGAAACCTCTTCCTCTGTCAGAGTATCGGTACCCAGGCGGTTATAAGCCAGCGGGTCCTGAGCAAGGATGGCGCCGATTTCAAAGGCGCGGATATCTTCGGGCTCGGCGAGCGCGTGCTCTAGCGCATAATCTCGTCCCTTCTTCTCAAGCTGGGGACGAGAGTACCCAGCCAGAGGGTTGGCCAATTTGGCATTGGCATTGCGGCGGGCTCGGTCCGCGGCCGACATGAAAGTACTACTGGCAACAGAAGCATTGCGAGCGCCCCTGCTTTGGTTGCGTTCGGCGTCTTCTTTGAAGGCAGTCTCGCCTTCCGAAGAGTGCTTGTCCCCGGACGACATGCTGGGCAAGCTTGGCAGGCGAAACACCAAGGCGGAGCGTTCCAGCAGATGCTCGAAGATAAGTTATGAAAGCTTGTCCGTCCTGCAGGAATGCAGAACCAGCGTCGCTATCCGGTGACTTAGCTTTTTGTGACTCAGCAGCGACGGAGGGACCTACCGTTGCGTCGTCAGAGGCGGTGCTGTCCCCTAACTGACCAGGAAGGATTGTTGATCAGGGGGATGATGGACACATAAGACTCGTTGGGGCCAAACCAAGAGGCACTGGCTTGGAGCTCGGAAAGACGGGAAACAAGCAGCCGCGCCGCGGGGGAGCGTTGCATTAAGAAGTTGGAGCAATGCATGGCGGAGAACACGGCTTACCTACGGCAGGCGCCGCTGACGGACTCAGGCTGAGAGGGCAACGTCGAGATGTCCATCGGTGCTGTCAACGGGAGCCAGGGTTCCCGCTGCTTCCCCGCGACGGGCTAGCGTCAATTCTCCGCAAACACAGGACTGGCGAGCGGCGATCGCCTACGCCTTGCTCACTTGCATTCGCTCCCAGTCCATTCGCCGTGCTCCAGACTCCAGACTGCCATCCGCACCGCCGACTCGATTCTCGACGGCTAATGAGACACCTCTCACGACCAGCAATGACATCAGCTAGGCAATTTGCCTGGCGCTCTGATGCCCCGGCTTTGTCTGCTGACTCCCGCCGCACCCAGGCGGCACACAGCACGAATCCTTCAGGCAGCAAGCGGCGCCAAGGCAGACTGTGCGGTGGGGCAGCAAGGGCTCCTGGTGCGTGGGCGAGAATCTCGGGCCAATCCCATGAGCGTAAGCATCACTGCGGATCGGCTGGTCGCCGGTGTTTGGTTTGCCTTCTGCCCATGGGGCTCCCCAGCTCTCCCACGCCCGCTTCTCCGCAGTCGAGTCAGCCCTCGGCGGGTCCATGAGACATGGGGAAGCCAATGCCCGCTGCTCGTCCCACGACATGGCCTCCCGCGCTTCCGGCTTCCTCGGGCGGCACCGGTGAGCAGCCAGCGAATGCCCGCAGCTCTTGTGCTTGCGGCCGACGGGAGTGGACATGCAGCCTCGTGGCAGACGGTTGCACGGTCACGCGAAACACGCGGCATTCCAATCCAGAGTCGAGGTTGCAGCGACGAGCGATCGGCCGTTATGGCTTGCGGCGTGGCTTGCCCTTGGCAGTCAGCCGAAACGCCTCTGTCGTCATGGACAGGGCTGTACTCGCGCTGTTGTGACAGCGGCGGAATGCCTCGTTTGGTGCTCCGTCCGCGAAACGCGCGGGCTGCACTCTCTGATCTCGGTGGTTCAAGAGCCGAGCAGGAGGCTTGAAGTCCCGGTAGGCGGTCAGTTAGTGCAGCGGTACCCAGGAGGCCGAACGCAAAAACCGGGCGTGGGGCACCCCGCGATGGGAACACACGGTAGTGGGACTGCTCATCGCTCTCTACATCCACTCCCCTCCCGTTTCAGTTCACCATCTTCCCGGCCTTGTTACGCTGCTCGCTCCTGGTTCGCCTGTGCCACGTTGCTTGTTGCCTTCCCCGCGAATTTGCCTTCTCCGCTTCCGCCTTGCCGCCTGCGGAGTTGGGTGAGATTCGCAGCTCTGACTGCACCGTCACGCTGGCGACCGGGGTTTCACCCGGCCAATGAAACCCAGCTGTCACCATCCTCTTCACCGGACGGCGTGCCTCCGAGCCACCGAGCACCAGTCTCCTGGATCCATTCAGCAGAACCTGCGTCGGCAGCACTCCAGTCGCCGCCTCGTTGCACTGCTTGGCCGCACAAAAACCGCCGCCCGCAGCTTGTTGCCCGCAGCTGATTGCACTGTTGCGCTGAGTCTTTCGCCTAGCCCGGCAAGCCTCACTGGTGGAGCATTCCTCTGCCTCGTCTGATTGAGCTGGGCTGTGCGCCCCGAACCAGGCCTCCTGAGATCACCTTATCTTTCTGTTGATGGCGACAGTCGAACGAGAGACAAGAGTTGTGGCTCAGGTATACCTGGCCGCCCTCAGCACCTCTTGTTTTGACCGCAGCCCAGCGCCGCCTGAGTCAACATGCATATGTTTTACAGATGGACCGACCGCCCGCTCCGCCAGTTCCGCGCCACTGCGAACGCCAGCAAAGCCTCCAATGCTCTATCATTCTGAGAAACGACTCCCCTCCACGCACGTCGGAATGAAGGACGAAAGCCGAGGGGCCGATTGTCCTTTGCAACACTACTTATATACAGGGCTACCGGGGGGGATTGCTCCAACAATTTTCCCGATACATACACCATCGCAACCGGCTCTCGGTTTCGCGTCCATCGGGGAGGTCAGCAACAGAACGCGCACCACCTCTACGGCGGATACAATACCAGATCTGAGCTAACTCCGACCTTTACTGTGCCGCTATGCAGTCCCCCACACGGGAACTACTGCCGCTCCACCCGATGAGAGCACCCAACCAAATCTCTGAACTGCACGTGAGATGATGGCCGGATTTTTACCCAAGGTACGTTGGGCCCAAACGCATGGATGGCACGAAATCGACTAGAGAGCAAACACAGCATGCATGCGCTCCGGGATACTGGTGACGACGTATGTATGGTGGACGACTGAAAGCAGCCGTTCGAAGGGCTTCATCTTCCATGCATCTATGCTAATTCCTTTCTAAAAATAACACACTTTGCCGCCAGTTTTCTGGACTGCTTCTTTCCGAAAGGGCAGTAGCTGCAACCGGGTGCGTGCATGGCCCAAGATACCTGAGTTGCTGCTTCTTCCAGCGAAGTCCACCGATGGTCTAGCATAATTCTAGAAGCATCTTCCCCTAGGTGTGGCGGGCATCGTTGCTCACTTTGCTATAATACTCCACATTTTCGAGGTACCGAGATGGGGATCCCCTCACCAGTGAAAAAGCCCATTCCGTCGGACATTGAGTGTGCCTATGTATGATCCTGACTGCGTGGACCCCTGAAATCAATAGCCTTTGGAACGGATACTGTTTACATACGAGGGAAAATTCTAAAGACCTGTCGCGACTTCCAACTAGGGCGCTTGGTTTAGCAAATCAGTTAGTCAGGAAAAAGAGAAAAGTAATACAATCACCATGTCACTTTTCTATCGCTGACAATCATCTATAGCGATAATCAACGGCGCACCTGAAATGCTCTGAAAAGCTCTTGGGGAGCTCGGAACGGGCTAACCGAGTGGTGCAGGACCCAGCCAATCATAAAGGTTCGAATGTCGGAGAAGAGGAAGTAATCACGTGCAATTTGCTGAGAAATCGCCGCGGCGATGAACTAGCTCGGACGTCATCTTGAACATTTCCACGAACACCCTGACAACATCTTCACTACAACGCCCTTATTTTTTCTCGTGTCCACCCTAAAGCCACAACGCCTGAATACGTTCTTCCGAACGCTATATTCACCATGTCGACCTCCGCCGTGCCCAGGACGGCTATTCGTGCTCTCACAAGAGCGAGACCTTCGACCAGCTCGCGGACAACGCAGAAGCTCGCCACAGCCAGACCTACTCAAAGATGCCTTCACCAAGCATCGTCGCCCGCTTCATTCGTGTCTTTTCGCCACAGACCAAGCCAATCCTCTATTGCCGCCCGCCATGCGACGCGATATGGAGCCGTTGAAAGCCGACGGACAATGTTCATCCAAACAGAAAACACCCCCAACCCCGACGTACGTTTTCCTCCACTAAATCCTCATGACCTTGTCGACAATGCCACGTCAAACGTCACATTGGACTCCAATACCGCGGAGCTTTCTGCATCTCGTGCATTGATCACTAACCGAGACACTTCAATTGTAGGCCCTCAAGTTCAACCCTCACATGCGCGTCCTGCCCGAGGACTTCCCCTCGACATTCCTTGAGTACATGAACCCGCGCTCGACTGTCACGCCTCCATACTCGTCGCCGCTGGCCGCCAATTTGCACAATGTCGACGGTATCACCTCTGTCTTCTTCGGTGCCGACTACATCACCGTCACCAAGGACAGCTCTGTGCCGTGGGCGCACATCAAGCCCGAAGTGTTCAGCTTGATCAGCGAGCACGTCGCCTCCGGCCAGCCCATGGTGAATGTCACGCAGAGCACAGACGGCGACGGCCAGGAGAGCGCCGAGGACAGCTTGGCTTACAATGAGGACGATGACGAGATCGTGGGTATGATCAAGGAGCTGCTGGAGACGCGAATCAGGCCGGCGATCCAGGAGGATGGCGGCGATATCGAGTTCAGGGGATTCCACGATGGCATCGTTATGCTGAAGCTGAGGGGTGCGTGCCGGACTTGTGACTCGTCAACCGTCACCCTCAAGAACGGTATTGAGTCTATGTTGATGCATTACCTGTCCCCTGATGTTACTGGTGTGGAGCAAGTCCTGGACGAGGAGGAAGAGGTCGCGCTCAAGGAGTTTGCGAGATTCGAGGAGAAGTTGCGTCAGCAGAAGGGACCGGACGCTACTGCGTCAACTGTGGGCAAGGGAAGCTTGGATACTGTTGAGTAAAACTGCAACCAAGATGGTCAATCCGTGAAGGCAGTAAAATTAAGAGAGGTAATTATGGTAGGGCGTAGAGGCTTTGGCTAGGCGCAGATGTCTAGCTAGGGAGGCAACATTCGCATCTGGACAGGAGCTTCAAATATCTTTGAGCTGGCGTCAATGTTCTTCGGTCGTCCTGCGAGATACCCGGTACATGAAAAAAAACCAACAAAATCAAGATTTGGCATCCAAGCTGCCTGTTTGTAGACTGAAGCAACAAGACTACAGAGTGCTGCAAGAGAATCAAGTCTTCTCAAATATGTTGCTGAACACGCCACATATTATTCACGTATGTGGAGAGGTCCAAAAGCTGGCCGTATCTTTGGAAATTCATATCTACGCCCGGATTGTGCAAGAATTGATGGCAAAGAAGTTTTTATAAAGCATGTCCACTCAAATACGGTTCGACGCTGCCTGAATCGACGGCACTGATATGTACACCCTCCGGGTTCGGCGCGGAAGTTGATAATACGTAGATCCCGCGCGTCCTCCCAAGCATCTGCTCATACGTGAAATTACTGTGCGTCTGCATGGCATTAGCTCGTGCTTGCGTTGTTGGATTTTCATCCTCGCGTATGACATGATAAGATGCTAAAACTAGTCACGAGTCACAAGGTACGCGCTGCAGATGCAAAGGGTCCAGTGACGTCAAACGTTGGACGATGATAGGCGGCCTAGTTTTGCTCTGGAACCACCTCGGCGGTACGGGGGAATATCACGAACTCGTGCATGATGCGCGATACCCCTGACGTGTGAGATAACGGAGTCAATGATAGAGCGGATCCTCTTGATAAGTGTATGTGAATATAATACATCTTTGCGGGAGAAATTCATACCTTGCTTTAGGAACCACACTGTTACTGAGCTACGGAAATGGTATGGGTACGACGAGTCATGGCCACTGATCATATCCGCTCCCGGCCACTCAGTTCAAGACTAAGAAAGCAGGGTGATGATATCATTCGTACGGCATCCGTCTACGATCGGGGTTAGGCGACAGTGTTAGGTATCTTTTGGTGAGTCGATTGTTCGTGTTGATTCTTCACCATCTGCGGGCTCCCTAATTCTCACCCATGCGCACAGATATGGGTTGCAACTGGTCTCCAATCTTCCGCCGAACGAAGACCGACTAATACAAGAGGTAACATGGCAGCGATACGCATGTCTGATTCACGTCTTACGCGACTTCAAAGAAGAACACTGTCATCTGCCTTGGTTTCAAGGCGGACGAAATATCGGTGAGCATGCAGCTACCTCGTTAGCGGTATACGGCAATGCAGCCACTCGCATCCGTGTGCCAAGTCTGCAGTAAAGCCCAACCGACAGCTTCGAAACGGCAATCCCTAAACTCTATTGCTACAGGTGTTGGCAAGGGCTTGCCTTGCAGTCATCTGCAGGTAGAAGCTCGAGGCTCGGCCTTTTTGCGTCATTGCATCGGTCACACTCGCCCAGGCTTACGCATTGCCACGTCTCTTAGCAGCTTCTGCGGCTTTCTCAACGCCATCATTCTGTTCTCTCATCCGTTCCTTTCCGGTCTTTTCCCACTGTCTGTTGATGCTTCTGCTTTCCACCCTTATTTCTCAATGCCAGAATGCTTTAGTCGCATGATATGCGCCCGCTTCACGAAAGATACCCTATCACCAATGCTCCTAGTTTGGTCTTCATCATCCTGGGAAAGCTACGCTATGCGATCACGATCACGACCACGACCACCATATCTGTCCACACCCACTATGCAGCAGTTGTTGTGGAGCAGTCATGAGTTGGGAATTCCATGAGACCGATGCTCACTTGCCAAGCGGAAAGCACCGTAGTCACCAAAGCCAGTATTTACAACTGGCCTTGTCATTCTTACAACACCAATGGACTGTATAAAAAAGCAATTCGAGACCCTGGGTATCAACCACCAAAGCGACACAATCGCAGAGGCCGGGGCCACGCCCCCACATCACCCAGCCCACAAGCATGAGCGTGACGGCCGTCACCAAAACCACTTACTCAACGGAAATTCCGAGAGCAAAGACAAATACACTCACCGCGGCCTTCATAACGGCGATCGTCATCACCTCTTTCAACCTCACCGCAACCCACACCGCTACCGCCGTAGCCAATTTTCAATCGATGCGGCAATGGCCAACGAGGAAGAACTGTCACGGGCATACCCTCACCCGCCCCAAAATTACCAGCGCTATAGCGGCAGCAAAGTCGACAGCGAGCAATACTATCACAACCCGTTTTACTACCGCAACCACCGCAACGGCACCAATCGATTCAAAAGCGGCGACAATACTTCTCGCGGATTCTCTTTCAAGAATGCGGCGGTCGACGACCCCGACATCCTCTACGAAGAAGTGGACGGGTCCATCAACTCGGAATCGGATATCCCTCAATTCCAAATCCCACAACCTCCCATGGCTACCCGCAGAGACAACAAGGAGGATCACCTTCCGTCACACCACCAGCCACTCTATCATCACCACTACGAACCTCCACGCGGCCGGGACAGGCGACCCCGCCCCAACACAAACACCACCATCAGTCCCTGGCCAGACTACCCGCCGCCGCCACCGCCACTAGTACGGCAAACGCCCCTGGTGTACCCAGACATGAGGCCATCGCCAGACGGCACCCAATCACCGTCGTCAACCATCTCGAGCCCACGACGGCAGTTCGACCGACGACTCCAACCAAAGACGACTAAGCGCTTCTCCGCAGCAGCAGCAGCGCCATCACCACCAACCGACGTCCCCCGCCCCAGAAAAGCAGCACCGCATCACCCCGCCACCGGCGACGAAGCAGCACCACCCCCACCCGTACAATCCCGACCGAAACAGAAAAACCCCCACCAACAGCACCGACAACGGCAACGTCTCTCACCGCCGCCTCCACTCTTCCCGCTCCCCGCGCCCACGACGACGGTAGGCGGCGGGTCCTCGTCCTCGTCGTCGGTCGTCGTGGTGGCGGGGCGCGGCATGAAGAGGTCCGTCGTTGCCGGCACCGGGGCCGGGTCGAAAAGCGGCAGGGCGATCAAGAGGGACTCCGCGCTCGCCCCCTCCTCTCCTCATCCGCTTTACTTTGCTGGCTGCGACGACGATGCGGTTCCGCCGCCTGAGGCGACGACGCCGACGATTGCCGTTGACGGGACGGAGCTGTCGCTGCGGAGGGGTGGTGGTGTTGGTAGCCTGCTGGACGACGACGACGACGACGACGACGACGCCGGGGGATTCGACGAGGGGGCTTATGAGGAGTGTGGCTACGAGTACGTCGGGCCGGCGGACTATGCTGGCGAAGCCGAGTCGATGCCTGTGGATGGCGGCTGCGTCGACGATGACGACGACGGCCTGTGGAGCCCCGGCCGGGAGGTCAGCAGCATTCGCACCTTTACCGTCGGCGATGGCGGCGGCGGCGGCAGCATCAGCGCGAGAGGGAAGGGGGAGGATGGGTTCGTCGCGGACGATGCGCGTGGGCGGGGGCGGGGGTTCTTCGACTACGCGGAAGCGAGGGCGAGGAGGAAGGGGGAGAGGGTGGCCGGGACGGGAGGCCATCCAGTTACTGCTGGTGGTGGTGGGCATGGCCGTCCTGGTAGGGGTGCTTCGCCCCGCGGACGGGCTGGGTTCGAAATCATCAGAGGTGGCGGGTGGGAGATGGAGCAGGAGCCTGAGCCGGAGCCGGAGCTGTATCTATTCGACATCGACGACGAAGAGACTGATGGGCATATGCTGAGAGACTGGCCCCTGGGAGGCAGAGCTGGCCTCTCGCAATACTTGAACGCGAGGAGCTTCTCGAGAGCCGGCAGACACGTTGGTGGTGGGCGCGGCGTTGATAGTGAAGATCATCGCGCGAAAGACAAACGCAAGCATCGCTACAAGAGGCATAGCGACAGCAACCGTACTTCGACACCTTCAGCTCCTCCGAAAGGCCTGGGCCCGACCAGCACTGCGGGCCCGTTGAGCACGATTCGTGCGCCACGAACGCCGTCAGAGGTCGCGGGATGCGCGCTGGGAACGGCGGCCGTGGGCTTGTGTGCAACGAGTGTGAAGAAGGTCGTGTCACAGGCGATAAGGTGGGAAGTAGAGAAGCAGGTGCAGGAGAGACTGCAGGAAGAGAAAATGGAAAGGAGGAGACGAAGGGCGAGGAAGAGGGAGGAGAAAGAAAAGAAGTGGAGAGAGAGGGACCGGCTGGAGAGGGAAGCAATCATTGCGCGCAGGGAGAATGGAAGGCCAGGGTTTGCAAGAAGGCTGAGTGACAAAGTTCCTCAACGGTTCAGGAGAGCCATGAGTGGTCCTAGCGGTCTCGGTGGCCCTAGTCTCAGTGGTGCAAGTAAGATGGTCCGGGATGATACCATCGAGGATGGGTATTCGGGGGATCATGATCTCGTTGACAAGGGTCTCGGTGTAATGAACGACAGAGAACTCTATACAAGGCCAAGGAGAGGATGGAGGAGAGGCTGGAGTCGCAGTCGTACTCCCGAACCCAGGAGACCATTGTCACAACGGCCTAAGTTACCGGAAGAACTGTGGAGGCGAGGCGGACATAGATGGGGGCCCCCTTCATCCGCAGGGCTACACGAGAAAGGCAAAGACGCTCCTAGGGGGAACCGTCACTTACTGTCCGATTTTGATGCTTCGGAGGTTGCAGCATAGTAGATTACACAAAGGTTCATCTTTTCGCGTCTTACAAAGGATTTTAAAAACTTTCTTCGTGGTTAGTCGAGACCAACATACTGAGGTAGATGTAAGTGTACAAAATTGAAATGCATCCAAACACAAGATTGAACTACGTACCTACGTATGTTTGATTTTCTTTGGCGAGACATACTTGGGAACGCATTCCACCCAGACTTTTCCGGCACATGTACGATAATCCAAGTACTATAGGTCGAGGGTTCACGCGGAACGCTGGGTAATTTTTGCTCATCCATGCATGTGCTATTGTACAATCTAGGGAGGGGTAGTCGCAGATATCCGCTCAGCACTCTCTTCAAGAGGAAGCTTCTTGCGTGGCCTCTTGAGCTCATCAACGGTGATTCCGTTTCCAACCTTCGTTATACCCATGACGGGCGGATCTCCCTTCCTGACGAACTCGTACTGGCCTAGCAGGCTGTTAGTGGTAATTGCCGGGACCGTATTATACACATGTCGTACCTGGTAGCTTGGTTCCGGCCAACCTGAACGCATCTCTCACCACCTGCTCGTGGACATCACCCTTCAACTCAAATAGAATCTTGCTGATCGCCACTCTGCTGGCCCAGTGGTCGAAGCTACCCTTTCCCTTACCCATACGCGACTCGTTGCCGGAAGTGTAGACACCGATGTTTGCGCATATGCGCGTATACAGGCGGAACTTCAGACCACGCAGACGCTTGCGGATAGTGTCCTCGGCGATCTTGAGATGCTTGGCCGAGATGCGGCGATCGTGGTCCTTGAGGCGCAAGCCGTAGTCTCCCCAGATGATAGTGGTGCCGCGCATCGAGCCGCCGGTAGGCACGCGCGGTCTGCCCTTGCGGTCCTTCTTGTTGTGGCCAACCCTGGGGGACAACCAGTCGAGGCGCGGGCTAGCAGTGCTAAAAGGCCGGGATGCAAGAGCCGGGCCTAGGATGGAGGAGGGCGCGACGGACGGGCGTGCGGCGGCAGTGCGGGCATGTTGGAGGACTGCGAGGCTGGCATTAGCGGCGACGGGGGGCGCCGGACGCAGGATAAAATACGGCATTGGGGTCTCCCGGGGGCGGCGGCGAGGCCTCGTCGCAATTGGGCCCCGAAGTTAGGGCATAATCTGGGGGAAGGCATGGCGGATGCACCCGTGGAGCGCGGAGGTGTCGAGCAAGCTGCGGCTTCATGATTTCCAGGGCGCTCGGACCACTGGGCGGAGAAACGTGTCGGAGCTGCAGCGCGCGCCAGCCCGCAAGTGCCAAGCGTGGTGCCTGGACGCGCCCGGCGCGACATCATCATCCATTCACGCGTCGTCTGCCCGCCCGCCTGCCTGGAGGCCCTCTGCAACCACCACACGCCACCTTCCCACCATAGCCTGCATTTCATGAATTGAGCTCTTGCTGCTATCCGCTGCAGACATGCCGGCCGATATTAGAAGCTTTTTTGGCGGCAAGCCTGCTGCGCAGCCTGCAAAAGAAGAGGTGCGTTGCGTTGCTCTTTCCTAAGCTGCGACAGCCGGATTAGTCCTGCCTTCCCCTTCCCAAAAGCCCGCGCCTTCGCAGTGCCGCCACATCTGTTACAAAACAGAACGAAGTTCTTGACTTCAGTCAACATCGGAAGAAGCAATGCAGGCGGAAATTTACTCACCCCGCTCGCAGGCAAAACCCGCCGCCAAGAAGAGAGGAAGGCCGGCGCGCAAGGTGGTGGAGGACTCGGACGACGAAGAGGAGCCGTGCGTTAATTCATTGTGCTTCGCTGTTTTGCTCATGCTGATACAGCCGTAGTCCCAAGAAAGCAACCCCCAAGAAGCCGGCTCCGAAGAAGCAAGCGTGTGTGCTGATGTCTACTGTGTATGGTCACGAGCTAACGTAGGACCAGCAAACGTGAAGCGACACCTGAGGGCGAAGCCACCACAGCCTCAGCCTTCTTTGGCGACAAGAAACCCGCTCGCTCCGCCCCCAGCAAGGCCTCGAAGGCTGCTGCGAAGACCGAAACGCCCAAGTCCACACCCAAGAAAGCTAAAGCCAGCGACAAGACGGCTGTCACTCCTACCCGTACCTCCGCTCGAAAGAAGAAACCCGCGACGTATTCTGAAGTGAAGGACGAGGACGAGGATTTTCTGGACGATGATGAGGACGGAGACGACATTTTCACGGCTGCTTTCAAGAAGAAGGGCAAACACGCGGACGATTACGAGGAGAGCTCCGAGGACGAGCCCGTAGCCCTGCCACAGCGGCAAGCAAGTGGGAGAGGACAGAAGAAGCTCAAGGATGAGGGTGACTTCGAGCCGGAAGCAGATGTCGACATGAAGGACGCCAAGCCGGAGGACGACTTTGTAGTCCCGGATGACGATGAAGAAATTGTTGATAACAAGTCGGCGAAGAAGGCTAAACCAGCTGCGAAAGCAGGCAGGAAACGCAAGTCAGCTGAGACGGATGATGAGCTTGAGGCAGAACCACCCAAGAAGGCTCGCGGTAAAAAGACGTCACCAGCAAAGAAAAAGGCAAAGAAGGATGAGCCTGAAAATGCTGCCATGAAGGAACTGCTGGATAGTATCCCCACCGTGCGGCCTCCATCTCCACCGCCGAAGGATGGGGATGCCCCTAAGAAGTTCAATCCCTTTAAGGCTGGTGCTCATGCAAATTCTGGACCGGCGCCTCAATCCGGAGCGCTCGACATTCCAGAGGGAAAGCCGAACTGCCTTGCAGGGATGACCTTTGTTTTTACAGGCCTGCTCGAGTATCTTGACCGTGAAGCTGGGCAACAATTGGTCAAACGCTACGGCGGAAAAGTCACGAGTGGGCCAAGTAGCAAGACCAGCTACGTGGTCCTAGGCAGTGATGCTGGTCCCAGCAAACTGCAAAAGATCAAGCAGTTCAAGCTCAAGACAATCAACGAAGAAGGACTATTTGCCCTCATCAAGAAACTGCCTGCTAATGGAGGTGACAGCAAGGCTGCTGCAGCGTATGAACAGAAGCAGGCTGCCGAAGAGAAGAAGATCAAGGAAATGGCCGAAGAGATGGAGAGAGAAGAGCGTCGCAAGGGTGGCGCTGGTGGTGCTGGAGGTGGCAGTGCCACTGCTGCTGCTCGAAGCGCGGCAAGTTCGCAAGCCCCTGGTTCCCAAACATCGGGCTCACAGTCCGCTCAAGACAACCGTCTATGGACCGTGAAGTATGCCCCCACTCAACTGACCCAGATTTGTGGAAACAAGACCCAGGTGGAGAAGCTTCAACGCTGGTTGCGCAACTTCCCGAAGAGTCAGAAGAAGGGCTTCAAGTTGGGAGGCCCTGATGGAAGTGGCCTTTTCAGAGCTGTAATGATTCACGGCCCGCCAGGAATTGGCAAGACAACTGCAGCACACCTCGTCGCCAAAATCGAAGGGTACGATGTCGTCGAGAGGAACGCTAGTGATGCGCGGAGCAAGAAGCTTGTACAGGACGGTTTGCAGGGTGTCCTCGAGACAACGTCGCTTCTCGGATACTTCGCCGGTGACGGGAAGAAGGTTGAGGAGTCCAAGAAAAAGCTGGTGCTGATCATGGATGAAGTTGATGGCATGTCTGCTGGTGACCGAGGTGGGGTCGGAGCGCTCGCCGCTGTCTGCAAGAAGTCTGAAATCCCCATGATTCTCATCTGCAACGATCGTCGTTTGCCAAAGATGAAGCCTTTCGACTACGTCACCTACGACCTTGGCTTCAGACGTCCAACGACGGATCAAATCAGATCGAGAATCATGACTATCATATTCCGTGAGGGTCTCAAGATGCCCAAGAACGTCATCGATGCTCTGATCGAGGGGACCAGTGCGGACATCCGACAAGTCGTCAACATGGTCTCTACTGCAAAGCTCGACGAAACAGCCATGGACTACGACAAGAGCAAAGAAATGTCTAAGGCATGGGAGAAGCACATCATTCTAAAGCCCTGGGATATCGTTGGCAAGATTCTCCAGGGTCACATGTTCTCTCCGACCAGCAAACACACGCTTAACGACAAGACTGAGCTCTATTTCAATGATCACGAACTGAGCTACCTCATGCTTCAGGAGAATTATCTTGGCACCAACCCCATGCGTGTTGGCAATCATCAGGGCAAGGAACGCAATTTAAAGCTTCTCGAACTGGTCGACAACGCTGCGGAAAGCATAAGCGACGGTGACTTGGTCGACAGCATGATCCATGGCTCTCAGCAGCAGTGGAGTTTAATGCCAACCCACGCCATGTTCAGTTTTGTTCGGCCTGCGAGCTTCGTGGCCGGCACCATGGCAGGCTTTAAGACCAATTTCCCACAATGGTTGGGTAGGAACAGCTCGCAAGGCAAGCTCACACGCATGATCAAGGAAATCCAGGGCCACATGCGCTTGCGTACATCTGGAGACCGTCACGAGATTCGTCAGCAGTACGTTCCTATTCTTTGGAACGAGCTCGTCAAGAAACTTGAGGTGGAAGGCAAGGAAGCCGTACCCGAAGTCATCGATCTCATGGACAGCTACTTCCTCACCAAGGAAGACTTTGATGCGATCATGGAACTGGGCGTGGGCCCTATGGACCAGGAGAAGATCAAGATCGAGACGCAAGCCAAGGCGACCTTCACAAGGCTGTAAGTAACACCAGTAAAAGCAGACAGCGACTAAAGGCGGCAAGCTGACTCGGGAATTTTCATACAGGTATAACCAGCAGTCTCATCCTATCCCCTTCATGAAGGCCTCCTCGATCGTCGCGCCTAAGCAGGCTGTCAAGGAGAAGCCTGATCTGGAAGAGGCAATCGAGGAGTCAGATGAGGGTGAAGTGATGGACGAGCCAGACGCGAAGAAAGACGAAGATGAGGAGGGTGACATCACAAAGGACAAGTACATCAAGCAGCCGAAGAAGAAAGCTGCGCCGAAGAAGAAGGCCACGAAGAAATCGGCGGCTGCAGACGACGACGACGAGGAGGAGGAGAAGCCGAAGAAAAGTAAGGGTAAGGGAAGGGCGAAGAAATGAGAGACCGGCTTTGGCCAAAGGCAAGTGAAGTATGGTCCAAAGGAGACAAAGTTTCGTGGTGCGTAAGCTCAGTCGGCTGTATGATAATGTAAGCTTTTTTTTTCTCTCTCAAAATGGTAGTGCAGCAGTCTGCAGTGTAAGGGGCATGATAAGGTAGCATCGGTTATTTGAAAAGCAAAACACGGTTCCTTCAGATACAAGAGTATTGTAATTGAATGACAAATTGCACCTATCGTCAGACAGATATTCTGCAACCCATTGCCGCGAAGTTTCAGCAAAAGTATTCTATTGGCGTTGCGCTAGAGAATGACCCTGCGGCCTTGTGCGTGGATTGGACAAGCCGAAAGCTAGGGAAAGTAAACACAAAGTGAAAGTCTGAGCATCTATCCATCAATTCAACCTCTTGATCTCGTCTTTCTCTCTCTCTCTTTCTCTTTCTCTCTCTCTTTCTCTTTGTCCAACGATACGCACTTTCAAACTCCCTTTCCTCCATATGATGAAAAAGAAGAGAAAGAAATGCACCAAAAGCAGAGTCAGTAAGAAGAAACAGACAACTAAAGAGCAGCAACAACAACAACGAAACAAAAACAAAAACACACATCCACTTTCCTCCTCCATCATCCCAGCCCGTTTCCCCTCCTTCCCCCCGCCAGCCAGCCATCCCATCCCATCCCATCTCCACATTCCACCCACTAACTCACAACCCGCCCTCCCTCTCCCAGACCATCCGCCCAGCCACCCACGTCTGCAGCACCTCGCCCTCCTCGCTCAACACCACCAGATCCGCCCTATTCCCTTCCCTCAGCACGCCGACCCCAGCCGCGCCGCCGCCGTCTTCTCCCAGCGCGCCGCCGCCATCCACGCCCATCAGCCCCGCCACGTTCTCCGTCACCGTGCGCACCGCCTCGGGCAGCGTGCAGCCCGTCCACGCGACGAGGTTGCGGACGCCCTGGGCGAGGGTGCCGCAGCCGCCGACGAGGGTTTCGGGTTCGCTGTCGTCGTCGTCGTCGTTGGCGATGACGGCCTTGGGCGAGGGGTAGGGCTCGTTGGTGGATGGGTCGTGCGTCACTTTGCGCTGGGGGGACGCGATTTGCGCGTGGCCGGGGTAGGTGCCGGCGGGGATGGAGGGCGAGGCGAGCTCGATGCTGTCGGTGACGAGGATGGCGCGGGTGGGGTTGGCGCGGTAGAGGAGGGCGGCGGTGGAGGGGTGGAGGTGGTGGCCGTCGGGGATGAGGGTGTAGTAGGGTGGTTGGGGTTGTTGTTGCGGCGGGAGGGTGAGCAGGCCGGCTAGACCGGGTTGGCGGGAGTGCAGGGGGGTCATGGCGTTGAGGGTGTGGGTTAGGCAGGTGGCGCCGGCGTTGAGGGCGGCGAGGCCGTCGGCGTAGGTGGCGGTCGTGTGGCCGAGGGAGACGCGGATGGAGTGGTCTTTGGTGAGGGTGTTGATGAGGGCGGTGCTGGAGGGGAGCTCGGGGGCTAGGGTGGCGAGTTTGATGGATGGGAATCCGGAGGCGCCGTAGATGGTGACAGGAGAGGGGGTGGCTGAGGGGTGGTGGAAGAGGGATGCATTGTGAGCGCCTGCTTTGGACGGGTGGAGGTAGGGGCCTTCGACATGAGCGCCGTGAAGATAGGCGCCGCTGGGAGATAGAAAGCGGGGTTTGAGGGAGGGGAGGATCTATGCGACTGTGAGATCTCGGTATATCAGGCGTAGTTGTTTTTCTTCTTCTGGCTTGCCGGAACCGGAGAGACTGGGAAATATTACAAGAACTCGGAGTAAAAGACATGTGGCGATAGATAGTGAGAAGCCAAAGTGTAAAGAAAATCAGGCGACAAAAGATTGCAGGTTTTGATGGTCACTAGACTGGAGCATGTTGGTTACACAAGAAATACCTATCGGAATGACTGCTTGCTTCAGATAGATTGCCAAGACTACGCTAAGAAACAGCGGGCTGGAGGATCGCCTTTGAAAGGGAAAGCAGCGACCAACCTTCTGGAAAGTATCAGGAGACACGGTCGGGATGGTAGCCCAGAATCCGGTCACGCCCTGCGAGACATAGTGCTCGGCCGTCTCCTCCAGCTTCCGCTGGTACTGGGGCTCGTCTTCAAAGTGGGTGAAGTGAAAGCCATTGACGCCGTTTGTGTGCAGCTCGAGAAAGCCGGGAGCGACAATGTTGCCCTCCAGATCCACGATCTCCCCGCCAATGTAGCCGGTGCGCTTGAGGATTCGGCCGGTCTCCTCGGAGATGACGAGGTGGTCGTCGACGAGCTCGCCGCCCAGGCAGTAGCTGCCGTTGGTGAAGAGGGTGAACTGGTTGTCGGACATGGCTTGTCGACTTGACGTGACTTGACTCGGAGTGGGCGTGATGGGGAGGTCAGCCAGCGGGGCGCTGGGCGGGGCCTGGGCACCCCGGCGGCGATCGGCGGGACCCCATCGCCCGGATCGCTGCCGCTCACGAGGCGGCGCAGCTCGATGGTCGACCAGAGCTGAAAGCAGGGCGCAAGAGCCCCATCCGGCTACGGTGGCGGGCAGCTGGCCTGTTTGGCGCGCTCTGTGGCACGCTTTGGGCTGGCCCAGGCAGCGGCGATTGACGTGGGAATGCGCGTTTGGCAGCCACATGATGTCATCGCGGTGGCTTCCCGCCAGAAACGCGCTGATGATCTAGCTGCGCTGCCAGACGTGCCTTGCTCAATCCTGATTCCTCCCCTTGTCGCCAACTGCCGCCCAAGATATTTTCTCCCTGTCCCCGTCTCCTCGCAATTGACCCTACTGGCCCTCTGACACCTGCCGCGCCACGGCGAAAGCAGCCCTTTGACCTGCTCCTCGCTTTCACCCTCCCCTCGCGACTGCTCACCGGTCGCCATCATGGCCGATCAGCAGCAGCAGCACGCCCCGGGCGGCCACTATTCTGGCGCCAACCCCGTCCCCACCGTCAGGAAGTTCCTCGAAAACCTGGACAAGGACAAGCAGGAACGTGACAAGGAGCTCGAACAGCGCCCGCCCGGCCAGCAGAATGCTATTGCCCACAATCAAAATCCCCGTGGTATCAAAGGAACCCAGAAACAAGTCACCGACCCCACAACCGGCGGCCAGGTCATTATCGAGGACGTCCAGAAGGATGTCATGAAAGAGGCGGACAATCCACAGGTGAGAACGCATAGCTTTTACAGCCTTGGAGAATCTGGCGCTGACTTCCTGCAGCTCTCGGTGCCAAATGCGAACTTGGGCAAGGATACGGTATGCTTCCCCCCCTGTATCCTGTTTATTCGCGCCTGCGCTGACACCACCCATAGCCGATCAAGACGGATGCCTCTCAGTCCAACCCCGAGTACAAGTACAACCAGGACGTTACTTCACCCCCGGACCCTGTCGAGGAGGGTGCCACGTCCGACGTGCCCATCCACGGCGAAAAGACAAACATTCTCTTCCACCCCACTCCTTCCGTCAGCTATGAGCCATATTTCGCGGCTATGGAGAAGCGCACTTCCGGTTTGTGCGTGGGAATTCTCGCAGCTATCATAATAGTTGGCAGGATTTTCGGGGGCCGCATGCTAGGCCTGGTCCCGCTTGGTTTCTGTGTGGCCTCCGGTGTTTATCTGTGGATGAAAGAGGTTATCCGCAGCGGACGGGAAGTTGAATGGGAGAGCGAGAAGACTCGCGGCGAGACTGTAGGCATCTTTTCACAACTCACCATAAAAAGGAAGAAGAAGAAAAAACTAACTGTGCGGCAGGCATCTGCGAACCTGCTTCCCGAATCCGTCGAATGGATGAATACCTTCCTCGGAATTGTCTGGGGTTTGATCAACCCCGACATGTTCCAAGGTGTGGCCGACACGCTCGAAGACGTTATGCAGGCCTCGGTTCCGGGTGTAATTGAGAATGTCCGCGTTGCGGAAATCAACCAGGGGAGCAATCCTCTCCGGATCCTGAGCTTGCGCGCGCTGCCCGATTCGCACATGTCGGATATGAAAAAGGCAATCCACGAAGAAAACAAGAAGACGAAAGACCCTCAAGAGGCTGCTGCAGATGAGGAAGGCGGTGACTACTACAACCTAGAGTGTTCCTTCGCCTACCACGCGAAGCCGACTGGTAAGCGTGCGTCGGACAAGGCTCGGAACATGCACATGCAGCTAGTCTTCTACTTGGGAGTTAAAGGGCTGTTTGGAGTTCCTCTTCCCATCTTTGTGGAGCTTCAAGGCCTTGTTGGCACTGTCCGCCTGCGTCTCAACTTGACCCCGGAGCCTCCTTTCTTGAAGACTCTCACTTTCACCCTGATGGGGACCCCCCAGGTTCAAGCCGGCTGCATTCCAATGGTCGAGAAAGGTATCAATATCCTGAACCTTCCCTTGATCTCCAATTTCGTCAACTACGCTATTAGTGCGGCTGCCAGTATGTATGTCGCACCGAAGTCCATGTCCCTTGATATGCGCGCCATTCTCCAAGGCGACGATATCCAGAAAGATGTTCAAGCTCTTGGGGTTATGTGGATCCGCATCCACCGTGCTGTTGGTCTCAGCAAGCAGGACAAGCGTGGCAGCAAGCACGGCGGCAGCGATCCTTACATCACCCTTTCTTTTTCCAAGTACGGCAAGCCCATGTACTGCACCCGAGTCATTACGGATGATTTGAACCCTGTCTGGGAAGAGACTACCGCGTAAGTCAATCTCTCCTGGTAAAGTAAATCACGAAACTAACAGTGTCAAGTCTTCTTGTAACTCCGGAGCTAATCAAGGCTGATGAAAACCTGAGTGTGGAACTTTGGGACTCTGACCGCCACAGCGCCGATGACATTGTCGGCAAGGTCGAGCTTTCCATGCAAAAGATGATCCAACATCCCGGAAAGATGTACCCGCAGGTCAGCAAGCTGGCTGGAATGGACGCCGACAGCACAATGCCCGGAGAGCTTCACTGGGAGGTTGGCTACTTTAGCAAACCTAAGTTCAGGCCTGAGCTCCGTACTGATGGCAAGAACAATGCTCTTGCCGACGGACTCAAGGACAAGCCAGAATTACAGGATGAGAAGGGCGTCACCAATACTGAGGATGATGATGCAGTTCAGCACACTCCTCCCGATCCTCTCTGGCCCAGCGGCATTTGCAGTGTTGTAGTCCACCAGATTGTGAACCTGGAACTTGAGAACATCAAGGGAACACAGGGCAGCCGCAGTGGCAGAGAGTTCGAGCCGGCCAAGCCATATGGAGAAACCACGGACCAAGAAGGAAAGGACCTGCCCACCAGCTACTGCACAATTCTTTACAACGATGAGTTGGTGTATCGCACACGTGCAAAGGCCGTCACCTCTCAGCCCATCTTCAACGCTGGTACCGAGCGTTTCATGCGCGACTGGAGATCCGGAATTGTTACCATTACCGTTCGCGATTCACGCAATCGGGAGCACGATCCGATCCTGGGTGTCATACCTCTCAAACTTTCTGATATCTTGGATACCAGCTCTCAAGTCACACGCTGGTACCCGCTGGACGGCGGCATCGGGTTTGGGCGCGTTCGAATCTCTTTGCTCTGGCGCAGTATCGAGACCCGCCTCCCTCCCAATCTCCTTGGCTGGGATGTGGGCACCTTCGAGTTCTCGTCCGAACGCATCCTGGCAATCAACTACAACCACCATTCCAAGCTTCGCCTGCGTACCGGTGGATCCACTGCGAAGATTCCCCGTACGGAGGCCCGTCAGCTGGAGGAGGGCGACGGTATGTACTGGGACTTGGCTAAGAAGGATGGCAAGAACAGTGTCTCTCTGCCCGTAAAGTACCGCTACCGCTCTCCGATCGTCTTTGAGTTCCACGTTAGCGGCAAGCGCAAAGCCGACGCCCACGCCGTCATCTGGCTGCAGCATTTCATCGATAACGAGGACACACCTATCAACGTTCCCATCTGGAAATGCGCCCACCCCGCCCGCCTTACCCAGAATTACATCACAGAGGACAACTGCAAGGGCGAAGTTGGTCTCGAGGACCTCGAGGAAGTCGGTCGCCTGCAGTTCACTGGCCGGTTCAAGCCTGGTACTGACGAGAGCCATGAGTCCTTCATCATGGACAACGACTCGCGCGAGACGTATGAGACGTGGGAGGCGTGCATGTGCGAGGGCGTGCGCCAGCGCAGCGTCGACAAGGAGCTGCCGGACCGCATCAAGCAGCTGCACGACAAGTCGCTTACGCAGGGGCGCGACGTCCTCAAGGAGGAACCCGAGGAGGAGAAGACCAAATGGCTCACCAGGGACGGCACTGACTGGTCCGGCGCTTTCGGCGAGGATCCCAAGGCGTACATGGATGCCGCCGGCCGCAAGCGTCGCGAGCCTGGCCGCGACCAGCCCATGCACGACCCGAACCATCCCAGCTCGGACGAGGACCACGAGAGCGATTACGTGCAAGACGATGACGACTCGGATCCGGATGATCTGGGAATCCAGGACGCCGAACACATGAACGACGACGCAAACCGCAGTGCTGGCAGGAACGCGCTCAACGGCGGCCGCAAGTCGAGTGGAGGCGAGACGGCCAACACGTCTTCCACCTCTTACACGCAGGACAGCAGCACGAACACGAGCGGCAGCAGCGGCAGCGGCGGCAGCAGCAAGGATATCAACAGGCAGAACAAGCGCACCGAGGCCCGCAAGCAGCGCGGCATGATGCAGTGGAAGCCTGCTCGCAACGTCAAGTTTGCGAAGGACGAGGGCGTCATCGGCATCAGGCGGCTGAAGAACAAGATTACCGGCAAAATGGAGGGAAGGAAGCCTGGCGTGGAGACGGAGACTGGAACCTGAGACATTCGCCTTATTCCCTCGTCCTTTCTTTCTTTTTTTTTTCTCCCGTCTACGGGAGATGCAGCATTTTTTGGTGGGTTTAATCATAGTCCTGGGCGTTCTGACTTAATCCCCAGACTGGGAAGCGTGTTTGACGTATATTATTAACGGTATGGGGGTGATTCTTCATGAGTAATGCAACAATAATGACTTATAACTACCTTCATCAAGTCCGGCTTAGTAAGTAACGGCCTGATTAATGTTGAAACGACATTTTCTGAATACCTAGTTGAAGCCATCCGGGCATTGTTCTTTTTCTTTTTTTATTCAATTGCAACGTTGGTGGTTGAAGTATCATGATTCCACGTAGCATCGACTGCATGCCATTAGAGGCCGACTACGCCACCACTTCTCCCCAACAAGTTTTTGACGTCGTTCTAGAAAAAATTACTCGACGGTCCCGGAGATAAGTGCTTCAAGTGCCAGTCAAGAACGAATATAGCGGAACATGGAAGGACTAAGTTCTTATATAAACTGCTGTGAAAATTTTTTTTCATTCCATGATATATCTATGTCTATATTAATTAAATCAACACATTACAGTTCATCCTCATGTCTCTGCAACACAACTAGGAAGGCACAACCTCAGCAAAGAGATTTCGTATGTGCCCGGCGGCGGACCGGCTCTGTAGGGTACGGAACAAAAGCGTCTGTAGTTCCCTTCTTTTCCCTCACCCTTCTTCATGCCGCCCGCCTCTTTGTGGAGGTCCACCTGCTCATTCTTTCACGAGACTTTGTGTGTTGGAGAGGGAGCCCTCGGCTACAAGTGGCTGACAAGTCTCATACGACCACATCCGCAGTGGCTAGGCCAGGCCGGGCCGGGCCATCTTTGGAGAATGACGAACCCAGGCTATTTCCCTCGTCATTCTTCAGTGTAACTGCACTCGCGGAGTCGGAGACGCTACTGCGTCATAGACGATACCAGGTCGCCTTGGCCTGCGAGAAGCTGGATGCGGCCTTGTGAGATCCATTGGGCAAGCAATCCGTCAGTCGGTTGGTCGGTATGTACCAACGTATCTTCAGCGGGGGTTTCCAGTATATCGAACTGGCTTTCCCTTTTTTTTTCTTTTTTCAAGAACGGTACTGGTGGCACTGTTCTCACAGTCGTACTCTCCGATAGGACCCCGCCCGGTCTGCAAGCGGACGTCTCACCGGGATCCAGCAAGCCCAAATAAGAAGGACGAACGTCATGCAGGCCAGGACAGCGAGCAGCAGCTGCAGAGCGACGGTGTCGCGGTCTTGCATCGGTTCGAAAGCGCCGCCAACCTACAGAGACAGCCAATCAGCAAAAGCGAAACATTCCCTCGCGAGAGATGTCCAAAACTCACCATCATCCCACTCTTCCGGTCCACCACCGCACTGACCCCCAACACAGTCCCTGCCTCATCCAACGCCTCCACCCTCACGACTTCGACCTCCCTCCCCGCCTGCGCCAGATGCAACATGCCCTCGAACCCACTCTTCTCCACCTCCTCCAAAACCACCCACTTGTCCTCACCATCCGCTTCCGCATCATCATCCTTCGCCGCGTCCGCAGCGCCGCCCATCAACCGCCACCGTCTCACCTCCGTCGCCCCGTTCCAGCTGACATACAACCGGTTCCTGCTCACCGCGACGTCCGGCCGCGTGTTGGGGAAACCCTTCCACTCGCCGCTCTTGAACGCGCGGTACGACTTGACCCAGCCCCAGCCGAAGAAGGCGGCGGCGCCAAAGTGCGTGTCGCACAGGACCTGGGGCCGGACTTGGGCGCTCTCTTCGACGTCCGCCTCGCCCCCCGTTTCGGGGACGCGGAACTCCGTGTACGCGGCCGAGTGGCCCCAGCCGACGAAGTAGTTGCCGCTGGGGAGGAGTTGGACCGAGCCTTGCGAGTGGGCGAGGATGCGGGCGGGGCTGACGAGGGCGGCGACTAGGGTGGCTGTCATGTTGGCCGGGGAGGTGGTGGTGTCGAGGCGGACGACGAGGCCGCGGCTGTGGCCGTGGGGGGTGGCGAGGTGGTCGTTGTTGTCGTAGGCGCCGTTGTCGAAGATGGTCACGATGCTGGTTCCGTTGGGGCCGGGGTAGTGGCGGGCGTGGTGCTGCCAGGAGAAGTCGGAGGCGGTGCCGTTGGAGAGGTCGGTGAAGGAAGAGCGGGCGCCGCCGAGGCGCCAGAGGACGGTTCCATTTTGGGATTCGGGCGAGATGCAGGTGATGGTGTGCGTATAGCGCGCGGAGACATAGTACAGCCCCGTGGCCGGGTCTTTGTCGACGCTGTTGATGTGAAAGAAGTCCCAGGCGTCGTCGGCGCTGCGGCCGTGCGATTTCAGCGGGGCGAACGACTCGTTGACGGCATAGTGGCTGGACGCGCGCCACTCGAACAGCAGCGCGCCCGTGGCAACGTCGATTTCCTGGAAGAGGCCGTCGTAGATCCAGCCGTCGGCCGGCCCGCCGACGGAGGTGAGGTCGGCGGGCACAATCTCGTAGATGGTCAGCAGCGCGGTGCCGTCGGGGGTGAGCTCGAACTCGTGCAGATCGCCCTCCAGGCCGTTGGCGGGGGTAAGGGTGTGCACGATGTCGTATGAGGAGTTGAGCTTGTTCCATCGGGTTAGAGATGTGTACTTGGTGGTTTAGGACGAGCTCACCATGTAGTAGGTGCCGCGGCCGTGGGTGCCATCATCGGTTCCGGACCAGAAGGTAAGATAGGTTTCTCCCAGGTAGGACTGAGGCCTGAAGTCCATGACCTCGCCGAACTTCTTCTCCATGTAGACGAGACTGCCGTCGGCATCGAGGATCATGGGGCCCGGGGTGGAGACGGATCGGCCACGGGGCTCGAGAAAGACATGGCCAGGATCGCATTGCGTGCTCTCGGTGAGGAGGTTGACGCGGGGCGAGGCGAGGTCGAAAGAGAGATACTCGCGCCAAGGATATGCGCCGTAGAGGCCTTGGTCATACCAAAGCGGGTTAGACTGGCGCGAGGGCGCAGCGTGGGCCAGAAGCGGCAGCAGCGAGGCGAAGAACAGCAGGAGCTCCATGGCGAAATGGCGGGATCAGCCGGGCGGACGGCAGTGGCAGCAAGCACGACATGAAGCAGCAGCTGGGGTCCGCCAGATCTTGTACAGGCCGCAGGAGGAAGGCTACGCGCGTGCTCCAGCTTCGGCGGCGTGAAATGAGCCCAGTGCTGACGAGGCCAGCGTGGGCGGGCCCAGGGGATACATCAGCGTCCTCCGACCCGATCGATCCTCTGCCCGCACCTGTGCCCCTGGCCGACGTCTGGGCGAGTGGGGACGGCCCAGCCTTCCTTGTCCGGGCTCCAGGTGTCGCGGGAGGGCAGGCCGGCGCCGAATTAAGAGCCGCGTGTACTCGCAATCACATTCACGGCCATCCTTCCTTGGTGCGGCGACGTCGCAGACGCCAGCATTTTCGAGCACTCTTGGGCAATGGGTGGCCTGGCGCTGGATGGCCGCACTTAGCAACTGCTGCTGCAAGTCGGCCGTCTTCTCGTCGCAAGGCCGGTTTTCATCGAGATCTGGCCGGCGTGATAGGCTGGATTCTGAGGGTCGCGTCAAGGATGCTGTGCAGGTTGCTTCAGGGAAGCCGATCAAGCGGTGGCCCAAACGCGGTGGGCAGCGGCGTCGAAAGACACCGGCCGACTGCCGTCAAGCGCTGCGCACACGGCGTAATTGCTCACACGAGAGGGTTGCGCGGCCCGAGACGTCAGCCCCGCCAAGCTGCTATGTTAGCGGCCGTCTCCTACCAGAAAAATACACGCCCTCCATCGTCGAACTTCTTGCTGCACCGTCGTGTTTATCTATTGTGGCGCGCTGGCTTCTCCTTGTCTGTGCCGCAGTCCACGCGTCCTCTCGGCGCCATCCCCTGCAACTATTGCTTCACGTTCCCTGCCAATGTATTCCCGCCTCCTTTCGATTGCTCTTGACGTTCGCTTAGAGTCTGCGAAGAACTTGACTTACATGTTCCTTCTGTGGGCCCCCCCATGCACTCGCCATCGAGGCACAGCCTGTGAACGTAACCGATGGCTATCGGAAGCCGGAACTTCTGCAATCGTCATTAGCCCTTCGATACATTCACGTAAGCAGAGGACAACGTGGATCATAGGCGTTAATGGCAGCATTAATTCTGCACCTATTAACGACTTTTTTCTACTAGCTAAGTACATAGATAAGTTTTCATAAGTATGGTGTTCCGTTATGCGCTATGACTTGTAAATGGAATAGACATTGCAGTTATCTTCACCGAAAAACTTTCCTTCGGCACATTCTCAAACACTTTACTACATAACTACAACAAACAATTTGGAATTTCATAACAGCAGCTTTAGCTCACTTGGGAGAGCGCCAGACTGAAGTTCACTTTAGTTTAAAGCCATCTGTGCGGTATCTGGAGGTACTGTGTTCGATCCACAGAAGCTGCAAGGAATGACATCCTTACTAATCAAAGATTGGTTACGCTGTACTTTTTTTTTTGTTTGTGGCTACTCCGGGGCGTAACCTTTCTTTTTGAAGCAACTCTTACCTGCTAGCTAGGTCGATTGTTATAGAACAGTAGTGAGGAGACAGTGTCGGGCGTTGTTCGCTGTTAGACTCAGCGGGACATAGAAAGCTATAGTAGCACCGCGGGTAGTAAAGCACTAAGCTTGCTCAAATCTGTTTTACAAAGCTTGGCACTCTATTCAAATGCTGTGGGTAGTTGGATCCAGTATCTAGACGTAAATCAGACTTGGGTGCGGACAAATGTGTCTATATATTGGACTCGACTACCCGCGAGGGGGTTCGGACGGCGTAGATCTTCAGTCACCTACTATGGTAGGGTGACCGAGTACAATGCAAGCAAAAGAAGCTCTACTACGTAATCAAGGGTAATCGGGGAATAGGGTAATCGAAGCGCAATTGCAAGCGTGGTTTAGATGTGTTGTAAAGAACTAAACCATCTATCTCGGTCAACGACATCCACTAGCGCATCCACCAATAGCACATTCACCCCTCAGAAGAGAATATAGGTAATTAATGAACAGATCCAGACGCAAATGCGAGACTTGAGTCTATATGAATGCGTCTAGACATGGGATTCTACTATCATCGTACATGATGTATCATGATGGTCAAATCAGTTAGCGACTTCCACTCCCTTCAAACAAGAAACGAATCTTTCTTTTTCTTTCCCTCATCTTCTGACTCTAGCTTCTTACATCCGATTCTTCTTTTTTTTCAACACTCCAGGGTATCGAGACGCCCAAGTCCTTCGTGTATCAGGACCAACATGCCACACGCTTTCCAATCCAAAGGAAATGAGAAAAGAGAGAGAGAGAGAAAAGAAAAAGCCCCAAAAACGCCCCCCACCCAGCCAATGCCGCCGTGTCGCCCTAAAAAGAAAAAGAAAAAATATAGACGGAGAAGAGGACACAATCAACCCCGCCCCCAACAAGCAAACAAACAAACATACAAGCACCCTCCTACCCTCCCTCCTCCTCCCCCGAACCTTTTATCCCTACAAAAACGTCCTCTTCCGACTCAACTTCGAATACGCCCTACTGATAGGACTATTCGTATTCACCGTGCCCGGCCGCGCAATCCCAGGTCCAGGTCCAGGCCCGTCCCGACTCGCCATACCACCGCCGCCACCACCGGCCGACATCATCTCATACGCCGAAACCCCGCTCGCCCCCGTATACGCGGTGCCCCTCGTGGTCGTCGGATACAGGCCGCTCGACGACGGCGGACTGCCCCCGCCGCCGCCGCCGCTGAGCCCGAAATATTCGCCGCCGCCGCCGCTGCCAAATGATCGGTTGCTCCACGCGCTGCCGGGGGGCGGCATGCCGGTTCCCAAAGAAGAATGGACGCGGGTCATGCTGGACGGCGTGTCCGGGCTGCGGGCGTAAGGGTTGGGGTTGGCGGCGCCATACGACGACGACGAGAAGCGCTGCTTCATGCGGGCGAAGAGGCCGTCGCCGCCGCCGTTGTTGTTGGGACCGTCGGGCGAGCCGCGGCTCATCGACATTGACGTCGAGACGGCCAGAGGGCCTCCGGGCCCGCCGGCGTTGTTGTTGTTGTTGTGCTGCGATAACTGGCCGTAGTAATGTTGATTGTTGAAGTCGCCCTGCGCGTGGTGATGATGAGCTCCTCCCTGTTGCTCCACCGGCCAGCTGGCTTCCTCCTCGACGCGCCACGCGTTGCCCATGTTGCCGCGTGCGGCCACGACGGCGGGGACGGCCTCCTTGGGCACGATGAACAGGTGGCCGCCGCTCTCGCCGATGAACCACTCGCCCGCCCACTGGCGGCCCGCGGGCCCGCCGCCGCAGGATCCCGCCATCGAGGCCGATGGCGGCGAGTTGACGGCGAGCGAGAAGAGGTTGGGCGGCTCCGAGAAGTCGGTGACGAGGCCGCGGTGGAAGATGAAGTAGGCGAGGCAGAGGACGTTGGTCAGGAAGGCGAAGACGAGGACGAGGTAGAAGAGTTTCTGCGGTTCGCCTGTCGGGCCCGAGGCGTAGGTGCGCTCGCGGAGGGTGGCGTTGAAGTTGATGGTTTCGGGAGTGAGGAGGATGTCTTCGTCGTGGGGCTGCGAGCGTGAGGATGAAAAGATTAGCCGCCGCCGCTGCGTTGTTGTCGAGGAGTATTACTTACCCAGTCCATGTCCATCTGGGCATCCTGCGTGCTCAGCAGCAAGGTGGTGCTCGCCAACACCGCCAACGCCTCGGCCAGACTCGGCCGATCCAGCTGCAGCGTTGGCTCCTTGACAATGGATTGCGTGAGCAGCCGTGCGATGCTGGCCTTGCCGTCCATGATGCCGTTGCTCAGAGACATCGAGTTCGCCCACTCCGTTGCGACCCACGGCCAATCAAGGCTGACGGCCGCAGAGCCGCTCTCTGCACCCGGATCACTGTGGATGTACGCCAGGGGGTCATTCTCTGGGTCACAGGTCGACGAGAGAGAGGAGCCCTCCTGCACGGCGCTGTAGGTGGTGCTGCAGTTGGGCGTGAGCGATGCCTTTAGTTGGCAGAGCGAGTAACGTTCTACGTCCTCGTCCCCATCGCGCCCCAGCAGGTAAAGGGACTCGCGGCCGTAGAAGAATGTCTGGTTCAGCACCGTGTTGTAGCTTGACGGGTAGCGCGGGAAAATGGGGGCGTTCTGGCCGTTCTTGCGCCAACCGAAGAGATCGTCGACGACGGTCTTGTTGATGGACTCGTCGGAAGTGAGGAAGCTAATCTGCTCAGGCCACGTCGGGGCATCTAGCTCTTCCGAGTCGTTCCACGCGGTGAAGACAATGGGGGCGAGCTCGCTGCGGTTCATGTTCGCACAAAGAACATGGATGGCAGGGCTAGGCACTGAAGCGACAAGGTTATATGCGCCCAAGCCACCGAGTTCAGACGGCTGCAGAATATCGTTGCGCTCGTCCCAAGCCGCACTCAAAACGCCGGCGTGAGGCATGGCCAAGGTGACATTGTTAATGATGCGACCACTCCACTCAAAAGCAGAAACATCCAGCCAGGTTCCGTTGACTAGGATTTCAGAGTGGAACTGGGAGAAGGCGGGAACTCTACTCTCTTTGGTGGTGCCGGCGGTCTTGTTACGGGCCAAGTAGTCCCATTCGGCGACATAGCGTTGGTAGTCGTGGTAAGACTGTGCTGCGTACGTGATGTCAAGACAGGTTGCATTGCGGTGTACCTCATCTTCCGAGACCGTGATTGGCGTTTCGCAGTTGTAGCCAAGGTACTGGCTGTTGGCAAACTTGGTCAATACGCTCGCCTTCGCGATCTTCGTCTCCAAGGCACCTAGCTTGAGTTGGGGTTGCACTGCGCGGTGCTGTCAGCTAACCACTGCTTGAGAAGTGAAGAGGTCCGCTTACCTAGGGCATCCGAGGCGGACGTGTACACCGTCGCAACAATAGCTGCGATGAAACTGATTATCCCCAGGATGCTGAAAAGCGCATACCGCACAGTCTCGAAGTTTGACACCATGTAGCCAGGCGAACCGATCCAGTTACGCATGCTCATCTCAGCAAGAGTCACGCCCTTGCCGCTCCCTCTTACGCTCAAGCTCCGCCTACTCAGCACTTGACCGAGAAAGGCAACGATCGAAGACCCAAACGACAATTCGACCGTCTTTGCCAAGACCGCCACGAGCAGGGAAGCGTTGGATGGCGTAAGCCAGCCGTTGCTGCGTATCATAGGCCATTCCGGACCACGCAGAGCCACGGCGAAAAAAAGACCCGAGACGATGGTGGCGTATATCGAGATTAGAATGATGGAGCTCGTCACCCATCTGGTTCGGAAAAAGTGCCTTCTTGCTGGACAGTGCACGGTCGGATTGAAACCTACAGAAAATGTTAGCAGCCGCGCCCAAGATATCAAAGTCATCTGCGAGCTCCAAATAGCCCCCATTGTTTGCCCCAAGCATGAAACCTGAGCTCAGAAAACGATTGCACGGTGCCAAGTCTGCGCAAAGACGTCCACGCAAAAGCTGCAACCCCCCACGAACCATAATCCCGCAAAAACAGCCCCATCCTCCATCGTACCACCCCCCCCCCCAAAAAAAAGGCAGAGAACGACTTACCAGGCTGATGGCTTCCCTCGAAGAAATACTCCAACTTCGGACTCGGCATCCCGGCCTCGGCCCCCTTCGCATCGGCGCCGAACCCGCCCTTGGACCTCTCGTCCCGGTAATCCATCCCGTCCACATCCCTCACCAAGCTCGTCGTGCTCTGATCCATCACCGACCTCGAATCCGCCATGCCGTACACGTCCGAGAACGGGTTGCTGCGGACGCCGCGCGCCGTCCGGTCGTTGAACCCGGGCGTCGTCGGCGTGCCCGACGTGTCCGAGCCGCTCGTCGGCGGCAGCAGCGGGAAGTTGAACGAAACCTGCCTCTTCCCCGACGTCGGCGTGCCCCCGAAGCCGTCGTGCCCACCACCACCACCACCACCACCAGTGCCGCCCGGGGCCGGCACGCTGCTCCCCCGCGCAGGACCTCCGCCTCCCGCGCTCCCCGTCTCGATGCCCAAGCTGCTCGAGCGCGAGCGGCGGCGCTGCTGCAGGCTCGCGTACGAGGCGACGGAGCGGATGCTCTTGCTGCGGGTGGCGATGCTGCTGCGGCCGCGGTACGAGCCCGTCTCGTAGTTGAGGTCGAGGTCGTCGTCGCGGTCGTCGTCGAGGGCCTCGACGAAGCGCGAGCGCCGGGTGCCCTGCGACATGCGCGAGAAGCGCGAGGACGTGGACACGGCGCGGGCGAGGGACGGCGTGGCCGGCGTGCCGGACGAGGAGGGGGTCATGGCGGCGGGGCTGGCGGTCGTCGTCGTCGTCGTCGTCGCGGCGGCGTCGTTGTCGTTGGTGAAGGGGGATTTGGACGAGGTGCTGGCGACGGTGGTGTCGATGCGGTCCGGCTGTCTGCTGTCCGACTCCATCTTTGCGGTGGCGGGACGGCAACTACTGCTCGCCCTCGAGCTGTTCTTCTTTTTCTTCTTCTTCTTTTTTTTTCTTCTCCCGTGCTCTTTACCAAGCTCCCTTTCTTTCTCTGTTTGCCGATGACGTTCCCCGGAAGATGAGAGCTGCAACCCCCCGCAGCGAGCAAACTTTCTCCAGACAAGCAAACGCGGAGCCGTTTGTCGGTCACTTCTTATCTGCGGGAAAGAAAGGACACGGGCGCAGAAAAGGCAGTGTGGGGGAAGAGAGAGAGAGAGAGGGGGGGAGAGAACGAGAGGTGTCAATGACAGGTCCGGTGAGGCCGAGCTTCCCACGTGAAGCAAAGTATAGTAGTGGAGCTCGCGCACAGGCGGCGGTCGTGCGTGGCGTTGGGTTGCTTTGCTGTGTGGTGCTAGGGCCGCGTCCAGAGGCGTCCGCTCTCCGGTCGGTCGGTCGGTCAGTGGGATGAGTTGATCAACGGGGCGCGCAGAGGGTCCGGCGCGCAGCTCTTCTGATCGGTCTTCGCCGTGCTGCTGCGGAGGTCCCTGGGAAAAGGCAACGGTAGCGGCCGTTGAGAAAGGGAATCGGCGGCGGCGGAAAAGGGTGATCAGAGAATACGAGGGCGATGACGAAAGCCGAACGGCGGTGATCTTTATCTCAGTCGACTCCACGATGAGCTTACTGTGTAACTAGCTTGCCGGTGCTAAAAATGTAAAACAGCAAGCGCGATGGGGTGACGGCAGTTTCATCAGTCAGCGGCACGGTTGGTGGCGCAAGCAGGAGAGAGGCAGAAGAGAGCGACTGTCATGAGCACGACGCGATTGCGGCGCTGGGCGCGAGAAAGCGGCGTGCTTGGGCGGTCCTTAATCATGGCGAGAGTCAAGCCGACGCAGGAGCCACCCCTTTTCCCGGCCTAGCACCCAAGAACCTGCCCTACCTGCCCTACCTTATCCGCGGCGTGCGACGTTGCACCGCCTCAGCATCCCCGCCTGCGCCTCAGCCAGCCGCCCCGGCCAGGCCCAAATGAGGCCGGGGTCGCGGCGCATCGTGGAGCGGGCATCGTGGAGGGTGTGGCTGGAGCGCGCCCGAGGCAGCGGCAGGGCGGGAGACAGCCAGCCGTGGAGCCAGCCCTGGGCCCAGGGCCTTGGCCTGCAGCCGTTGCGGCTCACTGATCATCTACACGACTTGGCGAATTAAAAAACAGCGCCGCCCTTGCCTGCTGGCTGTTCCGCCGAGCCGACCGTTTCCCAATTTCCAGCCCTGGAGCAGCAGCATTGCACGCATTGCACGCCCGCTGTTCCCATCGCATTCCCCGCGCCTGCCGCCCGCCCTGATTGGCCCGGTCTCGCCTTGCTCTCTCCACCTCCGGCGTCTCGACGTCATGGCCCGCCATGGGTTGCGCTGTCGTTCCCGTGCCGAACGAGGAGAATGCAATAGGAGAAGGCCTCACAGACCACCCACTTGTTCGACCGATTTCCACCGACGCGTCCGCTCACCTCGCGCCCACGCCGGCTCCCGGCTTGGCGGCAGAGGGTTGATCAGACTAGTCCGCCCCGATTCTCAAATGCCTCGCTCGCGGTGATCGTCATATAACTGTGTAGGAAGAAAAGGGTCACCACCGGCTGACTGCTGCCGCTCTTGCTGACTCGAGACAGCTCCAGCACGGGCCAACAGAGCCTTGTGTTGGCCTGCAACCCACTCTCCTGAACCGTGAATAAACTTGCAACACATCACTAGTCGAATCATCGTCACCGAGTCACGCAAGAAGCTGCCGTCAAATGCCCTTCGAAGCCGCGTAAATTGCCTCTGCCCTAATAGAAGAGGAGAAAGGAAGAAGGGAAAAGAACAAAGCCATCTACCTAGCTGCTACTACCACCACCATCATCGACACCACAGGCGGGGAGCCCCATCGTGCGTTCAAGCTGGGAAGAGAAAAGAAGAAGTGAAGGAGAAAAGAATGGAAAAAGAAACGGCCTGCACTCCGTCTTTGACCTTCTCCTTTCGTTCCTTCTTTCCACCCCACCAGGTAAAAACAAAAGTAGTCTTCTGTTTCCCCTGTACGTTGGTGATACAACGAACGAACGCTAGATGCAGCCTCCCCCCATGTCCTCACTGCCGTGAGCCGAAGAAGAAGAGAGAACAAAGCCAGAAAGAAGAAAAGGACTAACCACCGTTAATCCATCCCCATCACTCCAACCTCTCCCCCTTCAAAAAAGCAAAATCGAGAACATCATCCCTTCCTCTCCAGTTGTGACCACCCGGTATTATCTACTTTATGAGGGGAATAAAACCCTCCTTTGCCTTCATCTCCAGATAGTTTTTTTTAGCAAAGGGAAAGTAGAAAGAATAAAAACTGCTCAAGTAAAGAAAAGGAAGGACAATAGCCAGCGCCTTTGAAAATGCAGCAAAGCAACAACTCATAACCACTTGCTCTCGTCAATTTTTTCGTTTTTGTGCAATGTGCACACCATCTAGGAAGAAGCAGAAGAAAAGGAGCCCACGCATGCTCAAGCGAACCCAAAGTACTCGCTACCCGCCGTTATGGCCGTGTGAAGCTGCTGCCTGAGCGCCTCGTACGTCTCGTACTCGGGCAGATCCAGTTGATTGAAGCACGTATGCGAGCTGGGCAGCCGGTCCTTGCTGCCGTAGTCGCGATGGATGTTGAACCGGCTGAAGCCGTTCATGCCCTCGAGCTCCTTGAACCCGTTAAGCGGCACCTTGGATGTGCCTGTCACGAACTGCAGCAGCTTGGCCCGCTCCTCCTTGTCGAACGCCCGTACCGCACGCCAGAACCACTGGATCTGCGGCGATGCTGCCGTGTAGTTGTGGTACTCGGCGTTGTTCTTCCAGTCATCCACGTCGATCTCGGGCAGTCCAGAGATGAGCAGCTCGAGCTCTTGTTCGTTGAAGATTGAAATCAGCTCGGCCGGGACGATGTCGTGGAAGCCCTTGAGGAACTCGGTGAGCTGGTCCTGAACCGAACCCGTCAACCGGTACTCGACCATCAACCGGACATACTCCTGCTTGTTCTCTTCGGTGACTGGAATGTTGCGACCGTTGGGAATGAGGTCGATGGTCTGCGTGACGCCAAACTCCTCAGCTTCGACGGAGAAAGTCTCGGTGATGATGTCCGTGATGTCATTTTCGAGCATCCACAGGAGGGACTTGTAGTAGTCCAGATCAAGAGTCTCCATGTCCTTGATGCTGACAGGCTTGCCCAAGATGCGCTTGTATACCGCTCTGCTGAAATGGCAGTCAAGCACCCTGCCTTCGTACAACGCCTTTCCGATGATTCGACCAATGAACTTGAAGAACAGGAGATGTTCTTGGTTGATCGAGCTGAGACGGTTGGGGTGGAAAGTCGTACGGTCCGAGGCAACAGGGATGAAGAGCGCGTAGTCGGGGTTGAACATCTGCCGAGCAAGAACCTGGAACCACTCGCGAGTAACACCACCGGCATCAACACCTTCCTCTCCGTGGAATCGGATGCTGAGCTTGCCGTACTTCATCTCATCACCAGACTTGAAGTAGAGAGACTTGAACGAGTCGAGGAAGACGTGCTCGCGGCGAACAGAGAGTTGAAGGGTGGGGTGTGGGTGCCGCAACTCGGCACCGCGAGAGTGAAGGCGGCGAGTGAAGAAGTTGCGCTTGTTGTCAAACTCCAGCACCTTTGAGTTTCTCACGAGGACCGAGAACGAACCGCTCATGAGCTTGGGATTCTGGCGGACGAGCTCATTGAGGATCTTGCGATGCTCCTCAGTGAACTTGAAGAACAAACTCTCCATACGGTTCTCTGGCGGTGGGCTTGACAGTTCGACTTCCCTGGCGTGTAGCTTGGCGAGCGGCGCATCCTTGAGAGTAGTATTCTTGCAAACGACCATCAAGACCTCAATCAGCGGCAAGAGGATTGTGGCTACACTGAGCATATTGGTACGCTCGCGAATCACGGTCAAGCATTCGCTAAGCTTGTGCCACAGGGACGAGAAGGTGGGGTTCTCGTAGAGTGTGGTGAGGATATCGGCCTTCTGTTCGGCGGGCAAGCCATCCGCAACGCTGGAAGCAGGCTTGTCTTGAGTTTCCGAGCGCTTAGGATCGAAGAGGTAGTCCAGTGCAGTCAACACGCGGAGAAGCTTGGTTTGATCAGAGCTGGCCGGCGAGAACTTCGACAGAGCCATGCCTTGCACGTCGGTGCCCGTCTTGGCCTTGGCGACCTGGGAGACGAGCTCGTCAAGGTCGTCGAGGCACGACTGAGCCAAGTCTTGACCTTGCTTGATGAGCTCCTTTCCGAACGTTTCCTTGGCGCCTGGAATAGCTGAGAGATTGTTGATGACGGACAGCGTGTTCTGGAACGTCTTGCTGCTACACTCCCGGGCAGCCAAGATGTGGACAACGAGGCGAAGGTTGTACTCAGGAACCTCAGGTGGAACAAGGCCACGCGCCTTCTTCTTGTCATCGGACTGGTCTTTGGTCTTGTCCTCGTCCTTCTTTTCGGTCGAAGCCGCCGCAGGAGCCTCAGCCTGAGTCTGGACTGTAGTCTGCTCCGTGGCCGTGGCAGTCTCACCCGTTTCCGGAGCTGGCTCCTGGGCGGAAGTGCTGGTCTCAACGGGCTCGTCCTTCTTCTCCTCGCTCTTTTCCTTGTCCTTCTTTAGGAGGATTCCCAATGGGCTCGTGATGTTCATCAGCAAAGAAGCCAGTTGCTCCATGACAGTAGAGCTCTCGACGATGAGCTTCCGGTCAAGCAAGCTGAGAAGAGCATTCAAGGGGTACTTGTAAGCCTTGCTCTCCTTCGCCTTACCCTTGCGATAAGCCTTGGACTTGAATCCCACTGCCGTCTCATGCTCTGCAAGGAAGAAAGAGGCAACGTGCGGGTTGTTGTATACCAAGTAGACGAGGGTGCTCAGACACTGCTGCACAACCATGATCGGTGACATATCGCCATGGCTTGAGAGTTGTTGACCAGCGAGCGGACCAGTGAGTGAGCGTTTCAGAGGTTGGGGGGTCTTCTGGTTGCCGGATGGCTGGGGGGCCGGAGGCTGCTTGGCACGAAGAGAGAGCTGAGCAAAGCTGCGCTCAACGGCATTGATGTCCGCCGAACCGTCCTGGAGGATGGACAGAAGGATGCTGATAACTTCGGCACGATTGTGACGGTTCTGGCAAACGTCCTTCAGGATCCCGTTGAGAGTCTGGCGGGCGCTGCCCTGCTGCGGGATGAACATAAGCCTAAGAAGAGTTGCAACGCCCGACTTCTCGAGCATCTGTACAATGGGACGAGGCTTCTGCTTCCTTTGTGCCTGCTCCTCTTCTTGCGGAGCACCATCATGGCGGCGGTAGCCACGGTTGAGACGGCCGATGTCGGCTATGTGATGGTTCAGACGACGGTCACCGCCCAAACGGCGGGCTTCTTCAGCGAGTTCCTGAGGCAGTTCCCGCAGGGTTTCGTCGTCTTGCTCCATAAGAACAGCCTGACGAAGACCAGGGTCCATGGAGGCGAAAAGAGTAGCCACGTCCATCTCTTCAGCACGAGCAGGTGCACCCCGGCGACGTTCCTCCTCTTCACGTTCTTGGCGGCGACGAGCTCTTGCCTCTTGTTCGAGAAGTTCGTCACGTATATCCTCAGGCAGGGCATCGAGGAACTCGCGACTGATATCTGACGGTTCGGTGCCCTGAGTCCGAGCCTGTTCACGCTGATTTTGGATCTGATCCATCAACACCTCTTCTCTCAAGTCCTCAGGCAGAGCCTCGAGGTAGGATAAGTCGATACCGAGCTCGGTAATGTCGATTTGACGGCCGCGGATGTTGGCAACGACCCTGTCCTGAGGCTGCGCGCTCTCGCCCTGGACGGCTTCTCCACCAGCAGCGGTTCCGGGAACTCCAGCATCCGCCATCTGTTGGTCTTCCGCTGCGGCTGCAGCAGGTTGCTCCTGCGCGCTTCTCTCTGCTTCCAGGCGGCGAGCCTCTTCAGCCTCACGCTCTTCTTTCTCTTGCTTCTCTTTGGCTTCTTGCTCCTCGCGCTCCTTGCGTTCACGCTCCTCCCTCTCCTTGAGCTCTTTCTCACGAGCCTCACGCTCTTCACGTTCCTTGCGCTCCGCCTCCTTGGTGGCTTTGATTGCGGGAGGGACCAGCAGCCTGAGAATGGAATTGACAAGGCGGACGGACTTGTCGATCGCAAGACTGCCAAAAAGTAGGCGGCCCTCCTCCTGCCAGCGCGTAGTGGTAAGGGTCGGCACGAACGAGACCGCCTGAGCCGGGTCATCCCGAGAGGAACGAGAATGGTGGTCGTGGCCCCGACGATCGCGACGGGCGTAGGGATCGAAAGCACCATCAGGGAAACCGGGATCGCCAGGGAACATGCCCTGAACGGTCACCGTGATTCCATCCTGTTGGATTGTGGCCGAGCCATGGCTCATGATATTAAGAAGGTTGCTGATGAAGGAGACAGGAGTGTCGCCTCCAGGAGGGAAACGGCCAGGCCGCATGGGATCCATAGCGTGAACCCAATCACTCGAACCAGCGCGACGACCGGCAGAGCCACCAGCGCCTGAAGAGGGTCTACCGGAGCGCTGAAGAAGAGGGTTTGTACCGTCATCTGCCCCACGTTGGGTTCCGGCCGGGCGATGGGCTCGATAAGCTGGAACTTAGTCATGTTAGTATGACTAAAAATCGGGTTGGATGTGTCAACTCACCGAGATGACGGTCAAGCGTAGCAGGCGGGATAAACGAAAAGGGGTTGACACCAATAATACCATGACGATGGTGGTGGTGATGGTGCCCCCGGAAGTCTGGAGGAGCACCCCAACCCCATGCAGGATCAGGAATGCCATCTTCATCGTCTAACGCTCTCAGTAAGCGCTGCGGGAGTAAGTGGCGCATCTCTCGGGTCATCAAACCTTCAAGTCCAGCCTCGTAGGCGATGTCATCCTCATCGTAGTCCTCCTCCTCGTCGTCCTCATCTACTGCGGTTAGCCTATCTGCAGGCCGGGCCGTCAGAAGGTCTGCGACTATACCTTCATCCTCCTGCATTTCGTCATCCAAATAACCTTCGTGCTCCATGTCCATCATATCGCCTTGAAGATGCTCCAACAGGCCCGGGCCACCCTGGCCATCCAAGATACGGACAAGGTTATCGATTCCTCCAGGGGGACCGTGATCCTCATCGGCGCCGTCATCATCGTAATCGTCTCCCTCATCGTCTTCGCTTGCCCATTCATCATCTTCGTCCCCCATGAGACTACCGTTGATGTCGTCGCCTGGGACATCATCCAAGTCGTCCATGATTTCGATGTCCTCGTCTTGGTCGGGATCTTCATCGTCGTCCTCATCCATATCCGCTGAATCGTCATCATCTTCGGACATGTCGTCTCCATCTTCGCCCTCGATGACAATTTCCACGTCATCGCCGACGTCGCCAGAAAGACCCTCGATATCGCCCATACCCTCAATCTCTTCGTCTTCGTCACTGACCACGTCGTCGCCATCATGCTCCATATCTTCCTCGTACTCCATCTCATCACCATACTCATCACCGTACATATCCTCATCGTCATCTTCATCAGACTCTTCAGACTCAGTCTCCTCATCTCTGCTAGGATCGAACATGGCAAGAGTTGAGTTACGGAAGAGATCCGGGGTTTCCTCACGGAACTCGTCCATGTCTGAAACCGATGACGCCGTGGAAATTTCGTCCTCGTCAACCTGGCCCGGAACACCCGAGATCTCGGCATTCAGACTGAGCTCAATGGCAGTCTGTGTGAGAAGCTTGATCGGACGGAGGATGTACTTCACTGCCCGTTTGGCGTTGGGGAAGTTGAGGTCAATGTCGGCAATGGCGGTCGTCAAAGTGGTGATAAAGTTCTTCTCGTACATGATCCTCGCCAATTGCTTTTGCGAGCCCACAACAATGTCCAAAGGGAAGCTAGTTGAAGTGTTCGTGGGCTTGCAGTAAAGCATGCGGTGGAAAAGGTCAGCAAGAGTGAGCAGGCGGGAATACTTCATATCCAGCGGCTCTGAAGAGGCGTTGGCATCCTTGAAAGCCTTCAAGGCATGCTCAAGGACAAATTTGCGGACGAAGAGCAGCTCCGAGTCATCTTCCTCCTTGGCATCACGGGCCTTGGCAGATTTACGCTCGCCAGTCTGTTGGCGCTCGCCAGTCTGTTGGCACAAGGCTACGACAACTGAAGTGGCCCAATTCGAAGTAGCACACTTCTTCTTGAAAGCAATGTCTTCCGCATGTGCCAAAGTACCTACTGGGACAAGGTTCTCAAGTATATACCTGAGAACAGTTGAACGCGGCTTGGAAGGTGTCATAGCTTGAGGGTCAGCCTGGCGCGAGAAAGTGACAAACTCAACCTTGGTCTTGTTGTAGCTCGTTAGGAGCTCCGTCAGGCACTGTAGGATGAAGCAGCGGTAGATGAAGATTGGGTTCTGATCAGCTTTGAATGTGGGCTTCTCGCTCTTCTTCTGCTGTTGCTCGGGAGCGGGAACCGGGGTAGATGCGGTGCTACCAGGAGTTACGGGTGTAGCACGATCTGCGCTATCCGTCATCTCTACATCACCTGTAGGCGTGTCCTTTGACTGTTCTGTAGGTGCAGCGGCCGGCTCCTTGTCGTCCACATCCTTGTAGGTGAGAAGTTCACATAGGAGGTAGTGAATCACGCCATCTGGATTCTCAATGACCGGATGCTTCGTGTCGGCATGCTTCGGCTTTTCCGGCTCTCCCTTGGCTTCCACTTCGGTGGAGGGCTTGACAGTCTCGGCGGCTTTTGATGGACCGGCAGACTGGTCACCCTCCGTACCAGCTTTCTCGTCTGACTTCCTGTCGGCAGGAGCCTCCTCCTCCTTGAGCTCGAGGAAGTTCTGACTACGCGATTCCCGAGCATAGCTAGTAAGCTTCAACTTCTCATTGGTGATTTCAACGAAGTCTTCAGGGCTGCGGATGGCAAGGTTCCAGAGAGCTCGAACATAGGCAGTAGTATCCATCTGTTGAGGCGCATTCCGGGGGCGATTGCCCTTCTCCTTGAACAGCGCCTTGATCTCAGTTCTCATGATCTGCCTAATCGTCTCCTCATCTTCAACAATGTGACGCAGAATAAGCATGAACGAGCCCTGCAACCTTTCGTTGGTGGTGCCGCTGAGCTGTTTTACCATGACAAACAGGCGCTGCAGATTACGCTTCTCTCCCAGCTTCGCGGCAAGCTGTCTATGCCGGGTGAGGATCACGAGGACGCGGGTGACCGAGAGCGCCAACGATTCGTCTTTGCCAATGCGAGGCAGAATTTCGACAATGGCATTGAACAGCTCGCGCTTATCTTCCTCGGGCACAATCGGCTCCGGCAGCTCGATGGCAGGGAGGGCCAAATCATCAGCATCATCGTCTCGCGGAGGAGTCCATTGGATCTGAGGCGGCTGAGCATCGTCGGCAAGCATGCGCTCGATGATAAGCAACACGTGGCCAATCCAAGGTGACGACTCCTCCCCACGCTGCTCTGGAGACGTCTTGATAAACCCAAGCAATTGAGAGAAGGACTCCGTCAACCGAGGTAGAGTCGTTTTATAGAAATCGCGCTCTTGGAGAATGAGGGCAAGGAGGTGGGCGTAGGATGCAATCTTCTTGCCGATGGGCCTCAGGTCCTCCTCGGATTGCAAGGAAATGAGCGCATTGACAAGCGTCTCGCCGAATTCAGTGCGCATGCTGGAAGCGTCAGATGACTTTGCGACAGCTGCAGATATCAAGTCCGCAAGCTCGAAAGTGACATCTTCGTGAACATCGACTACTTCCAACGCGCGGTCGATGACGTTCCCCCGGACCTCAGATCTGGCATCTTCGAGGTCTTCGACTCTAATATACTCGGCACTTCCAGCATCAACTGCGGCGGTTCCGCGACCCCACGCGGAATTTTGGATGGCGTGAGGAATATAGACCGAGCTACTAGTGATGTTGACGGAAGTGGCTGGCTCGGTCGGAATCGGCTGAGCATCGGACATGACGACGGATTGAGAGCCGGGTTCCTCGGCCTCGTCTTCGCTCTCGGCTGTCAAGCGAGGAGTGGTAGAAGTCGATGGTATCTGGCCAGTCTGCTTGAGCAGCTCGGTCTCATAGGGAGGTACGGGGTTTCGGGAAAATCGAGCGTCATTTTTCGCTGCGTTGCAATACTCCCTGGCGGAATTCGCGTTGTCGTAGGCACGGTATTGCGCCTCCTTCGCTAGGTCCTCGTCGAAGCCATCACGCTTGAGGTTCTCCACATGCTCAAAGTTGCGTGCCTTCCATGGCTTGTAGACGAATCTCAGCCGAGCCGGAGGGGTTTCAGACCGTTTATACGCCTCGCTCTCGTGCTCGCTCTCGAGGACAATACGGAGGATCTCGACGAGGTTCTTCACGATGGATGTCGTAGCCTTGTTCATGAGCTCCGAGTTCCAAATTTTCTCAACCGGTTTGATGACGGCCATACGCAGCTCAACAAGGAACTGCGAAGGGAAGAAGGAGTCGCCCTTTGGCCGGGTCCGGTCTCGCGTGTTCATAGCATTCGTCTGGTGCGCATCTATCACACATTTCGGATTGACCATATGCGCATACAGAGTCAAAATGATCTTGATGCCGCCCAGAGCCAGGTTCATCAAGCCTTGTACATCTTCCGGAAGCTCCTGGCTGTCGTTCTTCTCAATGATGCCCTTCGCCTTGTCAAAGAAGGAGTCGAGGATTCCACTCAGTTGATCGAGGCCACCCTGGGTTTGGAAGGACCCAAGGATGAGGGTTAGCATGTGTGGAGGACTGCGATCCATACTCCCCTCCATGAGTATCTGAGAAATGGAGGTAAGAATGACAATCCAATAGGCGTAACGGTCCTTGGCGTCGGCGCTCTTCTTCGGTAGCTCATAGCTAAGTTGATCCAAAGCCAGTTTGGCAAGTTGGTCTGCAACGACGAAAGCGTTTTGTTTCTGCCACTGGTCCTGGGTCCTCCTGAAGAGAAGACATCTACCCAATGCTTGCAAAAACGGGGTGATGGCAGTAGGAACTTGGCTAAGTAGATAACGCAGAATCTTTGTGTTTTTGTACTGAGCCGATGCCTTGTCCAGGGCAGCGCCAGCCTGCGATGTACCGTTATCGCCATTGTTAGCTCCACTCGACTGTTGAGTAGACGTGTCTGTAGTTGCAGCTTCACTAGGCTCCTCTGGATGACGCGGGTCGGCCAAGCGCAGGATGTTGTTCGCTTCGTCCGTGCTAAAGCCACTGCTCTTGACTCTTGTACTCTTCTCCCAATCAGAAGGAATTTCCTTCTGAAGGAGAATCTCCTCCCACACACAGCACCTCTGAAGCCTACCAAGACTATCGATAAGGTGTGCGTACATGTCGCCCATGTTGACTAGTGAGAAAATGTTGTGGCTTGAACGGTGATTGAACATTGAGCCTTGGAAGGTCATGGATAGTGCATTAGCCAAAGTGAGGACCACAACAAGGGCCTTTGCAAATCGCGTGCCGTTGGCGGCGACCTCGGGATCAACGTCTGCACCAGCGTTCTTGCTAGTGAAAACCGCAAGGTAAGCAGACTGGCGCTCATTTTGCATGAAGGGCTCCAGCTCGTCGCAAGCAGCTTGGAACCGCCTAATCAGAGAAGGTAATGCAAGATGGGGCTTCTGCTCTACGATCATTTGAATGACGCGGCTGAATTCCTCTCCGACAGCAAAGTACTCGTTGAAGTTGTATGGTAGGCATGGTAGAGTCCCGAAGTCAAGGATGAACTCAAGGCCACCTTCCTCGATGAATGCCGAGCAAAGGGCTTCGTTGATGAAAAAGCCTTCCAAGAATTTGCACGCCGCGGTGATAAATTGGGTGGTGGTAGGGCCGTCCTTGGGATCCTCGTGCTCTACAACATCATCTATGGAGACGTCAATGTTCGGAGCTTGTGCAGAGACTGCTGAAATGTCAACATCAGTCATCTCCACATCATCTTCTTGTTTCGACTGCCCAATCTGCTCATGAGAGCGTTGGTGGTGGATACCCTCCCTCCCCCAGAGAGCCTTACGTCCTCCAGAAACGAGGATTTTGCCTTCACTGCTTTCAACCCAAAGCTTGGAGCCGACGCCCTTATGTTGTGCCCTCTCGAAACAGAGCTTGCCAACCCTTGCTACCATGTTCTTGACCGAAGCAAGAATAGCTTGCTTGAGCGGTGGGTGGTGACGAACGAGCTCATCGAAGGAAGTGCCCAGCGTTTGTGTCGTTTCTGAGTCCACCTCGATCGCCTTCACATGCATAGGGCTGGTGAAGACTTCGAAAAAGCTCTCGAGGGCGGTGGAATTCTTGAAGAGGTTCAGACCAGCCTCAGTCAAGCAGATGGCGCCGAAAGCGGGAGGGACCGAAGCGATTGCCTCGGCAACTGGAAGGATACCAGTGGTGGCAGGCTTCGAATCTTTATCCGACGGAGTCTCCTCTTTGGTAACTGGGACATCGGATTGCGAGGGCGTCTCAGTAACGTTCTCGGTGGTCGCCTCAGCAGCTTTCTCCTCAACCGCCCTCTGCGTGACAGTCTCCAAGAAAGTCTTGCTCAATCCAGCTTCGGCGATGATGGCGTAGCTCGTAGGTTCGTGATGAATGAAGTTCGCCAAGATGTTGACAGTCATACTCCAAACGGTGCTTCCGAAGATGGGTGCCTCCGCCAAGACGGTGCGGAGACCTGCCAGAAGACGCGGAGAGTCCATCAAGTTCCGGAGTAGACGATCAATGCCACCACCTCCATGAGTCATCATGTGGCTGATGAACTTGAAGAGCCAACGGAGGGTCTGCTGGGGGTAGTACGCAATCTTGTAGTCCGTGTGTTGAGTCTTGTATTGATCGGGCATGCCTTCACCACGCTCGGCTCGTGAAAATGCGCTTTCAACCTCATGTCCAGCGAGATCAGCGATAGCATCGAGTCCCTTGGCCTGCACAAATGCCTGGAAAGCGTCGCGGAGGTTGAAAGCAAAGGTGTCCAGGAAGCTTAAGACGCGAGAGTAGTAGCGCTCGGACCTTTGAGTGCGAAGGGTAAGCACTTCTACGAAGATATCGAATAATCCCGCGGCAACCATGCTCTCGCCCATGCGATTGACCTGTCCTGGAATGCTGGTGAGCAAAGTGAACAAGGATTCCCGCCACTCGTCGTCCTCGAGAGAATCTCCGGGTCCGTCATCGTGCGTAAGCTCAGCAACTGCCTTACGAGCTACGTAGAAGAGAACGCCGTGATTGACGTTGAGGCTCAGCGCAGAGGTCAAATCGGCGCCTTTGCTCTTGTGCTTGGTAAGGGCTTCTAAAGCACACAACGCGGTGGTCTGAAGCTCCCTAGATGCACCAACTTGACCTTCTGCAGGAGGATGAATCAACTCAGCAAGTTGGTAGGCAAGCTGAAGAGGACGGGGTTCATCAGCATCCGGCTGCCCGATCTTTTGATGGAAAGTCGTCTCAGGGTGAACGTAAGCTAAATTGGCAATTGCAAGCAACCGAATGGCCACGATGTCCTCTCGTGCCTCCCTGTTAGATGCGAGGGATTGGGCAACCCGAACGCGGTGAAGAAGTTCGTAGCGGGTGTCCTCGGGCACGTCGTGTGCATAGCTCCTCATAATATCATAGCAAGGCTGAGAAGAGATTTCGCGGTAGGGGACTTCCAAGAACTTCGGACCAGCAGGACGGGGTCCATCGTGCTGAGCATTGGGTGTTACGGGAGTGCGTGGTGACTGTTCAGTCGGCGCAGCGCGGTTTTGCCTAGGCGTGGAATTGGGACCGAGTGTAGAACGACGTACGGGAGTCGGGGTACTTGGAGCGACGGCGGGACTAACAAACGACTCAGGCGCGGCTGGATTGCTGGCTTCGTCCTTGGTAGTGTCGTAGTAGGACAAGAAGACGCTGCCCCACTCCTCACGAAGAGCGGGCGGGATCTCTTCCAATTTGACCTTGCCCACTAGATCCGCCACCTGTACCTTATCTGACGGGGTGTCAGTGCTCGGCCCAAGAGTTAGCTTGTCCTTGCCCTTGGCGGATGCTGGCGAGGAGCCCTTCACGAAAGGTACGGCGATCTTGTGAAGGTTGTCGAGATTGATGTTGTAGTGGCTGACGAGAAGGCTGTTCTGCACGGTGCTGCTGGAGCCCATGCGTACACGCGAGGTATGGTAGCGCTGGGCAAGCCTGAGGGTAAGACGCAAAGTCGTCCTCAACAGCGAAATGGAGGTAGTGTTAAGAAGTTTGCTGAGATGCTCGCTGCTAGCGTACAGGCTGCGGTTTCCACAGTTTTCCAGTAACAACTTGGTGAATCTCAGGATGTCCTCAAGGAGCTGCTGATCGCCTTCCGCAGTGTAGCCAGCGGCATCGAGATCGGCTGCGCTGGGCAGCGACGCCGATGACTGCTTTCCCTCCTCCGCATCGCCCTTCAGCAGTAGACGCCTGCCGAAAGCCTGGGCCTGAGGACCACTAACCAGAGCATACTCCTCGACGAATAGCTCGAGCACGCGGTCAAAACGGTTTAGCACGGGTATCCAGTGATATAGGTCGCCGCGAGGAAAGGGCCATCGCCGGGGGAAGGTGCTCAGGTGAGCGGGTATCTTGTGAAGCGGGAGCACGAGCGTCTCCTTGATGAACTCGGCAATGTACGGGGACTGTGATTGATTCGTGTCAGCAAGTGTTTGGCACAACTCAACACCAATGTGGGGTGTGACTTACCAGAGTCGCGTCATGCTTGGATGTTGCGACCTTTTTTATCCTCCCCATGTTCGCAACCACAGCCTGGAAGGCAGACCTTCCCACGCCCAGATGTTGCTATCCAGCTCAACACAGCTCCAAGTCTCACTGTGTAGCGGTTCGCGGTGATCGGCTGCGATGGGGCTGGTCGGCTACGGGCTTATGAGGGCGGGCTTGGCGGGTGTCGCAGCGTTGAAAGGTAGCGTGAGGCGCGGGCGGAAGAGTGGCCGGTGGCGGCGCAACTACAGTCAAAATCACAGGCGCGCGTGCCTGAAGCTGAAATGTGGCGTAGTGGGTCGGCAGCGGCGACGGTCGGGGCAGATAGGCGGCGGTTGAGCGAAAGGGCGCGAGATTGTGTCAGTCGGAAGTGCAGGGCAAAGGTTCCAACGGAAAGAGAGGAGCGGTGCAGGCGTCCCGTCCCGTTGGGGCTTTTGCGTCTGTGTCGCGGGCCTTGTCAAACAGTGCGCAGGCCAGCCCGTTTCGATGGCGGAGGTTGATGAAGAGGGAGTGGCGGGGAGGCGGGTGCTGAGGAAGTTGGGCTGGTTGTCTGCGTCTTCGCCGTGAGGTAGGCGGTAGCAAACCTAACGTCACCGACAGGCTTACTCAGTTTGAAATGTGGGCACTCGGGCCACCCACAGTAGAGCTTCACGGTACACTTGCGGTCGCTGAAGCCCCGAGCCAGCGCTGGAAACAAAAGATCTTAGTGTCGCGCGGCCTTATTCTGCAGAGGCTGCACAAGTCTCGGGTCGTTCGAAGGGCTCCGCTGGGCGGAATCGGCATGCACGCTGGGCGAGTGCTGTTTGTCCACATCTAGCACGAGCAGCGTAGAGTCACCAGCAAGTTACAAATACAAAAAGCTACGCTGGTTTCCGATGCCCCCCGGAGGCCATGCTCACGACAAAGTTCACGGACAGGCAGCATTGATCATGGACCGCGAGGCACCATCAGTACCATGACGGCGCGCATTGCATTCGCGCAAGCTAGTGGGCGTCGCGACGCGTGCGAGGCGCCAGCCGCCCGTCGCGCCCGGAAAGGCGCCAGGCCCCGGCGGCTGGAGGGACGATGCTATGTACACGGCGGCTTGAGCCTGCACCACGCGCTGCATCCCCGTGCACTCCGGCCGTCGCACGCGGCGGGCTGTGGTTGGAGACGAGCACGAAAGGTCCCTCTTTAACCCCGCGTCCATCCGTTTGTCCCGCTTGCGTTTCCCTGATCGGCTTCGCCTTCCGCCAGCCGGAGCGTTTCTTCCACCACCAGCAGATCGCGCTCGATCATCTCGGTCCAGTTCTGGAGGTCTCCCATCTCGTTGAGCTTCTTGACGTTCTGGTCCGCCATCTTCTGCCATTTGTCGCCGTCCTTGGCCAGCGCCGCCGTCTGCTTTGCCAGTTCCTTCTCCTGTTTCTCGATGGCCGCTGCGTTCGCGTGTATGTCGGCTGCGCGCTGCCGCATTTCGGCGTTCATGGACCCGCCGACCGAGGACAGAGATGCCGTGACGGCAGCGCGCGCTTCGGCAACGCGCTGCTCGTCTGGTGTCTGAGACGGCGATTGCGAGGACATTTTCGGTGGTTGAGGCAACTGCGAGCTGCGTGATGGGGAGTGGCTTTGCTGCAAGAGTCGTTGGACGCGGTGGAGCACATGTATGCGCCATCCGCGATCATCTGACTAGGCTGCATAAGCGCTCCCGTTCGTCGAGCTCCCGAACGATGGACGGGCTGCCCGCACACCACTACTGCCGCTTTGGGCAAGGTAGAGGCGGATCATGAGCGTCGACAGCGCCTTCGCCAGCTCAGTGGTCGCTGCCTTGGCAATCACAGTAAGCTCAACAACGCCGTTCTTATCCCACCCCTCCAAGTTCCGCTTGGCCAGCAAAGGAGGTGAAGGTCGTGGGTAGGTGGCGCCACGGTAGGACGCTGAAGCTAGCCTGGAGAAGAAACATCTTAGCGACAATATACTGTCATTGGGAATCCGGGAGACGGCCGATCGAGGTCAGACTTTCGCTAGCGATTGAACTGTGCAAAATTTATTTGGAGACGTTCATGGCTATCACGTGTAGATGACTCTACCCCCGACGAATCAGCCGGCTCGGGATCTGTAACACCATCACCTCCACGCTGCTTCAGAGAGCCGCCCAGGCCCGGCAGGCCATTCCACTTCAGACACGGAGCCTGAATGCCCTCTGCTAATTCTTCTCACTAGTCATTGCCGCTAACCACTGGGCGAACGGTTTCCTGCTGTTTGCCCGCCGTTCCCTCGCAAGCCTATTGGGCCGGTGCTGGTTGATTTCCGTGCGTTTGGTCATGGACTCGAGATTTCCCCTCCACTCGCAATCGATATGTGACGATAAGCGTCATGTGGCTGGAGCGTGCTCCAGGGACTGCGAAGTCGGTAAACACAACTGTTTCAAGTCCGATTAACGACGTGTTTCATCCAGATTCCCCCGGATTTGCTGGGGGTTGCAAACAAGCGCCCGCGAGTCTGCTGGGGGCCTTTGACACTTAATATCACCCCCGGCTGACACTTGTTTTAGCTCACCTAGCGGCGTTTCTGTCCCGCGATGCCGCACAAGAGGTCCGTCCGAGGATCCACCAACCCCTTTGTTTCTCGCTACATCTTGAAAAAAACGGACCCAGGAAGCCCGTAAAGCCCACTGCGCCGGTCGCAAATCCATTTCATCGTTCTCTTTCGGGCAATTACTGCCTACGATCATTCGTCTACTATATATCCCCCAGAGCTGCAGACAGCAGACAGCAGCTTCCTTCACTTGACTTCACTTCTTTCGTTTACGATTCAACCAAAATGAAGTTCTCTACCGTTCTTGGCGTGGCCGCTGCCACTTCTTTCGCTGCTGCCAGCCCGCTGATGAGAAGGGCTTCCAACTCTTCCTTTGCCAAAGTCGATGGCTTGAAATTCAACATCGATGGCGTGACCCAATACTGGGCCGGCACAAACGCATACTGGCTTGCCTTCACCACTGGAAACGATGACATTGACACGGCGCTGGATCGCCTGAAGGATGCCGGCCTCAAGATCCTTCGCATCTGGGGCTTCAACGATGTCAACACCGTTCCCACCGACGGTAGGCGTCCCGAAGAGGACCAATTGCAGAGAAAGTGTTGCTGATGTGATGCATAGGAACTGTCTGGTTCCAGTCTTTTGTCGATGGTCAGGACCCGGTCATCAACACCGGTGCCAATGGCCTTCAGCGTCTTGACTACGTCGTCAAGTCTGCCGAACAACGCGGCATAAAACTTGTCATCAACTTTGTCAACAACTGGACCGACTACGGCGGCATGGCTGCCTACATGAAGCGCTTCGGCGGTTCGGCGAACCCAGAGTGGTACGCCAATGCCGACATCCAGGCTCAGTACAAGAAGTACATCAAGACTGTTGTCTCTCGCTACTCCAACTCGACGGCCGTGTTTGCATGGGAACTGGCCAACGAGCCCCGCTGCAACGGTTGCAACACCGTGAGTACCCTGGCCCTGACCGGAGATCAGCTCCCGAGACTGACATTTCTCAGACCGTCCTCTACGATTGGGCAAAGGAAACAAGTGCTTATATCAAGAACCTCGACCCCAACCACATGGTCACCATTGGAGATGAGGGATTCGGAGTCTCGGGTGGTGACGGCAGCTACCCCTACACGGTAGGGCTCTTTCATGTTCACTCAAGGGCAAAAGCTAACAAAGAAACAGCAAGGTGAGGGCAATGACTACAACAAGAACCTCGAGATCGATACTCTCGACTATGGTACTTTCCATCTGTACCCCGACTCCTGTGAGTTCCCCCTTTTGACGAGTCTACCAAACACTTTGTGCTGACCGCTCTTTCAGGGGGCCAAAGCAACGACCCGTTCGGCTCCGAGTGGGTGGAGGCCCATGGAAAGGCCTGTGTTGCTGCTGGCAAGCCTTGTGTGTTTGAGGAATACGGTGTGCAAAGCGACAAGTGCAACGTGGAGGGCAAATGGCAAACGACGGCGCTGGCCACCGACGGCATCGCTGCCGACCACTTCTGGGATTTCGGCACGACGCTCAGCTGGGGCAAGACCAACGACGATGGCAACACCATCTTCACGAACTCGACTGACTGGACATGCCTGGTCACGGACCACGTTGCCAAGATTACCGCCTAAAGTGCGTTGGCAGCACGCCCAGCTTCTGTTCTCGGATTCTTGTCTATACTTTGTTTGTAGAACATATCGAATATGACGTTTCTATCTTATGATCTCTGCTCGAACACGACGGCATTGTAAGAAACGTGCCGAAGGCTGAGTTGGTCGGGTTTATCCAGTTGCAATGTGATTGGTCGAACCGCTGCTATCGGGGGCAACACTGGAAAATTCGGCGGCAGGCCCTCCGAAATACAGGGCCGTCGTGCCGGCTCAAATTAACAGGGGGTCGGCCATGTGGAGAAATATGAGAGCGGATTTGTTTCGAGGCAGTCCTGAGGCTCGGCTGCGCGATTGGAAACCTCATTGGCCAGCCGGGGCACAAAACGTCGCAAAGACCACCGTTGGACCGCCAAGCTGTTTCGACTTTAAGCACCTCCCGTGCCAACATCATGCGCTCTTGCATCTCGAAGCGCCTAAAGGGGCCGCCGATCGAGGCAGACCTGTCTCGCACGGAGTCGGCTCTAGCCTGGACCAGTGAAAAGCGGAAACAAGCAACCGCGCTTGGCAGTCTCGAGCCGCTGTGCCAGATGAAAGACGGCAAAAAGTGCCAGCCGTGCTGCCCGCCCTTTCGTCCCGGGGTCGACGGACGATGATCCTTCGGAATGCCGGCCGATAGATGCATGGCGGTGTTTGGAGCCTGGGTTGCAGTTCCCTCTATAAGAACCATGAGCCGCCTTCAAGGATCCTTTTCTCTTCACTGCACATCAGTCGCTGCGCATCCTTGCCTTCTTCAGTCTTTCGCTGGTCGAAACAATCCTAACATTCGCTCTTTCTGCCATTCTTGACCATATTCCCAAACAAGCTTCAGGCCTTTTGAGCAAACCACCACCGCCATCATGAAGGGTTTTCTCGCTGTTCTTGCGACCGCTTCCGTCGTCTCGGCCCACGCCACCTTCCAGGAGATGTGGGTTGGCACCGAGGACAAGGAGGGCACCTGCATCCGCCTTCCTCAGAGCAACAGCCCCGTCCAGGATGTCACTTCCAACGACATCCGCTGCAACGCCAGCCCCAGCGCTGCTAGCACCACCTGCTCCGTTGCTGGTAAGTCTTCCCTCCCTCCTCTTCGGAGAAACGAATGGATACTAACCGGGTATGTGATCCACAGCCGGCGACTCCCTGACGGTCGAGATGCATCAACAGCCAAACGACCGCAGCTGTGACAACGAGGCCATCGGAGGCAACCACTACGGCCCGGTCATGATCTACATGTCCAAGGTCGACGACGCCGCCACCGCCGACGGCTCTAGCGACTGGTTCAAGGTCGCCCAAGACACGTACAACGGCACCGACGCCAGCTGGGGCACCGAGATCCTCAACGCCAACTGCGGCAAGCGCGCCTTCACCGGTAGGCATTGACTCCCTACTCTCTACTCCCTACTCCCTCCTCTTGACGAGCACAATCAAGGAAAAATGGAACAAGGAGTAAAGAAACAAAAGAAAAGGACATACCATGCTGACCAACAACAACAGTCCCCAAGACTCTCCCGTCGGGCGACTACCTCGTCCGTGCCGAGGCCCTGGCCCTGCACTCTGCGGGCGGCGAGGGCGGCGCTCAGTTCTACATGAGCTGCTACCAGGTCACCGTCACCGGTGGCGGTAGCGCCACCCCCAGCCCCACCGTCAAGTTCCCCGGTGCCTACAAGGCCGACGATGCTGGCATCCTCATCAACATCTACCAGACCCCGTTGACGTACGAGGCCCCCGGCCCGGCTGTTTGGAGCGGCTAAAGAAATAGCATGATGCGATGAAAGGGTTTTACGTGGTTCTTTGTAAATATCTATTTTGGATGTTGGAAAGAGAGACGTTGGAATGTGAATGAAGAGAGATGGCACGCGAATGCATGAATATGTGACGTGAGAACAAAGTATATCGTGTGAAGTGTGATGTGAAGCTGGTGGCCGTTAAAGAAAAGGTTGGCGACGGTGCGACAACCTTGGAGATGTTTTAATTCAGGGTCAATCGTCGACGTTGTGGTCAGAGGAAAGAGGCTCCGGTACGCAAGGTTTACCTCTGTTGTCAGGAAGCAAACATTCCCCCAACGACCAGAGATGGTACGATATGTGTTGAGAGACGCTGTAATTTTGGCTTTATCTTTATCAGCATACATGCTCGTTTTGTAAGCGGCCAAAGCAGGTATCTAGACATGATTCAGTGTCAGTTTGAAGAACGATATTACCATATCAGGACATCAACTTCAACCACCCATATCATCCGACCATGATGTTTTGTGAAACTTCCGCACGCAACCTTGAAGACAAGAAGCATGCAAGAGTAGAGTACCAGATGAGCCACAGACTGGAGCTTCGCATGCAGGCGTTGGAGGGGGAACAGTGGCTGCAATGATGTGTTTATCCTGGATTTTCAACTGCACGGGAACGCTCTTGGGCTGGTTGTAAGAAAGGGGAGAAAGAAACAGAAAGAAATGAAGAAGCTGGCTGAAGGTCGACGGGATTGTCTGATAAAGTAACTGGTCAACGAGGTCAGGGCTGGATGACTACACAATCGTCGACGCCATGGGCAATTTGGCTGCCAATAAAATTGCCAATTATCGTCATGACGGGCCCCCTGGGGCGACATGTGACGACATCCCGACGGGCGATCTTCCGGATTTTCATGATGGGCCGACAATCGCTGCCGGGACGGACAAGGAGAGAAGGTCGATGGAAGATTGCGCGTGGGTGGTGGAGACAGCAAGGCCGAAGCCGGGCCTCAGCCAAAGGACGGCGTGGGGGCCGGACTTTCTGGCCGGACTTCTCCTGCGCAACCGAGCAGGCGCGACCCGCCCGCCCCGGCGCCGGCAGTTGCACAACCACGCGACCAGCCCGGTATGAGGCTCACCACCGCTGACCACCACGCCGCTAGCTAGGCCGGGCCTCCCGAGCCAAAGCAACCTTCCTGCCTTGTAGCTGCAGCCCGCGAGCGCCCGCCCGCCCCACCCCGCCCGGCACCGCACTCCGCATCTGGCACGGTCTTCCGCACCTGCATCTCCACCCCCGATGCATCCATTCCACGCCAAGAGCCCGCGAAAACGGAAGGCCGCGAGCTGCTCATCAGCATGCCGTCAGCCTCGGAAGGCGGCGGACCGTTGAGCTTCCCTGGCCGACTCACGAACGTCACGCAACTGGCTGGGCCGCGACGCGCGCGACTCAGCCTTGCTGGGCCCGTCGTTTGGGAGCTCGCCTCGCAACTCATGGGCCTGCTCCTGGGCACTCTGTCCCAATCTCGGCCTTGCTCCCTATCGCCCTGCCGGCCTGATGATGCCGCATCTGCTCACAAGCGCCGGCCCGCGACGACTCACGTGGCCAGGCCGGAGAGTACACCCTCCGTAAGGCCGCCGTCTGTGGGCACGTCACTACTGTGCCATGGCACACAGCGCAGGCCAGTGGCCAGAAACCTGGGCCGCCCGGCCGACCATTGTGACTCGCGCCCCGTGCCGAGCGCTCTGACGCCTACGCCACCTGCATGGCGTGCCTATCTCCACCGGCCTACCATGCCCACCGAGCCCACACTCAGCTCAACGCAGGCAGACCGTTGGAAACATGCAGCAACAGGGACCCTGATCACCGTCCGAATCCGTCGCCACCAGCCTTACTGAGGACAAGCTTATCAGCTCTCCATCATCACCACCGGCATTGGCCAATGATCGGCTATCAGCACGCGCAATGCATTGCCGATACGACGCTCGAGCCCAAAGGTGCACCTTCCCCAACCCGTTAGTCGTTGTCTTCACATCCGGACGACCAGGGTGCTCGCGAGGGGCTGTGAGATGCTTGTTTGCACGTTGCTTTCTATTTTTCTCGCCGTCCCCCGGCGCCCCTCAGGTCCTCAAATGGCTCTTGCTTCCTCGCTACTCCTTCCCTAGGCCCCTCTTCGGCGACGATCGATGGTCTGATGGTTCAGTGTCGCATCCTACATCATGAGCGACGACTCCTCTTACAACGAAAAGTATGACCCCGAAATGCCGGTGATACGATGGCGCCAGCGCATGGAGTTGGCGACCATCTGTGTCGCCAACGCTATCTCACGTAAGTGGCAGCTTCACGCCCAGAACATGCGACAAACTGACAGTCTGGGAAGTATGTGTTATGGTCACTCGCATCATCGTGCAACGGAAGAGGTTCAAGCGCTTCCGCAAGGTCGAATGGCAAACCGCCGTCGCCACCGTGAGTGCTATTCTTCGCCCACCAGTCTCGTCAAGGCCGGTGGCGCGACCTTCGTGCGACTCCGCTTCTCTGACTTGCGCCGCCAGATCCTCCTCGTTTTTCCACTATGGACCTCGCAGATTATGACGAACCGCTACGGTAGCGGACTGCATGTGGAGAATGTGCCGCCTGAGTGGGCGATCCCCTTCTGGAATGTAAGTATACCGACCCCCTTGGTGGTCGAACTCGCGCTGACAACATGGCTTAGTGGAGTCTTGGGTGGATGTCTTACTACATTGTTGTGTCACTCGTCAAGGTCTCCGTGTGTTACAGTCTTCTCGAGATTTGTGAGTAGAATGCGCCCGCTCGAACTGTAGACGCAGCTGACAAACTATGTTTCAAGTACCGCACACTTTCCGGACGTTCCGGCGACTCGTTTACGTCCTCTGCGTTGTCATTATGAGCTTGGGACTCGCTGAAGCCCTAGTGTGGACGTTCCAGTGCGAACCTTTCATGAGCAACTTTGATTACAGTGTCCAACCCACATGGTGTGCGAATATTGACGCTGCGCGCTTCTGTATGTCTACGAGATAGGTACATCTTGACTATTTGACTAACGGCTGTCTAGCGTGGGCCGGCGTCGGAATCGGCATCGACTGCATCCTCACCTGGATCCCCATCGCAATTTTGCAGCGGACAAGATTACTGAGGCACGAGCGTATGGTCTTGCGTGCGGTTTTCGCAGCTACTTTGCTGGGCACTGCAGCAACGTATGTACAATACATACCGACGGCGGTGCAGAGCTGACTATTGAGAACAGGGCTGCCGGATGCTACGGTATCTGGCTCAACCGCGAGGACCAAGCCCTCAGAGACCTTACGTGGACTGAGACCATTTATATCATGTTCAACTCCATTGAGATCACGCTTTATACTGTCGGTGGCTCATTGACAGTGTTCTCACGCTACTTCATCAGCAGAGCAGCAGCGTACTCCTCGGGCGTCCGCACCAATCACTCTCATTCGAACAGTTTTTCGATATTCTCCAAGGTCTCGAATCGGATGCGCAAACTCTCGGTCCAAACCGTGACAGAGTCCCAACTCAACAAGCCAGATGAACCAGAGCTGTTCAACATCAATGCCACCGCCCCACTGCCGCATTGGGATATGGATGGCTACGAGCTGCAACAACCGTTGCCCCCGCCGCCGATGACCGCCATGGCTACGTTGCATGACCCGGAGGCCAGCAAGTGGCACAGCTGGGAAACAAGCTATGGTGTGCCTCCGAGTCGTGAAACGGTTGTCGAAGCGCCATCAATCGAGCACATGGGTGTCCTGCCCGATGTGGACGACACGCCACCGAGAACGAGAGAACCCAGCACGACAAGGCATCCACAGCCAGCGCCTCAAAACGACACCGCGTGGTACATCAGCGAGCAGAGCAGCGATGAGGAGCAACGACCGGCGTCTCCGCAATTCTTTGCGGGAATGCACCGCCCATCAGGTTCAAGGCACGACAGCCCGCAACAACCACGGTATCCGAGATGATTGTGTTGACGTTTTCTTTGTGTCTTTTCGTTTCTACAGGAAGTTCCATCTGCCGTTCAACCAGTCCCAAGTTACTACCATCACCTACGAATACGACCGACGCTGAAATCATTTGATGTTATGCAAAGAGGGAAGCATCTTGCATCGGAATTGGGAGGTTCTTGCATCATTTTCTGGACCAATTTTGGATCTGCGTTACAGTGGACAATGGAGTATGAAATGTCCATCTTTCATAAAAGGGCAGCACCTTTCTGGCCCACTTGAAGAGGAGGCGCCGGGAGATGGAGTATGGGGCTGGTGGGGTGATCAGCAGTGAAAAGAAGCAAGAAAGAACAATTGGAATGCAGGGGGGAAGGAAAGGCCCAGGACCATTATCGGAGCTTGCGACATCGACGCTCAAACACAGTTCTTCGCTCGTATTCCTCTCGACCGCACCTCACCTCACCACGCGCTTAAATGCGGCCAAGTTTTTCTTCCCGCTTGGCATCACCTACCCATCGACCTTATTAGTGCGCATGATCATGCGCGAGTCGTGGACAGAAATCCGCCCTGGATCCTGATTCAGTGAGCGCACGGAGGGACCCACTTACAAGGCGCAAATCCAATCTACACTTGGCTTGATACATATTAATGCGCAAGCCACGCAACGAATTATGTCCGAGAAGCGCAACTCAAGAAATAGGCGCCTGTCCAGTTCCACCTTACAACCTGGCCCCTTCTGTACGTTCCCGCCTCATGTCACGGCGTGATCGACAGGATACAATAGCAGTGGTCGTGGACCATGTGTCCACTGAGAGCAGAAGGAAAAGGAGGAGAACTTACAAGGTTTGCCGCCAATAAAGAGCAAAACGAGGAGGTCGTCGCTGGGGCATTCTTTCGGCGCATGCACGGGCTTGGCACTTTCGAACTCGACTCTTTCACTTCAAGCTACGATGAGTCGTTGCGCATTCGAAAGGAGCGACAGGAACTGAGCGCCTTGAAGCAGTTGTTCGACGGCTGCATAAGGGGCCCACGTTTCAGAAGACGATGTTGCGTGGCCGCGGATCTTGAGAGTGTCGTCACTCGTCCCGTTGGGTTGGTCCGGAGTTCGGGCGTGCCGAATACCGGGTCGCGGGCAAGTGCTGACGGAGGGGTTTAAAGAGGCGGCTGTTATACGTTTGTGGAGTTCTTTGCTTCGTGGCTGGCTATCTTTTACTAGGATAGATGTCTTCATGCGCATAAGAAGTTCCAGGTGGCGAGGTTCTTGTCTAGAGGCTTCTGGGGTTTCTGGGAAAGGCGAGCAAAAGGGCAGATATGGTGTTGGCTTTCCCTTTTTCCTTCTTTCCTTACGACCTTGGTGCGGCTGGCGTTTGAAGATACCCGTTTGCATTTCTTTGTTTCCTTGTTAATCGGTGCATCTGTCGGTCGAGAGAAAAGTAATTGTTTTGCGCATTCCCTGCGTATAAGAAGCTGTCGCCTGGTACGGCCGACGGTGGTGGCTGGTTAATGAGTTGGGCTTTGCTTGCTGTCTGCCACATTCTCGGTTCTCGTTTACTGGTCAAACTATCATGCGTTCAGTATTCTCAATCGAGCGTGCTTCATCGACCTGCTTCAATCAACACCTCGTGCCACTCGTCAAAGTGAGAGGCAGACACCTGCACACACACACACATAACAATGCACAGCCACCACGGCCACGGACCATGATGAGTTGGCGACGGAAGCGCGCGGAGCACCGCACACACGGTTCAGGGGATGTGAGACAGAGACCCTCTGTTCCCGTCGATCCGTTCCCGCCTTGCCGCCGCCGCTGCCTTGCCGCGGCCGCCGCGGCCAGCGCCTTCTCCGTGGTGCCGTGGTCCCGGTCCGCGGTACAATACCCCCCCGTACGCTATATGCTGATCTCGGGGGGTGGGAACGCAAGTCATCATCCTTCCTTTTTGTTTTTTTTTCGGGGGTCGTCGTTTTCACCAAGCACGTACGTGGCAATTGTGCTCCACCGGTGATGCTGGGCCCATGGAACACATACCTACCTGGGAACTTACAAGACAGACAACAGAGCACATGGATGCTGTGGGTTCTCAATCCCGACTATCTTTGGAGCTGGCTAGGTACTCTCTTGCTGGCTGTTCCTACTGCAAAATCCGTGTGCTCCGTATCTCTCTCTCCCTCTCTCTCGGCGGAATACGCTCGAGTACAGTGTGTGGCAAGTAGCGTGGCTGCGACGTGACGATCGTTCGTGCATTGTGTGCATTGTGTGCGTGCGTGCCTGCCTGCCTGCTGTCGGGGTCGTTTCGGAATGACCGACTGGCGGGTTGGTGATGGTGATGGAGTCTGGACCGGCTCTGGGAGGGGTATAAGGCGGGCACGTGAACGAGTAAGTGGTTTATAGGTGGTGTTTGCGGGTTGTATTGGATGATGTGGGTTTTCAGGGCGTCCGAGCTCTCTCTGATGATGTTCTTGGAGAGTGGGTTGTGTGTTTTGGTGATGAGGATGGTGATCGGCGGGAGGCGGAGGAAGGGGATGTACGGGCGTTGAGCGCGGGTGGGCGTGTGCTGGCGGGCGTGTATGGCGGAGAAGGGGGTGATGGGGGTTTCAGGATACGGGATGTGATAGGGTGCGGTGCGGTTGGCGGTCTAATATGTTCGCACTGATATCTTTTTGGCGGTGTAGGTGGTGAGCGGTGCAGGTTGTCGAGCGTCTGGAATCAGTGCCATTTGATTGGTTCTGCTGGACGATGCAAGTAGTCGGTATCTAGAATTCTCAATGTATTCGTGGCCAAGGAGAGGCAATAAGCCGTGGCAAATTCGCGCTGGATGATGGAAATCTCGCTTTTGGGTTGGTGTGTGGGTTACGTGGCTGGCCGGCTCGAGCCAGACGTTGATCATGTAGATCAGCGTGCGGCTGAGTGCTCTTTCGTCCGGACGGCTCCGTCATCCGTTAATGCATTGGTAGAGCAATTGCCCAGTACATGCATCGATAGGGCTTGCTATCGGTGAGCACGCTCTCATGTAGGTCCGTCAATGTGTTACATTGTCCCTGCGATAACCCTCCCAGATTCAGTGGGCGCTTTCTTGCTAGATGAGTGGCTAGAAAAATCTTCAGGGTATAGACATGGACATTGAACCAAACAAGTGCGTCCAGGAGTAGACTTCAGCCGCGCACGAAAATGGAGATGAATATGATTTACGATATAGCTCTAAGAGGGGTGAAATCATGCGCAACCTTTTGTCGCCCAGCTCGCTTTTTCTTTCCTCGGACAACTGCACGTTTCCTTTCTAAATCTGCAGTCCAACCCACGTACGGTTGGTGGTGCAGTTCGCCCATAGTTTGTTCCAACCCTCCATTGCTGTCCTTAGGCTTTCTGGATGCCCAGATATAACTAGTGCGAGATGGAGCCAAGGAAACACTTACCCGCTTGTCAGAGATATTTGCAAGTGTTCTTCGAGGGTGAGAAAGGCCAAAGCATCAAGAATATCACGATGGAAGTTGGGGCGAATGTGGAGAGCAAAGCTGTGGTGTTGAGGCCCAAGCTCCAGGCCAGTCTCGCTTAGCACATGCGCTAAAAGTGGCTGGTACAAAAATCTCCCAACACACTGTCCCGGCTGCTTCTTTTGCCTTCATCACCACGCTCTCGCCCAAGGCACGATGAGGCTCTTTCTCATCCGCCACGGCGAGACTGTGGACAATCTCGCCCAAGTCTAGTGGGACATCCCATCGCGCACCGCTGTCGACCTCGCCGCTGACCCTCGCAGCGCAGGCAGCAAGGACTCGGAATTGACCAGCCATGGCTTCCAGCAAGCCCAACGCTTGGCCCGTTATCTCAAGGGCACCGACGTCCGCTTCACGCACATCTTCGCTTCTCCACTGCAGCGAGCCCGCAACACCGCCCAAGCCGTCCTCGATGCCCAGTCGTCGCCAGCCCTGAAGATAACCAGAGTGGCAGCCATTCAAGAGCAGGACTTCGGGTCCTTCGAAGGCAAAAGCTGGTTGGAGGGGCCATCTTCGAGCAAGCCGCGACCCGCCGGCTTCGTTGATATCGAGTCCAAGGAGTCGATGGCGAGGCGAGTGGACTCGTTCTTGGATGAGCACATGGCTGCTTTGTGGCGATCGGCTGCAGCGGGGGAGCGATGTGTCGTGGCCATCGTTTCACATGGCATCATCCTGTCGGTCCTTTGGCGACGCATCTTGCGCCGCCTCCCGCCGGACAGCGTCACTATGAGGTCAGATCTCTTGGTGCCTGGCCGACCGGTGTCGCTGGAATACCTTGGCGGCTTCTCCAACACTGGTTATCTCGAGCTGGACATGGCTAGAAAAGGTACGCCAGTCGCACGAGCATTGGACAGAGTGTCGGGTCACACTGGCACTGCGTCTTCGCCACGCAAACGCTTGGCAGCACAAGGTACCACTGGTGGTGTCTCCAGCGTAGCCAATGCGGCGGGTTCGTCAGTCGCTCCCGTGCCAGCCCCCACCAGGGCTGTGGAGAAGCTTCCTGTCACTGGAGGCTCGAGCAGCTCCAGTCAAGTCTTGCACGGATGGACGACGGAAGTCATCACTATCAACGGCAAGGAACACTTGAAGGGCCTTAAACGCACCGGAGGCGGACTTGGCAGCTCCAAGCACGATCAGAACCAGAGGTCCATCGACACCTTTTTCAAAAGGCGCAGAGTTGACTGATGGAATCTGGCACTAATGCTGCAGGATCCCGGCGGATGTACAGCCACGGCTTGTGGTTGTGCATCCGACTTATAGATTGTGAGTTGTTATCTTTCCTTTCTGCACCACCCCCTCCGTTCGAATGATGAGAAACAATCACACAACAGACCTGTTCTGAACCCAAAGTGAGGACAAACGTTTGCCAACTGCTGTCTGATTTCGAACACGCCTCTCGCATCTTGATTTCCACACAACCTTCATTGGAGCTGAAGCTAACAAGCCTCATAGGGTTCTCCTACGTCGTAACGGCACTGGCTGCTTCATCGGCATTTTGAACGCCGGTGTAGGGGGCTCATCTCTCGCCGAGTCTTGACGCTCTTGTGCTGCTTAATGTCTGGCTGCCTCGGGTTTGTCACTTTCTGAGTAACCGTGTTTGATTTATGAATGATGATGCAATGCAACAGATGACATAGCTTAGATGAATTAATGATTCGAGAGAACTGCTCATCCTGGAACGTTGATGTGACTGAAGATATGCAGCTTGTTGGACGTGTAATCTGAGGGGGGCGATTGGTGTGATGGATCAGGTTTCCAGCCTCTGCTCCAAAAACTGGGCCAAAACGACAGCGCAACCGCCACCCCGCAGCTCATCCACCTCGTACAAACCATTGTAATTGGTTGGTTCTCCGCTGACCGCTCTCGCACCTCCCATGCAAGCTGGCTTCCGGTGGCCTTCTATCAACAACATTGTCGAGCAAACTTTCTAAGCGAGCCCTTGTAACCAGCTAACCACCTTCCTGCTTCATCACCATTGCCACCACGTTCTCGCTCTCGCGTAACCGGTACTCAGCACAATTATTCTGCAACTTCCCGATCGACCGCTGCCTTGATTTACACCTTCTCCGCTTCCTTTAGTCAAGCACCTCTTCCACAATGACACTCGCTCCTCGTCGCCTTTGGCATTCGCTGTCAGATACAACCCGATAAGCTGCTGTCTGAACTCACAGCCATTGTCTCATTTGTTATCGTCATGGCCGCAATAGTTCAAGCAGGAAGGCTGGCGGCGCTGTTTGCGATACTGTTTGTCCCAACGACGGCACGGCCATGGGCGCTGAGGCGTGAGGCAAGCCAGGGTATGCTTTCGTCATGATTCTCATCCATCCCTAGGCCCGTGTTCATGATTAACTTTCACTCAGGCTCCGAGGCTACGGCGACGGAGGATGTTGGCTCAATCATCACGATACATCCGTTCAGTTTGAGCCCCTCGGGCGAGTCGCAACTACTCGAAAGCTTGGAGTCAGCACTCAGCACGGTGCCTGCAACTAGTTACCCAAAGGGCACTTCTAGTGAGTGCGCAAGAGCGTTTTCAGGGCGTAAACGCAAAGCTAATCCTCGAACAGGCGTCCTGGAACTGACGACGGCCATCACCGTCGCCATTCCCGCCACATTACCGGCGCCTACTGCGCCAGCGGTGGTGACGGAGATCGTCACAAGCACAACGACGACAACACCCTCCTCGCCCGCAAGCCTAAACGCATTGTCCGTCCTCTCCGCAGCCCTACAATCCTACCTCACAGCCCACACCACCGCCACCGTCCAACAAACAATCACCGTGACCCCCGTCCAACCACCACCACCCACCACCACCACCAATTCCCCCGCAGGCGCAGCAAGCGTGTTCAGCTCTCCCATCTCAGACTCCTCCTATTCAACAACAATCCCCACCACCGCCTCCTCCACCGCCTCCTCCACCGCCTCCTCCACCGCCTCCTCCACCGCCTCCTTCCCCTCCTCCCCGCCAACCACCACCTGTGCCACACCCACACCCACATCCAGCAGCAGCGACTCCCTCAACGCCCTCTCCGTCTTCTCCGCCGCGCTCGCCACATACTCCACCTTCCCCACCTGGACCACCTTCGTCCCCCCTTCTTTTCCTACGACGACCGTGGCGGGGACGACCACCACCGTGACGCCGACAACCGCCACCGTGACGGGAACCGCCGCGACGAGCGCGAGCTCGAGCTTGAGTTCAGGGCCGTCGTCGTCGTCGGGCGGGGCGGCGGCAGGGACGGCCGGGCCTGGAAACGGGGGGTCGGTGACGGCGACGGCGACGGCGACGGCGACGGGGGCGGGGACGGGGACGGCGGGCGCAACGACTGGGACTGGTGAGGCGACGACGACGACGGGTACTGGTGGGAGCGGTGGTGGGGTGGCGAGTGTGAGTGTGAGTGCGAGTGCGAGTGCGAGTGCGAGTGCGACGGACGCATCGACGGCGGGGGCGGCGGGTATGGGGAGGGCGATGGTGGGGGGTGGGGGGTTGGTGGTTGGGGTGGTTGTTGGGGTTGTGGGGGTGGAGTGGTTGTGAGAGAGAGAGATGTAGGGGGATTGAGGGAGGGAGGGAAGAAGGAGGGAGATGAAAGCGAAAGGGGAGGGGAGAGAGGAAAAGTGTTGGCCGGGCAGTGCAACGTGATTTGGCAAGGTACTTGATGTTTTCTCGAAATCGCTCTTCTTCTTTTTTTTTTCAGCCTGTCTGTCTTTAGGAGCTGGTGATGGGATGCGTTACGAGATGGATGAATCCTTTCTGCTGGTATGGATGGGATAGTATAGTTTGGTATACTCTTTGGGGACTTGGATATGGTGCAGGGAGGGTTACGAAGGCGAACAGTGTATCTTTTCATCTGTGCCATTGACCGGGTATGCAATATCTTCACACCGAACATGGTATCCCAGAGAGGCTTCACTACGTGGTAATGTAATCATCATTTATGTGGTGTGGTGCCCTACTTTTTTTTTCCCTTGAAAAAGAAAAACCAAGCCTAAATCAATTTATGCCCCGAAGTGAAAAAGAGCATGTTGGAAAAGAAAGCAGCACTTCTATCATTGATTGGATCACTCCGGCACCAGAGCCTGATTTAGACGAGCTCCACTGAATCACGAATAAAGGTAAAATTCTTTATATCTTGATGCAAACACATGCTGTGATGGTCAAGCAGTGTCTTTTGCGGGACACTGAAGGATAAAATGTTCCGTACCCTATCATGGCGTTCCTGCCCAACATCAAACTTACAGTGTAACCAGGCTACGAAATGAAGATCTTGAGTTAAACGACCTTCCTTCATGAGTAGTCGAAGCAGTTTCCCAGACGTAGATGTAACCCACTATGACACCTGGAGCTCCCTTAGCGCCGTAGACGCTGCTATCACTGCGTTCTTGAGTCCAATCACGCACCAGTGTCTTGCCTTCGTTCGCTTGTGATCGACGATCAAGAACGCCATGTACAATGGTGGCTTGTGTTAGACGTAAGTGTGTGGGTTGCTTAGGAGAGGTTTGAGGCCACGTTACCAGGCCTCATGATCCTTATGGCGAGGAGTACTGTAGGCTGAAACGAGTCATTGTGTATACGTCGAGTTCTGGCCAGCCCGAAGGATCGAGCTGTTAAGAACTGTCATGCTCGAATCTCCACACATCGGCAAGAGTCGAGGCCTAGAGGGACCGAAATAATAAGGGAAGGCACTGAATCCTTCAACGGGTTTTGGGACCCGGCCGGTTATTCCCGTTTGAAGCGACAGGCGATCTGCCGATCAAACGTTGTCGGCAATCGACAAGATACGAACGGGCTGCAAGCTAGATGGGAATTTGCATTTACGCGAGGAGAACACAAGGGCTCACGGGGATTAGATTGATCTGGAGTATGGACGCAGGGACAGCGTCGTTCGGCCCGCGCAGCGCCACGAAGTTGGCCGACGGGCGGGCAAGCCGACGGCAATACCCGCCTGTCGGCAACAAAGAAGATTGGGTGAGATCGGAGCCCTCTTTCAGATCGGAATCCACGAGGCGTTAGCTAAAGGAATTGCTGGTGGCTGATTTTTTTTTTTGCGAAGGGGACCAGGGACCAGGGGACCAGGGGACCAGGGCTGTTAAGAACTAGAGTGTGATGATGGAAGCTGAGGTGGGCCTGAAGTTGAGAAAAGAAGAAAAAAGGCTTGAGGGCGGAGATGAGTTTGCCAGGCTGTGGCCAATGGCGCAGTGGGAAATGCCGTGGCTGTGGGAGCAGCAAGTGGCGGCGGCAACACATGGGCCCATGAGGCTGAGAATACGGCCGATGAGGCTTGGGAGAGGGAATAGAGCCCCAGAGTTGAATCCGGGGGGAGCTCTGGTGTGTCTTGGGGGTTGCGGCTGGAGGGCGGGCCGCGGTGGTGATGAAGCCAAGGCAGGCGGTTGCAGTTGTTGGGAGATTGACGGCCAAGCAGGCACGAAACGGGGGCTCCCCGCGTTTTTCGGCCTTTCTGACGTGCGTAGCGCCAGGCGAGCGCGGACCCTGAGCCTTTTTAGCGCAGCAATAGTCTCCACCCTGCAAATAACGACTTCAACCCAAGAAGCACTCTGAGCAGTGCCGCGGCGACAAGCCAGTGCCGACTCGGCCGCGCGGCAATACCGGGCTGCGATATAGACATACAGCGCAGCAGAAATGGTCAGCGCGCAGCAGCGGGCACGGCGGGGGTTCGATCGCTTAGGGCCGCCGTAAATCACAGCCGCGCTAACTACACAGTAGGCGGCTGGCCCGCGCACCCCAGCTTCTCGCCCACGCCGCATCCAGCTCGCTCCGCTCACGCTCCTTCCACTGGCCTTCCGCTGCCTCACCAGCCTGCGTATTCCCGTCGACTCCTGGGCCACTCCTCACTTCGCGATCGACTGCTGCTGACGCCCGGCGCCCATGCGCGCTTCCAGCCCGAACGCCCTCGCAGCCCGAACGCCCTCGATGCCGTCCGACACCAGCCGGTGGACCGCCTGCAACCGCCTGCAGGCGACGGGCCGGCAGCGAGTCCCGTCCGGCCAGCAGGCCCGCACCGCAGCGCACCGCGGCAGTCGCGCAGCAATTTGGCCCGTTTGTCCAAGTCAACCACACCACCTGATGTCGCCGTAGCCTGATTAGGCAAGCCCCAACTTTCGGCTCATTATTGTTTGAGGAGCTCCATGCGCTCGCATGACCTCGATTTCCCCAATCTGCCTGCGCCTTGCCTACTGTGGCCCACTCCCAACAGGCCTCTGCTTCGTTCCAGATGCGCTTCTGGCGTAGTCACTGCGCCCCTGCTGCCACCCTTCACACCGATGCTGCAACCGGCGAGTAAAAATACCGCCCCCCTCGCCCTCCTCTATACCGCCTCGCAGCCATGGAAATCCTATCTGTCGCCAGCCTCTTCTCTCTCCAACACTTGCTCCTCTAGCCCCGGCCGTCTCCTCCACGCTCGTTTGTCCCTGCGGCCTGGCTGTTGCGCCTCTTGCGTCCAGGAACGTGACGTCTAAAAAAAAGCGGGCTGCCCGGCCCACCTCTAATCACCAGACCGTCATGACCGCTGCAGCGCTGCCAAAGGTTCGTGAAGGACGTATATCAGTCTTCTGCTCTACATGCCCTCGACTTGATTTGCCTCTTCCCTCTCCCCGCGTTGCAACATGCCTGCCTTTTTCCGAAGCGCCTTGGGCTCTCTTTCCTCAGCGTGTACTGACTGCGAACACACCATCCAGCGCCTTGCCTCCATCCCCAGCAAACTCTCCGCGGATGGGAACAAGCGCTCCTCGACTGTGAAGCCGGCCAACAAGCCTTTCTCTTTCAACAACTATGCCTTCAAGCCTGCGCCCCAGCCGAGCTCACCGCATGTGCCCGTCGATCCGGCCGAATTGACCCGACGCCTGGAGCGCTACCTCGCTTCGTTGGAACCAGCATCTGATGCCGCAACGCTGCCCTCAAAACCCACCGCCAGCTCGGGGCAGGCGTCCTCAGCGGTTGCTGCACGAAACCCTGCTGGTCCCAGCCAGCAACAGAACAACAGTGGATCCAATCCGCAGTTGTCGAAGCTACGTACAGAGTCTGCCACGGCATCGGCACATTCGCTCGCTAGTCCAAGTTCGGGAGCTGCCGCAAGCCCCTCGAAAAAGCCTTCCAGAACAGCGCTTAACGGCGGCGCGGCGCTGTTGGCCTCGCGTACTGTCACCGATTTGCCTCGGTCTGATGAGGACCGGGCCACGCTGGAAGCGCTGCGTCAGGAGGCCAGGAGGGCGGCAAGGAGGTCAGTCGCGTTGCACGCGAGCAAAGGTCTCAATGCACCCGTCGCGGCCGGGGAGCTCGCGAAGCGTTTAAGCGCCCTGAACGGCAGCGGAGTCGACCCTGCCGTGAGTGCAGCTGTGCTGGCGCGGAGGCCATCACCTGCCCGGACCAACAGCGGCGGCGATGTGAGACGCTCCTCATCCGCCCGCGCCAACGAGAAGCGCACCCGCACTCCGGGACTCGACTTGCGCAAGTCATCTTCGATGCGCATCGCCGAGGCTCGGATCGCAGCGCTGGAACGCGAGCGTGAGAAGACACGGGCCAAGGAAACTCACGGCAACCGGAAGAGCGTGAGACGCTCCATGCCCGTTGGTGTCGATACGGACCAGCTGTGGCGTATCTACGTATCGACACAGCATGGGGCAAACTCGCAGGCTATGGCTATGGAGCGCCAACAGTCGTTGCGGAAGAGCGCTAGCGCTAGAAAGACAAGACCCCTCAGCAAGATCGACATTGATTTGGCAGGAACGAACGGAGGTAAAGTGCTACAGAAAAGCAGAAGCACCGGATGCGTCGAGCAAGGTGACGGTACGCTGATGAGCGGCGATCCGGGCAAGACTGGTGATTGTGTGCTTGCGAGACGCCCGGACTGGAGCCAAAGGGACGAGTTGGAAAAGCTGCCGCTTCATTCCCCTCTACACTTGCATTTTCCCGGGTTCGGCAGAAGAAGTAGTCTCGCCACGGAAACGCAGAGTGAGGATGAAAGAGGCGTCTCGTCAGATGCGGAGAGCAAGAGGAGGAGCAAAACGCCAGAGGTAAAGTCACGCTACAGGAGAAGTGTCTGTGTCGTCGGTGCCGCAAACCAGACTACATCATCATCGGCAACATCGCGACGCAGCCCACCGGAGCTACCGGGAGTGTTGCGCATCCCCAGCCCACGCAGCTCGGGCGATATTGTCACTCTCGAACAAATCTCTTCATCATCCCCACCGCTCTCATCCGCCACCACTTCGCCTCCGAGCATTACTCTCTCCCCTGTAGACTCACCGGACGCCATTCCCATGCATATCGGCTTCGGAACCACCACCGCTACCACCAATAACAACAACAGAGTCTACCGCAGTAGCAGCATGAGAAACAGCTCGCCACCTATGCTCCCAGCCCTCCGCCACTCCTCGTCCTTCGAGGCACGGATCCCGCAGCACCTAGTCCACTCCTCACCCGCGGACAGCCAGCGCCATCATCAGTCGTCATCCCATGCTCTCTTCACTAAATCATCAGGAGGAAAGCCTGCACCTATGGCTCCCTTACCGGAAGTCACCGCTCTGCCTGCCCCCGATCGGTCCTCAAAGAAAAGGCCGACCATGCCCCCGAGGCAGAAAACCTCGTCAACATATAACCTCGCGGCGGCGACGGCGACGGCAGCCGCTGAAAACAAGGCTCGCGGGCAGCGAGAACAAGGAAGCGTCACATCGCCCGCCTCGGCGGCGCCGTCTTCCGTGCCGTGGCCGGGTCCTTCTGCACCGGGGAGGGGAGGAAGAACGGTGATGGGAGCCGCTAGCGGCGTGGCGCAGGGCCAGACCCAGCACCAGCACCCACGTGCCGCGATGAGGGGAGCGAGAAGCCAGAGTGCGATGGAGATCAGGGTGAAAGCGGGTAGCAACAGCAACAGCAACGGCAGCAACAACAACAAGGCCCTCAACAGGAGGAAGAGCGTGACGTTTGCCTCGGCCACGGTCTCGTATTCCGCTCCCACCTCCTATGTGGGGGTATCAAGCGGCGTGGGCATCCTAAAGGAGGAGCAGCGGTCAGGTGCCGCCCGCAGGGGCATCCAGCGGTCATCGACCCTGCCGCCGCCACTGCCGATTAAGAGCAGGGATGGGGACGAAGGGAAGGCTAAGGAGAAGGAGATCGAGCCCGGGAACAACAATGCCGCCGCGAACGCGAAGACCCCGGCTCGACTGTCCTTTTGGCGCCGGGACAGCGGTAAGGTTGTTGATGAAGTCAATGCGATGAGCAGCGGGGGGGAAGAACATTCGAGCGGTGTGAAGAGCCCCAGTCGGCTGGCTTTTTGGAAGAAGGGGAAATAAAGGAGAGAAAGAGGAAGATGAGGGATGATAAGGGGTGGGATGGGACGGACCGGGGTGTGTGTTGTGTGTGTGAGAGAAACAGGTTTGGGTGGGCCTCGGTGAGGCCGCACCGTACATCTTGTATATGCTGCACATTTTCCTTTTGTCGTTTTTTTGTTTCTGCTTTCCCAGGGGATGATGGCATGGTGGTGCCCTCTCCATCTTGATTTTCTTTCTCCCTCTCACGTGGCGAAAGCGTACCACTGTCAATTTTGTCCCACAGATTTCCTTATATACCATATCTACTTTCGTTGTGATCGTTCAGCGTAGAGCGCATCGTAAAAGAATCCAATCTTACCAGTCGTATGTCTCACTAACAACAGAGTACTCTATTCATATGGATAGTTGAAGTAAATGATCATTGGTGTACTTTCTTGCATTATTTTGAAATAATTATCAACATCCCAATATTGACTTCATTGGTCCGTGCAGGAGAGCAGTGCCCCTCACAAGTCCAAAGAAGGATGATGTCAATCTTCCGCAAAGGCGTTGGGAACGTGACGTTGCAAGTTTTGCTCCTGATGTCTCCTCTCCCTTTTTTTCCCTTTCTCCTTGGAGATGGGGGAGCGCGTCACCTGCTCCGTTGTTCTCGCTTATGCTTGTCGATTGCCGCACTATAGGATCATCGTGATATTCTTGCCGCTTCTGACCTTTTACGATAAGTGAAGAAATAGTGAGGCACGTGTATAGGGATTTTGGGGGGGTCCTTGATTCAGCGGCTGGTTGGTGCTTCGTGCGTGTGTATGTGCATGTGCTCCAACCAATACTGTTCTCTCGGCTTCCCTTCATTATCGCACTCGTACTCTCTCTCGGCACAGCAGCCGCGAGGGTTGTAAATGGGAAGGGGCCGAGCCGCGTGGCGCAGCTCTGAGCTGCACGTCATCTGCCTTGCACACTGTGGAGCCCATGCGACCACATTGGAGCATGTGCGTAGTATCGAACGGTTCCGCAGCGGTTCACATGCTTCTTTCCGGCAGCGAAAGCGCTGCGGCGGTGTGTATGTAACAGATGTGAGACGAGGCGAAGCAAGAAGAGAAAGGCTGGGGCCTTGTGGACTGTGTTGGTTTCGTCTCTTGTCGCCGGGGCTTTCTCCCCATCTAATGCGTGTGTGTGTCTGGGTGTTTTGGAGGTTTTTCGTACTCGTTCGCTTCTCGGATAGGGGACTTCGCCTTTCGCGAGCCGAGTACGATCCGGGGGCCGGGCCCTCCAGAGTGCAACTTCCAAGCTACTTTCGTGGAGACACGACTAAGACAAGGTGGAGACCGTGTATAATACCGAGGTGAAGAATAAGAGAGTAGAGGACAAGGGTATATATGCATGTGATGCAACTCATTGGGATAGAGGAAGGGCAGGGAAATCTCTGACCGGTCCCCCGCCACGGTGATGAGTACTCAACGGGGGAATTTGGAACGAGCGATCTAACTATTGACCCTTTGCCCCGGGATTCCAAAGGGAGTGTGTGGAGGTCTGCTGGGTGGAGTGGGGGATCCACAATAGATTGCTTTTCCGACGAAGACTTATTTTTGTGTATAGTTCTGCGATAAGTGCGGATGAGAACGTCCCAGAACATGGGATATTCTGAGACACGCGCACGCTATGCGGTTCTTCCTCCTTTGCGCCATACTTCGCTTAGACGAGTGGGCTCCTTTGGAGGGAGGGAGCGTGCGTGATTCGTTAGTTTAGCTGATGAGGGGTGGAGCGAGCTCTTTTTTCGTCACGGCGATCATTTTTTTCATTTTCCCTATTGTGTTGGCAATGCGCATGGGTGGAGGTTTGCTTTGATGCCGATTAGTGATGGACGGTTTGCAGTAGTCTACGGGGCTGCACGCACAATGATGGTGAAAGTGGAGGTGAGTGTGGTGAAGTCCACTGTTTTACGCTCCTCGGTCTCTTGCTCTCTCATCGTGCATCTGGCAAAGCCGTGCTGCATTCTGCTGTGTTTGCGATCCGACGGGGCAGCGGGTGTCAGTGCGGGTCTCGAGACCATCGTGCACCTTATGCGCCCCCGGCACGCATGTTCACTGCCGGTTTCAAGAAGCGCAGACATCCGGACGCTGTGGGCCGATTCTGGCGCTCTTCATCGACAAGCAGCGAATCGATTTTTGGCAAGAAAGGGTACGCGATGGGGACCGAGCAGGAGTCAGCAAGCGCGTTGAGAGTCAGCGGCCGAGGTGGAGACATTCACAGCTGAAGTAGCTGACAACCTGTGCATGTGGGGCGGCCCCTGTCAGTCTAGCCTGTCGCTCATCCGCGCAAACGTCCAGCGGAGGGTGCTCTTCTCGTCGGCTGAAGTACAGACATGGGCGGCGACGGCGGAGTAAAAAGTCGGGACGGGCGCTGATTGATGTCGAGGTGGCCGCGTCTTGTGCTGTATTAGAGCTCAAGCGCGGGGTGCACGCAATCGCGTCCATCATGGTTAAGCTTAATTGATGTCGAGAATGGCGGCATGGATGCTGATCTTCCCAGTTGTTGCTTTTGCCGCATGAGGGGAAGGGGGTGTCGGCGAGTCGGGGCCGCAGGCTGGCGGCGAGTCGGGGCCATGGGCGGCACGGGGGTGGTGGACTATAGATAGTTCCTCACTCATGGCAGCAGCTGCTGCTGCCGGAGACACCAGCGGTGCTGCGCGAAAGAGGCAGGTCCAGGGCAGCTGCACGGCTTCAGAGCGTGGCGCGGGATGATCAATCGTACGACAGATCTGCGGTTTGGCTGGCATTATTGAGATCGGCTTGTCGCTCGAGCTGACGGGAGGACGCGGAGAGCGGAGAGCGGGGCGGTGGTGGAAATTGCCAACGCCCGTCGTCATCGCCGTTGGCCGTCCCCATGGCGGTGGCAGCGATGACGGCGATGACACAGCGGGCGTCGTCCGGAGCGCTAGCGCATCTCCGCCGGCTGCGAGATGGCGCGACGGGGAATTAATGTCTGGGGTGAGGTCTGGATAGAGGCGGCCGCTGGCCCTAGGGCTGGCCGGGGCACCCAATGGGAACTGTGTCTGGGATCCCGCTGCAGCCGTCAGAGTGAGGTCACGGCGCGCGAAAGCTTCCTCTGTGCCCTGAGGTCTCCCCTGAGCGGGAGCGCGATGGCACAATGGCAGCCATCAACCATCAACGCCATGCGGCGGGCTGCGCCGGCGCCCAGTGCTCCGCCGACGGCTGCAGCACAGTGGGCCGCTGCGCGTGTCGCGCAGGCGCAGGCGCAGGCTGCAGCGGCGCCCTCGCAGGAGGTCGCAGGTCGGTCGACCAAAGGAGATCTTCCGGGGCGATCGGAGATTCCCTCCTTTCTCGGTAAATCTCGTATTATACTAGGGGGTGGTCAATCCTAAATCGATTCTAGGTTGATTCTAAATCAATTCAAAATCGAATAAAAATTGATTTGTTAGTTATTAGTTAGTAATTAGGGTTAGGAGGGTTAGGGTTAGGGGGATTAGGGTTAGCTTTAGGAATCTCCATTTTTAGGTGTTGTGGGTGTTGAGGGTTAGGGGGGGTTGGTATTAGGTCGTGGGTGGCGGTAGTAAAGATACCCCCGACCTTGGCGATAAGGCGTTTGGTCGACCGACCTGTAGTCTCCCCTCGCAGCAATCTCAGACACGCGGACTCACGGGCCCCCGCGGTGAGCGATGATCTGCTGCGATCAGAGTCTTTTGACGCCGGAACGGCCGCCACACCTTCCCCGGGCGAGTAGGAAGCGTTCCAGCGTGAGCTTGCCAGGTCTGGCCCGCCCAGCTGCAGCGCGACGAGCTTGTGGGCTGCCCGCCCAGCTACCAGCCCGGCTACCCAGCTGGGCCACCACAAGCGCGCCATCATCAGCTCCCGTCCCTCGCCCTCGCGGCTGCGGCTCCGCGCGCTGAGAGCTGCCATTGCGGGCGCTGGGCCGGGCGCTGGTACGGGCGTACCCGGCACCTGCGCTTGCGTCCGTATCGCGCGCTTGCGCGAGGATATATGGCGATGCTCAGCGCCGTGGGCGGCGGGCTGCGGGCTGCGGGCTGCGGGCTGCCTGCTCCGCTGGCGACGCCGTGACGCCCCGACCCCAATCCCTGCCCGGCCGTTAGAAGAAAAGCAGGCGCGCGGGTTCGCAGCGAATGCGCAGCCGAGAGCGGTCTGCTGCGTCAAGGATACCGGGGCGCTACCGCGCTCACAGCGCTCGCGCATCGCTGTATCGCCGCCGCTCTCCTCTGCACCATCCTGCATCCTGCCTGCACCCAGCGGCAGTCCCGCCCGCAAGCCATCCCGGCGCCTCTCGCGTGAGCCCCCCAACGTGCATGCTCGCTGCGAGTCCTGCGACCGCAACCCCTGCCCTCGACTCGCCGCCGGTGTTTTTTCCCAAATGACGCTGGCGCAGCGACAAGGGGTCGGTGGTAAGAACGGTCATCGGCGTCCGTCGATAGAAGTGCCCTCCGACCGCGCACCAGCAGCTCCAGGCCACACGTCCGCGTCCCGCGCCTCTTCAACCTCCGCTGCCCACCATCGCGACCAGCTAGTCTCTCCGTCATCTTCTTCCCACGCCCGCTCGAACGCCCTGCTCCCGCCGCTGCGCCTCGCAGACTCGCCGCCGCCCGCGCCGTCCAAGGATCCGCTCCTGCAGCTGCAGCACCCCTCGCCTGCGCCGCCCGCCACGACCCTGGCGCCCTCCGTCGCCCTGCAACACCAAGCCCGCACCAAGAGCGTCTCCACCGCCAGCCCGCCCAAGCTGCCGCGCCCGGCGCTCGGCTGCAGGGCCAATTCCGCGCCCCACGTCCCAAAGCAGTCGCCGTATCCCCCGCATGGCGGCGCAAAGAATGGTCACGTAGCCTGCGCGCGGCACCCCAACGCCAGCGACAGCAGCGACAGCAGCGACGACGACGGCGACGCCATCAGCCGCGATCCCTTCTTCCTGCGCTACCAGAGCATGATCCAGCGCCTCGCCGAACAGGGCCCCGGCGACCCCGACGACCCCCTCCGCAAGTCCCCAGAGCAGCAGAAAAATCACAACGCCCCGATGGATGCGCAGGCACGTACCCTCCCCGCCCCGGCGCGTCCCACCCCGGCCCCCGCTGACCGTCGAGCCTTGCAGGCCGTGGAAGACATCAATATCGGCGTCATTGGCGACTCCGACGTGGGCAAGACGCGCTTCATCGACTGCGCCTTTGACCTGCGCGCCCACTCGCACGCGCGCACCGCCACGCGCAAGATGTCCATTGACGGCACCGTGTACACGGTGCGCCTGATCGAGATCCCCTTCGAGGAGCTGGACATTGAGCACGACGACCGCATCTGCTGGCCGGGAAAAATCGACGACCTGCCTGCGCCACGGATCGACGGTGCGCTGATGCTATACGACGTTATGAATCAGGAGAGCCTGGCACAGGTGCCGGGCATGCTAAGTCAGTATATCCCGCGTTCCCCATTTCCGGCAGCGCCACGAGCCGGCAGCTCGGAGCACGATCAGATGCCCGTGGGCCTGGAATTTGCGCGCCGATCGCAGCCCAACCGTCTTGTCGGGCGTCGCGGCTAACCTTTTCTTGCTCCTGCGCAGATGTCGTCCAGAAAGCGGCGTTGCCATGCGTGTTGGTCGGCTGCAAGTGCGACAACCACCCGGCCCATCGCCAGGTGGATCCGGCCGTGGTGGAGCAGCGCGCGAAGACGCTGGTCGGCGACTTGCCCGCGTTTCAAAGCTCAGACCGTTCGCCCGAAAGCCAGCGAATCTGTCTTTCTGTCATGCTGCGGGCTATTCTTGCATCGCGACAGGGTGAGTGCATCTACACGAACGCCTGCCCCTCTTCGCCCCTGGTCCCTGCCCGCCGCGCCGCCGGCCATGGATGCGGCGCGTGCGCGCTCGGTCCGTTGGCGCAGTCCCATATAACATTACGCACGCAGCTGTCGTTTCATTGCTGCAACATGTTTCACGCTTGCCGCCTTCCACCCATATATCCATTCTTCCGCGCCGCTCTGCCTCTTAGCGTACCGTGGACTGTTGTCTGACGTCGTTTCCACTTAAGATACCCCCGCCAGCAAGCTGGCCGCCGCACAACGCCGCCGCGCCACTTCCAACTCATCCGCCCTGCAGCCCGTCTCTCCACGCCCCAGCTGGAAGCGCCGGCATGAGCGTGCGAGCTCCGAATTCTCCGGTTCGCGTCTGAAGATCCTCTCAGACAACGATGCAGAAGCGCGCGCCAAGAACCGCGCTCCCACCAACTCCTTCCTCGAACTCGAAGAGCCCCTCGGCTACGAGTCCTACGGTTCCGACGGCGCCGACTCCTCGGACTACGAGCCCAGCATCATCTCCGTCATGCCCTCTGATGAAAATGGCTACACATTCGAGCAGCTCGTCGACCGCCTCGTCTCCCAGCCGCTTTCCAAGCAGGACACCAAATTCGTCTCCATCTTCCTTGCCCTCTATCGGAAGTTCGCCGCCCCGAGCCAGTTGCTCGAAGCCCTCATTAAGCGCTTCGATGCGCTCGAGCACGACAGGAGCCCGCAAATGGTCCGAACCATAGCGCAGCTGCGCCACCTGTCGATCATGGAGCAGTGGCTCAGCTCATACCCGGGTGATTTTGCTCACCCCATGACGAAACGCATGGTGTTCTTATTCGTAAACCGGCTCGCCAGCAACCGCATCTTTGGCGTTGCCTCCAAGGAGATCTTGGCTGATCTCGAAGCTGTTGTGGAAGACGACGATACCGACTGGGCTTGCAGCGACAAGCACCGCGAGAACGCACTGTACGGCCACTCCATCTTGAACGATGTGATGGAGGACGAACTGCCCAAGAGCGCAACGGAGCTTACCATTAGCATTACGCGCGGTTCCGGAGCCACCTCGGACACGGCCACCACCACAGGTTACCCCGAACGCTCCGTCAGCACCTCCACCACGGCCACTAGCTCCTCTCAAACAATGATGAACGCCATTGAGCAAGCTCGACAACAGGCGAAGCTGCTTGTCCCCATTCCACGCGTCACTCTCACCAAGACACAATGGCACCTGCTGATGGGCGAGTCGGAAGAGAACATCGCACGAGAGCTGACACGCGTGGACTGGATAATGTTCCAGTCCATCAGGCCTCGCGACCTGGTGCGGCATGTGAGCCTGAACGCGGCGGATAAGAAGAAGTGCAAGAGTTTGGAGAACGTGGACCGGATGATCGAGCACTTCAACCACCTGGCCTATTGGGTCACCAATTTCATCCTGCTGCGGGACAAGCCAAAGCACCGCGCTTTGATGCTCGAGAAGTTCATGAAGGTTGCGCGCAAATTGCGTGAGTTGAACAACTACAACTCGCTCGGCGCCATCCTCGCAGGGTTGAACGGAACAGCGATTCACCGCCTTTCAGCAACACGCGATCTCCTCTCGCCTGCCACGGCCAAGGACTTCATGAAGCTCGAGATCCTCATGGGCACGCAAAAGAGTCACTTCGCTTACCGTCTGGCGTGGGAGAACAGCTCGGGCGAGCGTATCCCGTACCTTCCCCTTCACCGCCGCGACCTCGTCTCTGCCGCAGAGGGCAACTCCACTTTTGTCAACGACCCACAACGACGCGGATCCAATGCCGGTCTTCTCGGCGGTAACTCAAGCCCCCGATCGGGTAGTCAATCAGCGAATGCGGAGGCCCTCAGCGCACTGACCGGTAGCGCCGGTAACGCGGCCGCGCTGCAGGCCGCTCTCAACAGATCGAGCGCGCAGGAGAAAGAAGCGCCTCCGAGTGGCGTCGAGGGCAAAGAAAGAATCAACTGGAAGAAATTTGCAATCATGGGCGAAGTGATTGTTGGCATGCAACGAGCTCAGGGCTTCCCCTATCCGAACATCGCGCGCCACGACGATGTGAAGAGCATGGTGCTGGATGTGAGAATCTGCAAGGATGATGACGTAAGTTTTGATGGTTGCGGTGGATTTTCGTTGGCTGACATGCGACTACAGGAGCTGTACGACCGCTCCACCAGCCTGGAGGCTGTCGGTGCGGCTGGCGAACCCCGACGAAGGTTTGCCAACTGGTTTCGTCAATAAAACCCAGCGCCGGGGGGCTCCACTTCCAAGGACACAGCTCAAAACGCAGTCTTCGCCGTTCTTCGGAGCGATCGGGCAGCTTGATCTGGAAAAGGCAGAACGCGAGGAACGCATGCGAAAACGCAACGAGAGGAGGCAAAAGTCCCTGTCGTCGATTCCAGGACGCGCGATTCCCCGACAGAGCAGGCTTGCCGCCAGCATCCTCTATTGAGAGCGGAGAGAGTCGGACTGCGTTGAGTGACTGTGAAGATGGACCAAAAGAGTGGAAACCAAGTATAATTTTTTTTTCTATCACTACCAGGAGGGACAATGCGGCATTTGCTGCACTCGGTCTACCATGAACGGGCGTTTTGTCACAGACCATTGGATACCCATGTTGTCGAGCGGGAAAAGAAAGGAGGCATCGTAATCATCGCATTTTCATATGCCACACACCACGACATGTACTCGCCGCATACCATCATACCGTCTATTCGTCTCCTTTGTCGTTTCTTGCATGGCATGGCATGGAGGGTCTCAAATTTTCCGTCGTTTCTTCTCCTTGATCCGAGAGGCATGTGGCGTCTGAGCGGGGGTCGATTGACGATCAGCCGGGTTGCAGGGGGAGGTGGGTCGTCTGTTGGCCATTGAGAGATGAGCATCCGAGTGTTTCCTCGTCATTCCGCGGGTGGTTATCTGTTTTTCCGCTGCTGCTTCACATCATCTGAGCGTTGACATTTTTCGTTCCTGGTTCGTGCCCCTTTTCTTCTGAGCGTTGATATTACTTTTTGTCACGGTCATACCAATATCGGAGCAAGGGAAAGATCTCGGGCAGAGATTGGTTTCGGGTCTCATGTGTCTGTCTCTGTTCTTGTCTTATCTGTACCTGGGATTCACTTCCATGTTCGGGTTGTTCCTTTTTTTTTTCTCTTCTCTTTTTTTCAATATCGAAGACAAAAAAAATACCCCTACCCGATTCTTCTGGGTTATCTTTTCATTTTCTCGCATTTCACTCATCTATATATCTCCCTTTTGGTTGGCCATAGCGTTGAGAGGGCAGGCGGGGTATCACTGGGTCAATTTCTTTTTTTATTTGTGTGTAAAATATTCACACGTATCTAGTTGTGGTGGGAGATCGGACGTGAACGGCAGAGAACTGGGAGAGTGGGATCCAGGACCCTTTTTCCAAGTCGATGAAGAATGCTCGAAGCACATGGTACATAGGTTGGAGAAGAAGGGGGGGAAAAAAGACAAAGGACTGCATGATTTACGCATATGTTTTGTTCTGACGCCGCCGACGTGAAGTGTATAAGCGCCCGGACGGGATGTCGCCATAGAGTTCTTCTGGCTGCGTTCTACTGATTTTCTCAGGAGGTTTAGAGCATCAGTGGCGCAGAAACTTGGACGCCTCTACGTAATGGGCGTGGCGGGGCGGCGCAAATGCTAGCCAACTGTCCCCCTCCACATCCATCCCCTCCCCTTTTCTCCGCCCTCCTTTCTCTACTCTTCACCTGCAGGGGCAAAGCGTACGAGGATCGACGGAGAAGGAGGGGCGAGTCACACGCAAGCCGTTGTGCGTGTGACTTGGAAGAATGTTCAGCTAAGGTTGGCTAGAACGTGCGAAAAGAGGGGTCAGTCGACGATAAGAGACGGGATGATTTTTTAAGCTTCTTCGATGATCCTTCCACGATCCTTCGGTGCATGGCGCCGTCTCTTTTTCCCGGCGCACTGATAGGGCGACGGGGGAGGAGAGGCGTCGTGGGCTGCAGGAGTGGAACGCTAGGGGCGAAAAAAGGTGGATGGAAGGACGGATGGAAGGCCACGAAGGAATGTGCGACTGGCGGAGGGGGGGGGGGGGGGGG